GTATTTTGTCGTTATAGAAATTTCAGAAAATGCACATGTCAAAGCTTTTCGTGGCTCTGCTCCTTGTCCGAGGTGCAGGTCTGGAGCCGATGGGTCGGGGACCTCGGCCTTCACAGAGTTGCAGCAAGTTGAAGATGCAACAAGTCCAACAAGTTGCAAGAAAGCGGACGTTGATGTCTGAGCGCACGTTCGGGTTTTGAATGGGGCTTGGGGTCTCGGGTTGGCGAGGACGTGCAAAATTTGTCAAGTTTCTGGGAGTTGCTTCCGCACGCTTCTGTGACCCTTTGTTGCCTTGGCCTTGGGTCGATTTTCTCCTGGCTCCAGGCACGGTCAGAATACCAAAATGCGAGCCAGGCCGCAGCCGCAGAAGTGGAGCATAAGAGATTAGATGGAGTAACCAGGGACAATGGTTGAGACACGTATCGGTTTGGTGACTGTCGACATTCACGTACTTGGCATAGTTTGCACGCCTTGTCTTGTAGGCTTGGCAAGCTTTGGCGGAAGACCACGCAGAAGGGCAAGGGGTTTCCTGGTGCGGTGCCTTTAGTTCGCACTTGTTCCAGCGCCCGATTCACTGTGCTGCGTTCAGGTCAGAGTGGCCCGAGGCACGGTGAAAAGAAGCATGCCGCTGTCTGCTCTGTTTTTGATGGGTGACGCATGGTGACGCCCTGCCTTTGGTGTTTTTTCAGGTGTGGTCGGTTTTCGTTGGCAACGCCAGCATCCAGGTGGTGGTGGCCCAAGAGAGTCCATACGCTATTCCATGAGCAATGTACGCCGTACCTATGGTGTGATCAATACAAGGCCGGGGAAGAATGGCAGCCCAGCTTCCGGTCAGCCTAACAACATTTATGGCACTCGAGAATTTTCCGCCGAAGTGCTCTGAAGTGAACCGACATGCCGATGTGTGAGAGAGGTACCTGGACACAGACCGAGATGGCTTTGTGTTGTGCTGAGAATATGCAAAGTCTTTAGTAGAGCATTGGGGCTTCGCTCTAGGCTCTGGGCCCCAGCACCTTCGCTTGGAAGTCTGCAATGCGCTTGGTGTGGAGGTCTCTGAGGAGGAGTTCGAGTTTGGCTTCCACGGTGGCCAAGTCAAGAGCCGTGCAGAGGCACCACAGAACCAGTGCCAAGAAGAGCGGCAAAGCAGAAGAAAAAATAAACGAGAGGATGGGGGCAAGCGAGCCGTGCGCAGGCTGCCCTGACCGTGCAAGAGGTGATGGGCTCCTTGCTTCTTTATTAGAGCCAAGTGTCCAAGCAGAGCAAGAGAACCAGCAACTATGCTCCCGGCTGTTCCCAGCTTCATTCTGGCACCGGGTCGAACAAAACCACTCCACTTGCGATCGTGTTCGATATATTGTGGACCGGCGTCTCTTTTCTCCTTCCATGCAATGGAGTAAGATCGGACAACATACCTACAATGTACGTGCACTCAACTGAAATCAATGACATCATAAACAGCAGAACAATAATTTGTTGCGGTGAACCATGAATCATCAAAGATTCCAGATATTTTGGGGTTTCAAGTGGCTTCACAATGCAGAATCTGTCGTGCCATGCATGTCATCTAGCTTCTAGAGGCGTATGAGTTGCGTGTCCCTAGGCGAGACGCAAAGTGCCGTTCGTTCCCACCTTTGGCCTGTCTGTGCTGGAGCCGTTGCTGTGCCGGGCCAAGTTCCACTTTTGTTGAAGCTCCGTTCTATGCTTAAAGAGCCAGAGAACGGCATCAGGGGCGCAGTACGGGAGCTGACAGCACAGGTGTTACTGTTGCTGGCATGGTTGTGCTGGCGCTGCAGGTGCGGTGAGAGGTCACAGTTGCCACAGAACCGAGCGAGTGATGTCACACAAGCAAGCAGCCAGCATCTAGGGAACTATAGCGAACTTAGCAAGTCAGCAGGTCGCAAGAGGGTGTATGTGGGTGCCTCGTCCTGCTGTGATGATTGGCCAGGTCTGCACGTCCGAAACGTGTAGCTCGTTCCGTGTCCAAGCTCTCCCGCGACGATGTCTCTAAGCAGGTGGGGGCCGGTTGTGTCAGGGCCACTCGAGGACGGCTGGAGGAGATAGCGACAGAGAGAGGGCTGCAGGGACCAGACTCGACTAGAGTTCCATGCACGCCACAAGGGCACCGAGAGCCACTTAGACAGAGGTGGACAAAGAGACACGGAGACTGGAGGATGATGCAAAGCAGCAGACGAAGCATCATAAGAACCGTATCAAGCAGAAGCAGAAGCTAAACATTGATGATGAAAGGAACAAGAAGAACAACAAGAACGAAAGGAACAAGAAGAAGGGGGCCCGAACGACGACGGCGCCGGGGATGTCGGCATACGGGAGCAGACGAGCTCGATGCGGAAGGGGGCGGATGAACACGACGTGGAAGTTGGGGGCGAGCTCCGACGAAAGACGTTTGATTTGCCCTTTTCATTAGATTGTCGCGCGCGCGCGCGCCGTGAAATCTTGTTTAGCGTTGCAGCTTTGTGATGTTAACGTGCGTGGATCGCAGTTCGGCGGGAGCACCTGCTCGGAACCTGCAGCGAGCCGGTCAGTTGTCACTCACCGAGTGCGTGGCACAGTTCCACGTGCTGCACAAATCCCACAATGTCGATTTCGGAGCCGATGCTCTGTGCGCAACTTCTGCCCGGACCTAGAGCCTGCCCGGGCTAGTCCGCTCCCTCCAGGAAACTCGATTCCTGATGAACAAGGCTTCGCCAAGGCTGCCGGCAAAATGACATCTTCGCCCGCCTCCGCTTGGGTGCTCAAGCATTCTGATCGCCGTCCCTCCGCACAGTCGAGTGCACGTCGCCCTGCCTGTTTCTTTTCTTCGTCGCCCTTCGTTCCTTCGCTTGTGTGCTTGGGCCCGCAAGCAGTCTGCGCATCGGGAGGGGTCGGGAGAGCGAGTGATCGGAGGTGCTTGTTGGCATGCTCGAGCATGATGCCACATGGTTGCAAGCAGGACCTGGACCAGTGTCGATGTTTTATCTGCTGTCGCATAGCTTCAAACTGATGCCTAAATGTGCTTCCTGCCCGGCCCACTGCACCAGCAGAACAGACTCATGAACTGCTTCAGCAGCAAACTGAAGCGACAGTAGTCCCGGATCCGAAAGAGGTCGAGAGCACGATGACTCGCCTTCGAAACAACGCGAAAATCACCAAGCGGCCCCTGACTAACCAGCCCTTGTTGCCCGGTCATCTAAGGAGCCCTTCAGTTTGCATATTATCTTACTACCACAAGATTAGCTTGGAGGTTTATTCGATCTTTCTTGGGGTTTTGGATTCGTTTCAGGGCTTTAGGGTTCAGGGGTCAGGGCTGGATAGTTCATATATTCTATATGGCCAGTGGCGGGGATTGTCTGTCCAATCGCGGTCTGATATGGCCTCTGCAACAATCAATCTGCATTCAATTGCACCAGCGAGCTGACAGAGCTGCTATCAGAGGAGAGCAATTCGGTTCAATCACGTTCTTGCTTGAGCCGGTCCATCGGCAGGTGCTAAAGACCGGGCGGGCGGGTGTGGCGGCAGCTTCCGGCCAAGCCCACAGCGAGCCTCGCGCTTGGTGTCGGCTAGGTTTCCCACCGCGCAGAGTTGTCCGTTAAAGGTGTTTGTGCGAGACATGCCGACAATCTCAAGGCATTTTGGCTCAGTGAATCTGTAGTTTCATCATACCATGAATGCCAAAGAAGGTGCGCACATCTGCATAGAATCTAAAGTCCTTCACATCAAAAGCTCATGCGAGGATGACGTACATCAGAACAGGCAGAGACTGCTCCACAAGAATGACTGCATCCAAAGCACGTGGACTTCATGCGGCGTTTGTTCTTCTCTTTTGGCTGCTGGCTCAGCACTTGGTGAGAGGTTGACTCATTCTGAGGCTGTTGACAAGCCGGACAGTTTATTCTGCAGTGAACCAGATGATGACTTGCAACCCATCTCCATTTTGTTGGACATGTCCTGGGCCACTGCAAAGTGATCGACAACGCTAGCCGCCCCGAATCCAGGCTTTCCAGCACAACCAGCACTTCGTTCTCTCACGATCCGCCGTGCTTGCGCCGACGACAAGGCGCACAGGGGTTCAATCAGAGCACCTCTGCTCCATGCAGAGATTCAGGACTGGTTCAACTTGGACTGGTTTCGGCATCCCTTGGCGTCAAGGATGCCCAGGCACCTTCTGCGGCTGCGCTGCCCACCTGAGCTGCCCACCTGCGCTGCCCACCTGTGCTGCCCATGCCCGCGAAGGCCGCGCGGCTCATCAAAGACAAGGGCCAGAAGGTCTATGATCCAAAAACTGGACAGCAAGTTCTGCCATCGTGCGAGACGGTGTGCAGGAAGGACCTTTGCTTGGCAATGAAACGTGCTCGGCAATGAAACGCACCGCTGCACACGCCGTACGCCCGGACTGACATGGCAGCTGAGGAATGCTTAGCTATCGTTGGCATCTTTGGCAGCAAAGAGATGATATGTGCGCGGTCGTCAAAATTGCCGTGTGCTACTCTAGGCATGTGTGAATTGCCAGGGGGTCGAGGCAGTGTCGGGACTTTGCTCCCAGCTGACAGGCATGCAGACGGGCAATGTAGATGTTCGTTAAACCGATGCAGCGTGTCAAGCAAAGCCTCCCAAAGCCTTTCCAGTCCGTTCCACGTCTGACCTAAACCCAATCCTACCAGAGCTGCTGTTATCGCCCAGGTTTGAAACGGAAACTTGTCAGGGTTTCAAAAAGAATGCCAGGCACTCTGACTCTCCCAGAGCTTCCGTTTTGTTGTAGAAAGTACCGTTTAACCTCCCCAAAAAAAGAAGCGGGGAGACATAAAGCCGAAGCCCATCGATCAGAGTTGCCAGAGACACTTCGACATGCTTTTGGAGCTGTCGAACACATCGGCACTGGAAATGCGCTCTAAATCGGTGGCACCCGATCACAGGGACACACGGGTCAAATGTACCGACACATCCGGCAGCATTCTCATGAATCTCATGCTAGTCTGTGTGCAGCTGAAGTGTGAGGGTGGTGAATGGTGGAGTCCACGAACTCAGGTCTTGCCAACGAGAAGAACATAGCATATTGTGACAAGCGTTGCGAGGCCCCTGCTGCAACTCTGAGCTGCAGTGCAGTCACAGAGTCCATGAATATCTGCAAAGGATGACTGTGCCACTGGTGATGGCTTTGGTTCCTCGGAGACATACAGTGACGACAACGAGCGAATCACGAAGGATTCAGAGAAGAATCCGGCTGAGCGCTTTGCTGCTCGAGCAGATATTAGGTGCGCAGTATTCCTGCGGATTGGAGTGCTTCGACTTGGTCTTCAGAGGAGAGAACATGCGATTCACATGCCGTCAGGCTGAGTGGGGCGTGGAGATGAACGCTCAGATGCTGGACTCCGTCTTCAAAATGCCAGGGACAGAACCAGGCCAGAGGCAAACATGGGTGGGATCGTGTGGGTCTCTGTGTTGACCTTTCCCCGCGTCACCTAGGCTTGCAACCCGACTCCCTGTCGGCCATTGGCGATGATAAACAGAAAGAAGAGGCCCGACCTGCAAAGCCACTCATCGATGCTCGGGAGTTGTTCAAGAAGAAATGAGAGCGACATTTTCGCCGCAATTTTCGAGTTGTTTCCGCGGACGGCCCGGTGGCGTCGCGGGTATGCAGTGCGCGGTGACAAAGTGCACAAAGCGCGCCCTGTGCACCGACAGCAGAGGATCGGGCAAACTCCCTGATGGCACAAACCCTCTGTCCAGATGTGGGCCAAAAGAAGCCGTCGAGTCAAGGGAGTCCGCCATGGCAAGCCGAGGACATATGTCAATATGTGTCACATGTCCCACCGAGGCCACTTGTGAAGGATGGGGCGGGCAGCGACCTCGAGCACCCAGCGACCAGCGCCACAGCCTTCACAGCGGCAGCCGCGCCGCCGGCAACGGCAACAGGGCCATCACCACCCATGGAGGCTGCAGCGGGCTTTGAAGTGGCTAGGGGGGGGGGGGTCGGAATGTCTTCGCCTTCGCCCTGCTTCCTTTTGAATTCCCATACTGCCCAGGTTCAGAACCGCAAGACACAACAGGCCTTGTTTCCCAGGGCTTTACTGTCCGTTGTTTTTTCAAAGATTTGGTCTGCGTGGGCAGCTGGACCAAGGTGCCTGGCGAGGGTCTTTGGCTTTTCCCAAGCATCGGCCAGGCAGAGAGACTCCAGATTGCTGTGCTAAGCCCATTGTTCGCTATGAAACGCTTTGCAGCCTTGTGTTGGCTTCATTGGTGCATGTGCCAATTTGACTGGCAGCGGCGGAGATTCCGGACCCTTGCTAGGCACTGCCTTCCTTTCTGACGCGGGAGCCGGGGCCCGGGAGGACCAATAACGCCCCAGTCTGTTTAGATCATCGTAGTCGCTGGGGAAGAAGATGCAAAAGTCGCTTCCCCCTGCTTTTACTTTAAGGAAACGACTATGGATGCACCCTCATCATGTACAGAGGAGTACTTAGGCTACGCGTTCCTTCGAGGTTCACATTCCTGCTTCTTGGTAATTGTAAAATCCAGGCGTTCATGGGGGGAAGGGATGTGGCGGTCGACCTCGACAACTTCCTGAGTCCTCTGCGTTCATTGGGGTTTCAGGTTCCTCCGGTCAAAACGGTTAACTTCCCGGCTTCGCAGCCAGGACAATAGACTCTAAGACACGAAGACAGCCACTGTAGTGATTACTCGTGACACCTGTGTAAGCTTGCGCAAGTCGTGTGAGGTCCTTCCGCTATCAACCGCTCGCAACGCAAGAGGCTGGCCGTGGTAGCGAGCAGAAAGGGACAGGAGGAGGTCCATTCTCGGTGCATTTTTCCCATCATGCTTAACAGGAGATGCCACCGCAACACGCAGGGGGTGTCCCATTGCAGGCAGATCGTTCATGCTTCAGTTCAGGGACGTTGCCGGAGTGAGTGGGGGTGCACACGCTAGGTCGGGCCACTACCTTCTCCGGAGAGCTTTTCAGGCACGATGGCCAGCATCGCCAGCCTGATGTGCGACTCCTCATGGCTACTTGACCCTGTGAATCTTGCAGGATGGCATGCTCCCCAGCCGGGGTCTTTCTCCTTGCCGGTGGCTCTGTCTTCGACGATCACGGGTCTCGAAGCATCCCATGTCTCAACACCTCTGCAAGATGCAGGCATACATGTCATATATGCGGATTGAAGCCGTTTCGGTCCAAACAGGGTCTCATTTTGTGCCTCTCGTTTACCCGCCTCAGAACGATGTCAGCTCCCGCGTCCCTGCCCATCCACGGCCGTACAGATGGCAGCAGCCTGAGACAGTCGGAAGGCAAGTTGTGATGCCACCCATGCATTACTGTTTCCTCGATTTCCAAGGTCCAGAGGCTCAGGAGGCAGGACATGCTTTCGCTCACGTTAGCTCAGTGCATTACACTGCTAACAACCTTGGTCACAGCGTTGCCAGGAGAAGGAGGCCAGAAAGAAGTTCTTTGACAGGCGCGTGCCGTTGGCTCTCAAGCATATTCAAACACATTGAGGCAATCACGGAGCCGATGTGATTTGCATCAGGCACAAGCAGCTCAAGGCCGGCTTGGACAACCAGCGCCAGGAAGAGATTCGTGCCGACAAGGCCTTCAGTGCTCAAGCTCGAAGCTGGCTGCATTGCTCCTCATGGGTTGACATGACACTTCCCGCCATCTCCGAGAAATGGGCCAGTGCTGTAGATGCAGTGACGGTGCCCCAAGGAGAGCAGCGCGCTGGATACGAGATGCCCTCGGATTGGACCCGGGCGCGGTTGGACGAGATCGAGGCCAAACGAGAGCGGCAGCGTGCCTACCTAAGGCGCGGGTCTCTGTACCTCTGTACGGGTGCACTTATAACTCTTGTCACCACCCGGGTCATGTCACTGTCTGGGAACTGCTTGGGTTTCAGTTGCCAGCTGCTTGTTGGCTCCCTTGTTCTCTGAATCGGTATCTCACTTTCAAATGGAGCAAAGTACCATATCCGCTCTGTTGACAATCGTCTTCTGCCCTTTGGTCCAGGATGTGGTCTATCAAGGACTGTCCCGTGCTGTGGTGAGATGGGTATCTGTACCTGACTCACCACACTGCTTGCTTGCCCGTGGCAGCGCTGGGTTATGCAAGCGGACTAGAGGTGACAGTCTGAAGCGAAGTCACATCTGAATCAACTTATAGCTCAAAGCTTTTCAAGATTTACAAGAATGACAAGAATAACAAAAAAGAAAGAGCAACAACGTGCCGAGCTAGAGGGACTTACGCCAAAGCTGTCAAAGCTTCGAGCCAAGTGCCCACGTGTATGCCTTGTATAGGACTTCTCCTCTCTCCGAGTCCTCGGCAAGGGGGCCTTCGGAGTCGTTCACCTGGTTCAGCGACAGGGAACGGAAGAGGTCTATGCACTGAAGCAGATCCAAAAGGCCCACTTCCTCAACAAGAACCACATGAAGGCGAGGCGAAATGCAGTCGGCGACTGCTGTTTTCACTGCACAGCAGCTGCCACTTTCTGCAGCCCTAAGGCTTACAACGAACGTGATGCTCTCTCGCGGGGCCACGGCGTGTGGTTCGTCGACCTTCTTTGCACGTTTCAAGACTCGGAACACATCTACATTGTCATGGAGTTTGTTCAAGGCCAGAACATGTGACAGTGGTTTTTCTGCTGGTGAAAATTCACCGCCTGACCCTTGCATGGGCTAGAACTTGCGGATCTGACATGCATTGCTAGCTGCTAGCGCAAAGCAAGGAATTATGGCCGTTCATTTTTGTGTGACACCACGGCTGTTTGAGGTGGGGACTTCTTCGCTTACATGGAAAAGAAGGACAAACTTTCCATAACAGAGACGCGGTTTTATATGGCAGAGCTCATTTGCGCCATCGCCGCAATTCACCAGTGTGGCTTCATTCACCGTGTCACAGCTGCAAAACTAATTTTGAAGCCTTTCAACCGTTGAGCTCCCTCACATTGGCGGTTGAAACAGGCGATCTGAAGCCGGACAACCTCGTGCTGACGTCGCAGGGGCACCTGAAACTGTTGGACTTTGGCTTGTGCACTCCGGTGGACGTGGAGGAGAGTCCTGCCCTAGCCCGGTGCACTTAGCTTGGCGAAGCATGGTGCAACATGGTGCAGCATGGCCGGATGGTGAAATTGGCAGGAGTACATGATGCAGGTCGAGTATGACAGCAAATATCAGGGTGTTAATTTCCAGGAGAGACCAGGCCGGAACCACGTCTTTTGGCACTCTGCCAGGTTCCGAGGAAATGTGTTCCCTGTCTCCCTTTCTGCCTTTCTCCCTTTGTCCCTTTGTCCCTTTGTCCCTTTGTCCCTTTCTCCCTTTCTCCCTTTCTCCCTTTCTCCCTTTCTCCCTTTATCCTTCTGCCTCTCCCTCTCCGACTCTCTCTCTGTCTATCTCTTTCTCTCTCTCTCTCTCTCTCTCCGTGTCTCTCTCTCTCTCTCTCCCCCCGTGTCTCCCTCCCTCCCCTCCCTCCCTCTCTCTCTCTCTCTCTCTCTCTCTCTCTCTCTCTCTCTCTCGTTCGCTCTTGCCTGAGGTAGGGAGGGCCTTCGGACGGCCTGTGGCACCCCACAATACATGGCGCCAGCCGCATGGTGCATGAGGCCCGTGGCATTGGACTCAACTAATCCAGCCCTGGATTTAAGGAGATGTTCAATGGCCGGGCATGTGCAGCCTCGGATTTGTGGGCGCTGGGGGTCATCACGCCCTCTGGCTGCATGGGCTCGGCAGTTGGGCACGGTGCGTACATGTGGGCTTGAAGTTTCAGCCAAGCCGGTCAAGTCCATGTGCCCTCGCCCGTATGCGTCGTATGTCTATGTCCAGGGCCTGGACAGAGGCGAACAGCAGGCCAGGCAATAAGGCAAAGGCGGCCTCAACAGACGGGCAACTGCGTCGGGACGTTGGTCTTCTCAGCAGACCAGATGGAGCTAATAGAGACACGAGACTTTTTCCCCTCCGACGAGTGGTGTCTTAGATTTTAGGGAGTGGGTCTGAAAAGCATCAAAAGGCCACGCAGTACGCCAAGACAGCAGGCAACGGTAGCGGAGTGAGGCCTCAAGGCCTCAATCAGCAGACCAAAAGGCCAGCACTGCAGACCCTGCAGCACCCATGACAGCAAGGGACTGTTAGCGGCGGACATTGGTAGGCGTTCATTTTCTGGGGCCTTGTCCCATCGACCCCACATCAACGGGCATCGCTTTTTTAAGGTGTCACGAAATACGGGCCCGCTGTGCGTAGGAGACGACGGCTGAGCCCAAGAACCCGTTAAGGCACTTAATATGGGCCGCTTTTGTCGATATGGCAGATCAAGCCCTTGTCGCCGCAGGGTTGTAGGCTGAAGGATATGGTAGCGATGCTCGAAGTGGAAAGTTGTCCGAGCTGAGATTCGAATGCCTTTCGGGAAGCCTGCCCTTCTACACACAGAGTCGCGACCGGCGGCGTGCTTTCCAGGAGTGGAAGTCAATATCAGCCAATATATGTTTGACATGTTACACACTATGCATGATCCATGTTAGGAGCTCCGAAGTCAAATTCAACATCATGCTGCTCGGCACTGCTCGGATTTCCTGGCAGGTTGTTTTTGCGCTAGGCTTTTGGTTCTTTTTGATCCATTCCCCGTCTCTCAGGAAGCCAACCTGCCCACCCGGCTTGCCCGGATGCAAAAGAAGCAGCGCGACCTGGGAGCTACTCCGCAAGATTGTGTCAAGGCCTCGCAATTCGTGAACAAGGCGCCACTGGCCAATGCTGGCCATCCTCAATAAAGGTTTGAAGGTGTTGGTTCCGTGGGTGTCCGGTGCTCCGGATGCCTCCTTTGAGCCGGATGATGCGAGGTGCTCTGCCCTGTCGAGCGCCGCATCACTGCATTCGAGTGCCAGCTGGACGACTTCTTTGAGGGCCTGGATTTCAGCCGACTGCAGGCTCGACGCTTCAGCCCAGTCACGCTCACGCTAGAAGGGCATATATAGAACGGCAGGTCAATGCTTTCAACCTCTTTTTCGGTATGAAAAGGAGATGCAGCCGCCACATCAGCCTTCGTGCAAGAGCGCAACTGATGCGTCCAATTTCGATGACTTCCCGGCTGAGAAGCTGCCCACTCCAGAGGATCGTGGGATGAACCCGATGAACCCTATGCCATGCTGCCATGCGAGGCTTGTGCCGTGACGTGTCGTGACAGGATATCACTTGCATGGACCCTGACCTCGACTGGCCTCTCTACGAAGATGATGCAAAGGCTTCTCGAGCACGTTGCCGGGCGCGAAGATTCTGATATGTTAGATATGTTCCTGATATGCCGGCCATGTCCCGGCTCACGCTCACTCAGTTGCTGGCTGTGTGGCAGACTTCTTTTGTCATCAAGGTGATGCTGGCAGGATTCGCTGAGCTGCCAGGCACTGCCAGCCTCTCGGACGAACAACGACTGTAATGACCAGCAGCTTACAACAGCATCTCAAGTGCCATGTCTGATGTCGATGCCGCATCAAAGGCAGCAGCCCGATAGTACAGGCTGAGCAAGCGTTTGCGCCACTTCGACTTGTTCTGGAAGTCTAATTAATGACGCAGGGACATTTTGCCAACACTCGTTGGCCTCTGATTTTGTGGCTTCTCGAGCGGTGCATGTGTATAGCTGGATTCACAGTCCCAGTAGGGTGACGTTCAATGCCGAGAATCCACCATCCTCTCCCGGCTAAGCCAGATCGATGAAATCCTGCATGTGATTTCGGCTGGCTGGCACAATTCACTGAAGCATGAGCTCTGGGCAGTGAAGTTTTGACCTTTGCGGCTGTTTATGCTGTTATTGGGCAGACATTGGTCAGGCATTGAAGACATTCTGTGCAGAACGGATAAACCACCGCGGTCACGGCCGTGGCTGTTGCAGCCATCGGCGAGACACTGCCAGGGATATTGCAGAGATCGACAGAATGTACAGATGCGGGCGTCTGCTCGTGATCTCTCGAGTCGATCTCGTTCCCATCTTTGCATGGGAGTGAGCCGAATGCATTTGAGAACTTGAGGGACAAGAATCCGTGCCAAGTGGGGGGGGGCGAAGCTTCCTTGTGACGCACCCATGGACAAAAAGACCATGCTGAGCCCAGGCCACCCGGAGCAGGTTCTGGCCTTGGCCACCACACCAGCGCGGAAGCATTAGACAGAGGAAGCCACATGCATTCTTACATATTATACTGGGGATGGATGAGGCTGACGGTTCTTGGTGAATGCTTCGCACGCACGCTGTGCACGAACGCGTCGCACGTGAGCACACTGCAGAACGGCGAGGCGTCCAGCTTCCGGAGCTTCCGGGCCTTGGGCTCGGCCCGCTGAGCCCTGGGCCAGGTCCGCCAGGTCCCGGGCTCCTGAGTGCGCCCATGGCATTCCCGCTGGCGTCTCCAGAGGCATCCGGACAAAAAGAGTTTTGAGAAAAGAAACCAATGGTCTTGCAACGTATGACAGTGCTGCATTGCACTGTGCTCTGTGCTAGGGCTGCTGGGATCTCAATCCGCAGGATCCGCGGAGAGCGGCGATGCTGCATGCAGCCTGGGCAGCGAGGCCTCAAGCGCAAGCGCAGAGAGGCCTCAAGCACCAAGAGCTGAGAGCTTCAGAACACGGTAGGCTCACACAAGGGAGCCCTTGGTCCCCGGCATGGGCCTCGGTCTAGAGAGTCCAGAGATTCGACTAGGGGACTGAGATGGACTGAGTTTAGAGCCTAGCCTCTAGCAAACAGGGTTCACCTCTAGGTAGTTCCAGCAGTTCAGGCCCCACCCTCTGCCGGTGCGAACGCGCCGAGCTTCGCTGAGAGCTTAGCCAGGAAGTCTGCGTGCGTAAAGGTTATGGCTCTGCCTGGGACTGTAACTTTGTGGCGAGTCGTCCCCGACGGTCTAGCTGCAATCGGCGCCGCGTGCGAAGCCATCGGACCTCGCACTGAAACGTAATGTGGCGACCGAAACACGGAAACAAGTTAAGAACATGACAGCTGAGTCGACTGGCACTTGGGTGTTTGGCACCATATTCACTTCTGCAGTGCTTTGGGAACTGCTCGGCGCTATCGAAAAAGTCATGAAGCCATCATAGCCACTATAGCCACTCAGGTAGATTCTGGAGTCGTCCAAGCTCTTTCCCCAGCATTCGTACTGCTCAGAAAGCTGCTGCCGCAAGCCGCCGTGTACCGCGATCTTAAATCCCAAGAAGCCAGAAAGAGCCCAGGCAGAGCTTGCGGGCCCGGTGCAGGCGTCAACGGGACAATCGGAGGTTTTTGTTTGGCATGGGTTTTCGCAGGCGGCAGGCGCGTTTGCAGGGTCTTAGTTGGCTGAGGTGGAAACTCCAGCTCCTGGCACAGCACCCGGAGCGCTTGGCTTCAACAGATGTAAGCATATTTTTTGGGTTCGCCTTGTCACCCTAGGCCCTCTTGAAGGCACTACAGTCCCACTAAAGCCAACATTGCCTGTTCAATGCCTCAGAGGCTGCGACGGACCTGTGGGGTGATGCCGCCGCAATGATCAGCCCGCCGCGACTGGCTGCGGAACTCTGAGTCCCGAACGCCACAAGGTTGGCGTGGGGGATACCTGATGATCGTGCCTTACGCGTTGGTGTGTGAAACAATGCAGTACAAGACTGCAAAAATTAGGCTTGGAGTTGGCTTTCCTCCTGCAAAGGCAGGAGATGCCACCACACATCTTTTGAATTTCCGTTTGCCTTTGTCCGAAATCGGCTGGGCGTTGCCATTCAATTGAGCCATTGGAGCTCGCAACCCATCGTCTCACAAACATGCAGTGAGCTGCAGTGAGCATAAAGCCACGGCGCACGGGCCGTGGACTTGGCTCGGTCATGCTACGAGCACTCTCCAGTTCTCAACGCTAAGCGTCGACCGCCACGGCCCTGCTGGGAAAACCTAGACAGCTCGTAAAGTTTGGGCGAGTCGGGAGTTTTTTTAGGGGCTTTTGGGCGGGCTTGGCGTAGTTTTGGGTTGAGGGTGGTGCTGCTACGCCGCGTGTCCAACTTGGGGTCCTGCCTCAGGGAGTCAGGGCGCCTTTCGTGCCCCTAAGCAGGAAACAGAACCCCAATTCCCAGCAAGAAATGTCAAAATCCGTCTTCATGGCGGTGATCGTTGCCCGGGCTCTGCAGCTTCTCGTGGCTCCTCGGTTGGGGCCCATGGCTCCAGCGCTACAGCCTCGGTCTCCTCTCAGAGCTTGGAACATTTTCGGAGGTTGATTGGTGCTCTGTGCGCAGTTCCTTCCATGTCTCGCCAATGAGGGAAGAGCTGGAGGGTCACCTCCGGCGAGGAGTGCTGGTATCCAAGCACTGTAGACCATCATAGACACATGGTACCCTGATCTCATCTGATCTCGGTCTCTATCGGACTGAGGCTGGTGCGTATCCGTGGTCTCCAAAGCGCAGAAGGTTCTCGGCTCAATGGGCAGCTGCAGGCTCAGAGAAGAGTCCTCGAACAAGGACTGCGTCTCTACGTGCCTGTACATGCGTCTGCCTGTGTGTCGCTATCTGGTGTTGCCACGTCTGCTGCGCAGTCTATTTCTGTTGGAGGATGCTGCTGCTTACACAATGCTAGCTCTAAGGCTGGGGCGGTGTGATCGCTTTGATGAGAAGACAGGGTCGGGCCCATAGATTCACTTCATTTTATGAGAACAAGGTAACGAGGCGCTGCAGTGAGACGTGCTTGGAATGGGAAAATCCATTGAGAAATGCATTGTGTGGCCCAGGCGTTGGGGAGTGATCATGGGAGATGGTTCGACAAAGGAGCGCATCGCAAGACCTCGACAAATCCTGGGCCCAGAGCAGCTTCTGATGTTTGAAGGCCCTCAAGGCCGCCAACATGTTCTCCTTTGACGAGTATCTCAAGGCTTTCCCTCGCAGTCACAGTCCATAAGCCAAAGATCGAAGGTGCTCGAACAGCTTGAACAGCCCTATTCTTGCGCTCCAGGTGGCTCATGAAGGGCGGACGCCTGTAGACATCGGACTGGCGAAATGGAATTGTGCTGCCGAGTGACTGCGCATTGTATGCAAACGATATTGCAGGACCTTTCATGAATGATTTCTTAACAAACCCCAAGTACGATGTGCAGGGCTTAGCGGCTTAGAGCGGCTTCAGCGCGCAGCCGATGCACAGGAGCGCTGAGCACGAACAGCTAAGGCATCTGGAGCCGGCGGCTACAAGAGCCAAGCAGGCACTGATTGGGTTTGGTAAGATAACACATCCTCTACGCACATGGGTTTGGCTTTTCGATGCAGAATTCAATTCTTGTCTTACAGGCTTTGAGTTCGGGCTTATGGATGAAGTTTTCGGTTCTGGATACGAGGTAAGTAGATGGACCGCAAGATGAGCCTTTAGAGCCTTTCGAGGCGTCTAATAGACAGGAGCTTTCACAATGAGCTCCTGCTGTGGTTCTTGCCAAGAGCAATCAAAGAGCGACGCTGCAGGTGTTGCAAGAGGTTTGTCATGTTATCTTCGTGCCGCCATCGCAAGTAGAAGCTCGAACGTTTCAAGCTCTAACATACGGTGTTGCGTAAGCATGGGGCTTCTTAAGGTCTTTTCAACCAAACCCATTGCTCTTCCTCTTCCTGGAACACGCGCTGCTGTACCCCATCAACGTGGTTGGCCATGACAATGACCCAATCTGATAAGATGAAGTGCAGTAGAAAGTATGAGCACTTCAAAAAGCTTCCGTCGTGGTTCGGGAGGCATGAATGGGGAGGGTTTACGTGACTATGTTCGTTTAGCAAGACGTTCTCTATGCTGTTTCCTGCTTCTGTTTGTTTTTGTTCATGGCCGTTTTTGGCAGTGTCGGTTTTTGTTAGTGGTTGTTCGGCCTGTCACACCGTGCGGAAGGTGTGCGCTTTCCGCAGAAGGGGAATGGGTGGGGGGTTGACGTCATTGGGCGGAAGTTAGGGTCGAAACACGTGTGAATTCTAGGTCTTCTCTTCCTCTTTGATCTTTGTCATGAGGGGGCAACATGCTCGCACATGCAAACTTGCAGACGAACCTGCACACGCCAGCCCCTGTCAGCAGTATGGCATCATGGTGCCGCATTGCCTGGCCAGATCCAGGTCTCGGTCTAGAGAACATCAAAGTAAATCTGCCCCTTGCCTCTTGCCATCTCTTGTCCCATTGCCACTGGGCTGTTCCGACCATGTGAGATTGAGATTAGCCATGCCTGCCAGTGTTTTCGGCCCTTCAGTTTCTCATCTTCTTCGGATACGAAGTCGATGTGTCGCCCCTACATTCTGTTACTTGGTTGTTGTTGTTGCGAAGATAGTGGATGTTTTAGAGAAGTCTTTCGGGCGTCCCTAGTCCTCAACGAAGCCTTGCAGAATTCATCCCCGAAATCAAGGAAGAAGCAGAATCATAGCGGCATTTCGAGAATCGTGGGTTTCTGCAACCAGCTCCCGGTGCAAGGCTCTGTTTCAAATCAGTCTGGACTTTGAAGTAGACAGAGGGTTCCACACTCTTTGGTTCAAACCACTGCGCAGGTCGGATGCCGTCGTGCGTTCTTCCTACAAGTAACTGTCTTGTGGGTGTAAAGCAAGGCAGGCGTGGCATATTCCATGTCTGTTTTGAAGGCGGTCAAAAGGCAGAAAGCACTGCGTTTGGCGATGCTTTCGTGGCTTGAGACTGCAAACAAGTGGTTTGCAGTTTGGCCCCGAAGTGGGTCCTCTTTTTGGTTTACTTGCCTGACTGAGCGTTCTGGGTAGCAGAACTCGAAGCTGTCTCTTGCAGCTCCTGAAGTAGTGGTCCGTGCTGGAAAGCAAGCCACCCGGAGCATTCCCACAACCACTGAAAAACTTCGTGCGTCCAGACAGGTGCTTGGTTCTCAGGTTTGCGGACATGGATGCTCTGAGCAATGGATGTACTGGGGACCACGGATGTTGTCAGCGTCCGGCCATGCGTTTTCTGCGCTGGACGTGCGCAGGCAGTTGCTCGCGACGTGAGTGGATCTGTGGAGTGCCAGCCGTGTGCAAAACGCACGACGGCAAACAAGTTACTCAAGTTTCCCAGGCTTCGATGGGTTAGGTTAAGGCCGAAGCCGAAGCCTCAAAACTCCACGCCCGCGACCCGTGGGTTTTCGCAAAAAAATGACCCGACAAGACCATGCTCCGGCTGTGACGTGGTGATGCCCGTGTTGACTGTCTCAGGGGCTCTGAGTGGGCTCCTGTGAAGTTCGATGCGTCTCAGACACCGATTCGGGGTTTCAAGAGCCACTGCCTGCCCTACAGGCAAAGAGGCCAAAGCAGGCCTTTCGCCACAAGAGCGGCTGCAGCAGTCGTATGACAAGGCTTCGGCATTCACCTGGCCCCTAAAGGCAGACTCATCACCAGCCGTATCATTGAAGGCCCAGCGTGAAGGCCGCAGAGCAAGCCCCAGATTGAGCAGTGGACTCGGTGACGACGGCCACCAGTTCTGGGGCCCCCTGACATTGCCTTTGTAAGGCAAAGAGGATGACAAGTCTGGGAAGTATTCGCCTTATGTGGTGAAGCAGGTGCCTGTGAGCTGAAAGCAGGGGGTGCAAAGTGCAAAGTGTAGCCAAGGCTCGCTGAATTTTACCTGCAGGTGGAGTTACAAGCAGGCCCCATCGAGCTGGGCATCATTGCCCCCCCGCACCAGGTCCCCGGTCCCGGTGCATACGAGTAGAAATGCACTCAGAGGCACTCAAAGGCACTCAATCTCGTCCCCGTGCCAATATGTGCTAGTTGAGGACTCTCGGAGGCCGATACCCACCATCTTAGCCATCTCAAGAGGCGAGCAGCGCACGGGCCTTAGACCAAGAGGCGACACCTTCCGACAGGTTCCGGCAACTTTGAAAGGAGTCTTTGAAAGCCTCCTTTTTTTGTGAGTCGAGACTCGGACACTTTGCGCAAGGCCATGTCGCAAAGCTTTTCCGGGCCTTGCGGGCGGAAGAGCGTGGCTGGCAGTTGCCTTCGTCCCAGCTCGCTCTTGTGTCAAAACACTTCCAAAAAACTCAATACGTCATCATTTTCGGCACAAGTTGTGCCGCATCTTGGGCAACATGTCAATGATTCTCGAGGCTCGTGCCCATGCGCACGGCCAACAGCCCCGACTTCTTTGAGCCGCCCCTTGCCTTTGAGTTACGTAGAGCGGAGCTCCCAGTAAAGTACCCACAGCACCCTGGCCCTTGTTGTCAGGGCCGGCTTGACCATCCTGGAGCAGCTCTTGAAGGAGGGAACCGTCAGGATTCCTGCCTTGCGGGCCTGCAAGTAGGACAATTCTAGCAGGCGACGTATAGCTGGTGGTGGGGCTTTGCGCCCCCGCCCCCCCCCCCCCCTCCCTCCCCCCGGCCGGTTCATTTTTCATTGCCTGTGTTACCATGTATTTGCATGCGTTTGCTGATTTCGTTTTGCTTGTGGAAGGCGGTGCTGGAGGATCGAGAGGGCGACATCAGTCCCTTCGGAGCCATGAGCATGGCGCCCAGGAGACTTAGAAGGAGTTGACACAGTGCGTGTCGCTGCTTCATCCGTCAGGCAACGTGTTCCATTTCCTGGGCATGAGCCATGGCTTCGCTCCCAGAAATGTTCAAAGAACCTTTCCTTAAGCAATACGCCGATAGGACTTTGAGAGGAGTTCCTGACAGGTTCCTGAGAGCTTCCTGAGGTTCTGCCGCCTTGCTGTCCTTGGCTTGCAAAGCCCCCGAGCAAGTTGCAGCGCGCTCTGAGACTCCCATCACTCTCACTCACTCACTCTCTCTCTCTCTCTCGCTCTCTCTCTCTCTCTCTCTCTCTCTCTCTCTCTCTCTCTCCTTTTCCATTTTTGCAAGAGCTAGGGATGCTGAAGTCTTCGCCATTGTGCAACCCAGGGCTCCTTGACACTCATCCAGGGATTCCTGCCACAGCTTTGCGAAATCCAGGTGGGGCGGCGCGGGTGGTCGAAGATTCTTTGACATGCTTTGCCGCCATGTTCGTTGGCTTTCGCAGGCGCTCAGAAACACGGAAAATATCCATTTCTACGTGGGCGACCAAGATGAGTTGGGCTCGGACCTTGGGCAGATTTGGGCAGCTTGTGGCAGCTTGGCGGTCGCCCTCGCTGCATTCAGCAACGCGGCAACTCGGCACATCAGCCCTGCAGGCCACCGTGAGTATCTCCGTGGCATCAAGGAATCCCTCAAGGCAGAGCTGTGGGCTTCGAATCCTCTTGGTATTCTCCTGGTGTCCTTTTGGCATCCTGTGCTGCATCTTTGAGGAGGCCGGTGGCCGATCGCACACGCATCTTGCCTGGCACTCGAAGCTCCTCATATCCCTCTCCTTTGTTGGCTTGCATACGTCGTGGTGGAAGGTCAAGGGTGCCAGCCATTATGACATCGACAAGTTCATCGACCTGGAGGAGCACTGAAACTTACCAGGTTACTGGCCGCATCCTGCATGTTTTTTCTCTTTCAAAGGGCTTCTTTGTTTATTCAACTGCTTTTGCATGTTTTCCTGTTGTGATTCCTCCTTCTGCTGCTTTTTTTTGTCGTTTCCTTGTTGCTTTTCGCACTGGAATTTTGATTCTCATATTAACTTGCATGAATTTTCCTGCGGGTTGAGTACTTTTCTGTCTTGCAAAACAGCGCGGCTAAATGCCTGGATCTTGACTCTTGCCCATGCCGGGAACCAAATGCCGCGGACAAAGCGATTGTTCAGTGATTTACACTACGTGTGCCCCAAGCTGTGGCTCGTAAGTGCACAGCCAGACACACTGTAACATTTGAGCTTATTTGAAAGCTGCCTGACATCTGGCAAGGCTGTGGCTCACACCTTTTGACGCTTCGTCGAACGTGCCCAACACCGGCCGGATAATGTTGTAGCTTGTTGTTTTCACGCTGTTTTCGTTCTGGTCAACATGTCCAGAAGTGCCGTAGCGCGAGTCGGCAGAAATTCTTTGGTTTTTGCAGAATCAGCTGGTGGTTGTAACAAGCATTCATGCCTTTCGTGAACATGGCGCCAAAGGACTCTTGTCAAGCGCGCCAAGACTCGTTCTCGGGCTGCCCGAGAGCCTTTCTTTCTGGAAGTCGTACTAACACGTAGTTTCGAAACTCCACCATCAGTTCTGCGCAGGATCTCTGGAAGCGACTGGAGTTGGCACGCTGAGAGATGCTGAGAGATGCTGAGAGATGCGAGAGCACCTCGCAGCTTATATAGCTTGATCCAAGGCTGAGTTTCACCGGCATAGGCATAGGCTACCTGACGGAGGCTAGTTGTCTTCATGTCTTCCAGCGGATGTTAGAAATGGCTATCCAAGGCTGCAGGCATCTTGCACTCGTTCTATCACCTGCTATCCCATGACTTGCAGAGTCTTGCGTGGCAATCAGCCGAGAGGCTCAGGAGTGCTAGAGACCAGTGGTAGAGACAAGTGCTGGAGCTCCAACGGCTGCGAACGGAGCATGTCAGAGCCCATGGCGCGAAAGCGGCGGAGGGCACTTGAATCTCTGGACCTTCCTCATCTTCCTCCTGACATTGTGCGTGAAGGGCATGGCGACCTTCCCTGGGCCTGGCGTCTTGAAGACATGTCCCTGAACACTCCACATCCCAGGAAGTCGCAGTCCCATGACCTTTCAGCTCTTTCCCCGTTTGTTCGGTTGGACAGGCTTGACAGGGACTTGGCCTCCCCATCCCTGCCGTCCCTGAAGAGCTCCAGGAATCTCAGCACCGGCTTTGCAGAGCCGGCAGCACGGCGGCCGCGAAGGGAGCCAGCACCGACAATCAGCTGGGAGCCCTTCTTTGCAGAGAAGGGGCAGCCCCGAGACTTGCCGGAGATATTGGTCTCTGAGAAGAGCGCGACGCTTCCGTGGGCCTGGAGACTGCCCTTTGCCGATGCAGAGGGGTGGTAAGGCTACCCCACAAACCTGGCTCCGGTGCCAGTTAACGATAGGGCGTGCAGGCGAGTGTTTAATTGAAGTTCTGGCTGCGACCAGCAGCAGGAACTGCACAATTCGGAATTGGCCACTGCAGTGAACGCCCATCTGGTACAGGTTGCAACAGGGCCGTTGAGTTCAAAAAGCCTGCCAATGCCGTCATGGTAGCCGTCAGCCGGATCGTGTTGGCATGCATTCGCATTGCCAGGAGCACGCAGAAGCCCATAAGGATCAAACGCATCATGAGGATCATAACGTGCATGGTAAATGGTCGTCAGTTCTTTCTACATTGTGTGGAATGCCAACCGAAGGCAGCACATCCTGGCGTCCTTGCGCCGAGAGGTTACTGCGTAAGTTGCGCCGCTCGAGTTTCTAGTTTCTTCTACCAGCCATGCTCAGAGAGCCAGAGAAGCTTGTGAGGTGAATAGGCAATGTCAGGCCTTGCGCCAGGCCTTGCGCCAGGCCTTGCGACCCCATGGACAGGCCACGACCTTCACGAGCTTGCAGAGCAGCTGCCGGCTCTTCGAATTCGTCGAACAAGCGCTGCAAGCGCTGTTTTTCCGCGAGCTCTTCGCCATGGATTTGCAGGGCCGGCCCGATCGGCTCTCGGCGCACCGAAGTTGCGACAAAGCTGGCGAACTTCGAGTGGCCGGCAAGTGTTGCCTTACTTGCCCGCTTCAGCGTTCCTGGTGGCATGGCAGTGGCGCAGGCGTGGGAGTGTCACACTATGTCACACTATGTCACTCTGAAGAAAGAGCGCCGTGATGTCATGAATGTCACATCAAGCCAGGTCGCACCTCGCAAGGCAGTCCAACTCTTCTAATTCTTCCTCTGCGCCTGGAGGAAGAGGCCCCACTGCACCGCAAACATGTCAGGAGCTCCGTGGAAAAAGTGTTCTGCCAGGCATGAAGCGATTTGGGCCCTTCAGGGTCAAGCCCTTCAAGAAGTTCAAGACACCGCGCTGGAGCTGGTCACACGTGCGACTCCTGGTGCTAGGAGCTGCCTGTTGTCGGGCTTGGTTCTGCCATGGCGGCTTTGGGGTTCCACAGGGTGACCTTTGGTTTATGTCAATGTAAAAAGTATGTTAAAAAAGTGATCTCTGTGTTTGTTTGCATGTTTTGGAGGAGCCTCTGCCTTGCTCGTAGTCTACCGGATGGCTAAGTGGGGATCGGCCCAGGGCCGGCTGGACACCTTCACCGACCGGGCACGAGCGTATCATGGCGTCTGTGGATCTTTGGCCGCTGATCTGGCCTTCTCATCCATCGCCTTCATTGCCTTCGCGATTTGCGCAGGGACAGAAACGGCAATCACAACCTTGTGGCCTTGGAAAGTCCGCGAGTATGCGCAGCGCGAGTTTGAAAAGGAGCGGGGTTGTGAGATTATGCGAGCAACATAACCCGAAGACTGTCGAGCAGAGGTCGCCAGAGTAGATGTCCACTGCTTCACGGCTCCACTCAGTTCAGGCGGAGCAGAAAGTCAGGGAGAGTCGTGAAGGTGGTGGCCCAGAGATCAATGCGAAGGCCCGGCTAAGGGCTTTTGTGGCATTCTGCCTTTGAGGTGCTGCCATACTCAGCGTTGACACATGGTGCGTGGTCTGCAGGGTTGCCAGTAGCCACAAAGTGCTCATGCGCGGGTGGCAAAAACAAAGTGCTCATGACAGAGCAGCAAGGTTACATGTTGCATGATCCAGTTGCCGCAGTATCTGTATCGTGTAGGGCTCGGGTTGGACAAGCAGGAGCTTCAGGGTCCTGGCGAGCATGAAAAAACTCAGTGACGGCAGCGGCGGCTGATCGTGCTGGATGATGTGTTGTTTGTGGAGGATGGATCGTGTATGAGAAATGATTCGCTCATGATGGTAGTGATGATGAGCAGACATTCGGCTGCGCTGCACTGTAAGTGTCGGCGTCAGGCACAGCTTGGCAAATGGACGGCGTTGAGGGAGGACATCCAGCGCTTCATGCAAACTATTCTGATTGGGGCCACTTTAGCTGGTGTCTTGTCTGCACGGCTGTCACGTCATGGCTTTGGCAACTCGAAGCCTTCACTACCCCCTACGAAGTACGAGAAGGGCTTGGGTCCTTCTAGGTTTAAGGAGCTTGATGTTGGCCAGCTTCCTCTGGGGGTGACAGACAAGAGGTGTGGTTAGCACAGCCTTCATCACAGAAATCTGCGGGCAGCTGTTTGGACCTCGTGGCTTGGGGATCGCCTGCCGCCCAGAAAGAGTGGAAGCCGCTTTTTCCCTAAAAATCATGATTTGAACATATTTGAACTATTGAGGCAACTGTGTCAGTGACATTGGTGCAGCTAACGTGCCGCACTCAGAATTCGGGACAGAGAGTGAGAAGGAAGCAATTCACAGCTGGAAGGTGTAAGCTAAACAATGCAATAGAAAGTGGGCACTTTCAGGTTGGGAGAGATCCTCCCCAAGAGCATGGCCGTGTCCAATCCCTATAACTTTGCGCAAGCAACGCTGCCTGCCTTCTACAGGCCCGAGCTGCACCGCTAAGGTGTCGTTTGGTGTCGTTTGCATTGGCTAGTTGCGGCTAGTTCTGTTGTAAACATGCAGCAGGATTTCGACCGTCGTCTACCCCGTCAGCAAGATTTTGAATGAGGCGTTTGGGACAAAGTATGATGAAGTGGGCGACACCACGAAAATCCTCAGAATGAACTTGGCCAGGCGGTCTCGCTCCTGCTTGGCATGTGTGGAGTGCCTGTTGACACCAAGAAGACGCCATATGTTTCCGAGGAGGCGGTGCGGCACTATGTGCATCGCGGAATCTAGGAGGTACCCTCGAGAGCTCTGTTTGTCTACGTGTCGATGCAGGAGCTCGATCTGGTGTTCCGCTCTGCGATGCAGAGCGGCATCGTGGATGAGGAGGAGGGTGAGATGATACGGAGTGTCCGTAACTTGGATAGCAAACGCATCAAGGCCGGCGGTGGGGGAGTTCGAGACACCTGAGCAATCATCACGCACTTTGACAGTACTTTGAGTTCAACAGCTGGCTGCGGCCTTTGAGGAGATCATGACACCGCTGGTCGACATGATCTGCATTGAGTCGCAGGAGCCCATCTCGAAACTCCACAATGTTATCAAGGAGACACAGATCCTAGTCAGCACCAGGACAGCAGGAGCAATCGATCATATGCAGCACGATGGAACATTGCCAGTGGGCCAGGTTCAGCAGAATTCCCGTGTACGATGTGCGCTTTGACAACATCGTCGGTGCTTTGGTAGCCGGATGTAGCCCCATGCGATACTAAATCCACAGTATAGAGTCTAGAGGAGACAAAGCATTTCAGTTTGCTCTTCACATGACATGCCGTCGCATGCAAGGCGTGGTCAGCATGAAGACCCTTCTGAAGAATGCCAATGGTTTGGAAGACTTTGTGACCTGCAATACCAAGAAGGTAACAGAGATTTGTGATGTCCCTGTGTTTGTACCGGAGCCCTGGCAGCCATTCTTTTGGATTGTGTGCTTGAAGCTAACAGACCAGGGTGGGTGGTTAGTTGGAGCGTTCGATCGCCTTGTCTGGCAGGTCATCCCAGTGTCAAAACTAAAGGAAGTCCCGGCTCGTCCTGAGCCCATGGACCATGTGGCGCCTCCATGTCAACATGTGCGAGTGAAGCAAAACTCTCGCTGAACGATTGAGGAGACCATGTCGCTGATCTCTGCCCTTCGCTTGCTGAAAGAGCGGACGCTGGCAATCTGCGTGGACATGCGCTTGCAAACTCTTGCAGTTTTAAGACTTTCAGAAGGAAGTCTTGTGGCCGGAATATGTAGGAGCGTTTTGCCAGTTGGAGCTCCTTGCAGTTGTCGGGAGTGTTCCGTGTAGCCAGGAGTATTTAGAGTCTCGAGTGGCTCGGCGAGCGTGAGGTTTTCATTACCCCACGCGCCGCTCCCCCACGCGCCGCTCCCCCATTTTCACAGCACATGTTGATACTGCCGATCCAAATTTGTGTAGGTTATGGCAAGTCGAACACGTGACTGGCCATTGAACATTGCAGTGTGTGCAGGATGAGTATGGAGGAACTACAGGGCTGATCACCCTGGAAGACGTGTTGGAAGAGCACCTTGGATCACGTCCACTTCTCATTAGTAAACCCCCTTCCCTGGGGCTGTAGTCTTGTTTGGGGAGTCCTTTGTTTAGAAGGGCTGGTCTCTTATAGAACGGAAACCCTGAAACCACATCCCGTTCCTCGGGATTGGGGTGTTGTCTCAGCAGGCCTTTGCGTAGGTTCCTGCGCTGTTGCTGAGGATTGTTGGTGAAATCTATGACCCTGATGAGGAGAAGGATAGGGTCGAAAAGCAGCAGAACAATGCCAAAATCCAACAGCGGCTCGGGCAAGTGCAAGCAGTTCTCAGTCTAGGAATCCCAGTGTGCAGGATCTTTGGGGTTCGTCTTCTTGATAGTTATGATAGTTGTAGAACCGGCAGCTACCGACGGCTTATGATGACACGCAAAGGGAACATGTTTCACAGGCATTCGCGTTCGGATGTCTGCTTCCGCCGCTGCTGCTGCTGCCGATGCTGCTGGCTCATTGTGCGTCTTGTGCCAGAGCTAGCAGCTACTGAGGATCGGGCCGGACCGGTTCTCGATGAGTGGGCTAGCCGAGAAGGGTGACGTTGAGGAAGTTCTCGGCATTAAGATGCCGGAGGGAGACTACAACTCAATCGGTGGCTATATGTGCATGTCCATCGACCGGATCCCCGTGGTTGGGGAAGCCGCGACCGTCGAGACAGCTGCAGAAAGGATCCGCTTTGAGATTTCGAGTGTCGATGATCGCAGGGTGCTTCAAGTAGAAGCATTCCGAACCAGCAAAGATGGCACGGACCAGGAGGATTTTGGCGAAGAGGACAAGGACAAAGCTGCCGATGAACAATAGATGCAACAGGAATTCCACGCCATCCAACTAGTCATCAACATCCGCGTCATGCCTTTGTTCGCTCTCTTGTGAGTGTGTCTTACCATCGTAACTTCATTCTTGCTCATGCTGAGGCTTATGCTGTTCAAGTCGTGTGTCAATTCAGGAGACAGAGAAGCATCAAGTGATCTTTGTCGAGTTAGAGCTCATGGACATTCAGAAGGAAGCCGAGGCCATGGATCCAGATGACGCTGATGAAAAAGACGGAAAGCTGGCAAAGTTGGCAAAGCCGGATCCGGAAGAAGCTGAAAAAAGCCTTCCGCAACTCACGAAACTGACCCAAGCAGCAAAAAGCTTGCCGAAAGATGCAAAGGCGTCGTCCGGCGGGGCTGAAGCCAAGACAGCACAAGCACCGAGCCCCAGCCAAGCTGCGAGTTTGCAACAGAGTACAAAGACGTTCGATGGGGCGAAGGCGCCACTGGATACGAAGGCGTCCGCTGCGGACGCCAAGACAGCGCAAGCAAAGGCGGAACAGGATACAAAGCCGTCCGCTGGGGCCGAAGCCAAGACAGCAAAAGCACCGGGCCCCAGCTTGGCAGAGAGTTCGCTACAGGATACAAAGACGTCCGATGCGGCGAAGGCGCCGTCTGCTGCAGAAGCCAAGACAGAGCAAGCAAAGGCGCCACAGGATACAAAGCCGTCCGCTGGGGCCGAAGCCAAGGCAGCACAAGCACCCAGCCCCAGCCAAGCTGCGAGTTCGCAACAGGATACAAAAGCGTCCGATGGGGCGAAGGCGCCATTGAAAGCGAAGCCGCCTGCTGCAGAAGCCAAGACAGCGCAAGCAAAGGCGCCACAGGATACAAAGCCGTCCGCTGTGGCTGGGGCCAAGACAGCACAAGCACCGAGCCCCAGCCAAGCTGCGAGTTTGCAACAGGATACAAAGACGTCCGATGGGGCGAAGGCGCCACTGGATACGAAGCCGTCCGCGGAAGCGAAAACAGTGCAAGCACCGAGCCCCAGCCAAGCTGCAAGTTCGCGACAGGGTACAAAGACCTCCGATGGGGCAAAGGCGCCACAAGATACCAAGCCGTCTGCTGGGGCTGAAGCCAAGCCCAGCCAAGCTGCGAGTTCGCGACAAGATACAAAGACGTCCGATGCGGCGAAGGCGCCACAGGATTCAAAGCCGTCCGCTGGGGCCGAAGCCAAGACAGCAAAAGCACCGGGCCCCAGCCAAGCAGCGAGTTCGGGACAGGATACAAAGTCCGCCGATGGGGCAAAGGTATAGACGACCGTGCCAGTTCAAGCCAGTGACATCAAGACTGGAAGCGCAATTGACCTGGGCAAGGGCATGCAAAAAGCCACATAGGCCAAAGGATGACACATGTGAAGGTTGGAGTTTGAAGCTGATGGTGCTTGCCAAATTTAGCATCCTTTGACCAGGTCTGTTCGCACGAGAGCTGCGAGAGCAGTGGCGTGCTTTAAACTAGCACAGCATTGCGCATCTTTGCGCAGCTACGAGGGGCTGTTTCGATTATGGAAGACCAGTGCACAGGCTTTCAAAGGTGCAGGAAAACATGTGCGCCCTCGAGGATGCCTTGGAATTCTTAGTGCAAGAGGGTGCAACAGTAGATGAGGTTCCCAGCCCTCAGCTGCAAATTCGACCTTCTTTGTTTAATGGTTTGTCTCCATGAGTTCTTTCTGTAGTACTCTTATGCGTGCTGGGTCCGGTATTGGAGAAATGCCCCCACACTCGCATTTCTAGAGCATGATACATCCGAGACCACAAGCAACACACAGGCCAGGAAGACGTGGTAAACGCCATGACTGACACCATGGCTGGAACAAACCTGCCCAAAGAAGCGCAGCGGTGCAGACTTGCCCAAGTGTGAATGTGACGTGTGCAGGATATCGCAAGGCTCCAATGATAGGGCGGCCTGCAGCGCTGGTAGCGTTGGGGCGGGTACCTGGCTTGCCTGCCCTTAGAATGGGCACGCCAATGAGCTCCCTGGGCTCACTTGGCCAAGTTCGGGGCCAAATGCATGCCGCGATTTGACGTGGAGATTCGGAGATACCTGCAGCTGGCCGATAGATTCCGACAGACGTCGCATGAGGTTGCCGCGGTTGACGTGTCAGCTGGAGCCTCACAGTCCTGAGTGCCTGCAAGCAGCAAGCCTTCATTGACATCACTTCAGGTTCAATTTGCTTGCTTCGCAGTGGCAGCAGCTCTCCAAACAGAAAAGTTCTATGACATATCCGCGAGGCTCGTCTCAATCTGTCCCGTTGCATCAGAAGCTCAAAAAGCCTGATTCCAAAATAGCGGACAGTTTGCCGACAGTCGTTTCATGTGAACTCCTGTCGAGTGGACCTGGAGCCCCTAGAAGGATCACAAGTCTTCCAAAGAATCCTAGTTGCAACCTGCACTGATTGATGATTGATGATTGTGCCCTGTGAAGTTTGACCTACGTGCTCTGCGTTCTCCTCTCCTTTCGGGCTGGTGGCCGATCCACGAGGCTTGTGCTCATCTACACTCTACACAAGACGCATGCGCGGGTGTGTGTGTGTGTGTGTCTTCGCAATGTACACTGCGGTTCAGTTTCATGGGCGTCATCACCTCGCGCATGAAAGAGGAATGTGGACCACAACTCTTAATCAGCGGCTTCGAAGCCTTTCGTTGTCGGAGTGAGCGAAGAACCAGCGAAGTCAGCCTCCATCAGTTGCGGCATCTGAGTGAGGTGCAAAGTCAACTCCGGCCTCGTCATTGCCTGGAACTCGGCTCGGTATTAATCCACTCGCAGAGAGCTGCAAAGCCGAGGCTTGGGCAGTGCGCCTGGGCAGTTTGCAGCCCAGCTCGACACTAACTTTAAACTCGAGCCTGTGTAAGCTGTGTAAGAGCCTCTCCATGACTTCGTGCTTACACAACCGGTACGTGGTCAGCCGCACGTCGTGGTGTCATCCGTGGCATCTAAATCGTTGGCCTTGGGCGGTTAAATGTATCGCTATGCCCGCAGCCTCGGCTGGGGGAGTGCTGGGGGGGCCCCAGCGTGAGGAGCACCCGAGCAAGGCAACAATGAACGAACGAAGCGGGCTCGGATTTGGAGATCTAGGGCCTTTCACGGCTTAAGGATGCAAAAGACCGTGAAGGTGCAGCAGTGCGGGAAGGGTTAAGGGACCTTGGCTTCAAACCCGAAACCTGACAGGTCTGTGCTGTGCTGAGCTGCTCACGCAATATCACGAGATCTACGTAAGTTGGCCACAGATCCTCTTCAGCAGTTTCAACAGACAAATCGTCATGTGTATGGCATGCCCCCCTGGCGTCCTTACTGAGAACACCTAAAGGTTCTCTCGGTCTCTTGGAGGCCGGGGAGATTCTATGAGACTCCCTGCATTCGGTTGCCGGGCAGGGGGGTTCCCGTATAAGGCGTCCACAAAGGCCTTTGCCCCCAACGCACCGTCCGTGCCCAGGGCCCACCGGGCTAAGAAAGGCCAAACAAAAGGGAAAAACGAAAGTTCGGTAGCAGATTGCTTCGCTGTCTGTTTCCAGCACCAAGGGTATGGGAAGACAGTAAACCGAAATGCTTGTTTACGAGTTTCAACACGCTCTGCGATCGAATGCTGCAGGAACAATGCTCAGTAATGTTGGGGAAAATTGAAGATTGAAAGCCAAGGGTTCTTTGGATCCTTTTGCCACGCTCCAAAGCTGATAAGTTAGGCAAGCTTGCAAGCAAAACGCACGACGTACTGCATATCTGATAAAATCCGATTGCAGTCAAGCAGTCAAGGCCTGAGCACATTCCGGCCTCAAAAGGGCCAACTGCGAACCTCGAGCTGTGCAAACGGACAGTCTCACAAGCTCGCAGAGAGTTCTCCTCGACATGTTACGAGTTCCCAGATCTTGTGCTGTTTGCACGAGACCGATGGTTTGGTGATTTGATTTCCCTTTGTTTTTTGTTTTCGATACCCCGTGCCTGGTACCGTCCCCAGGTCCCCTAGACCCCGGCCCACAGACAATTCGGCGATGGGGGCCTCTTCTGCCTGCTGCAAGGTTTCTTGCTGTGGCGCGTGGTGCAAGATGGAGGCGACAGTCGATTCGAAAAGGTGCTTGGGGTCCATCACATCCAGCAGCTCCATCCCCCACATCCCCCACATTGCATGGATTGCTTCATATGAAGGTCAAGACGCAGCCCAGAAAGTTCTTTGTCTTTTGGGCTGTCCAGGCTCTTTGCGCTTGTTGGTGGCAGCGTCCAGCTGTGCAAGGGATCCATAGCAAGGGCGGTGCAGGCACTTTGGATTCTGTTGACTGCCCTCCCCGTGTACCTCTCCAATGGCAAGCCATCTGTGACCGAGGAGGTGAGTGGACTCAGTAGGGCACACTGTGGTGTCGGGCGGGCATTGCTCAGGCCCTGGAAGAAGGTTACAACACTAGACGGCAACAAAGGGAAGAAAGGGACGGGGTCGCAGCCTCAACGGAGCATAGAGCCCCACTCTGTCTCTTCCTTCTCCTTTCTCCTTCTTCCTCTTCCTATCCTCTTTTTTTTTGAGGTCTCTTGGCGGGATGTCTTGGGCTGGAGCCTGTGGGGAGTTGGCTTCGCGACGCAGGCAGGACTCGCCATTCAAACAGAAGTGAAAGAGCAGCGTTTTGCATGCTTTGAGTCATATTTTTTACTTCTCTCTGTGAATCCCCTCCAAAAAGTGTGGCTGCTGTCTGCCCCCACTGTGCCAGGTAGTCGCGGATGTGCAGAAGAGAGTGTTTCAGGCTCATCCACCTCTCGATACATGTCATGTAAATGCGGTTTTTCCACTGGAAGCATCCAAAAAACACATCCGCAACGACATTCGCGACGATGCTCGCGGATTAGTTCCGTGCATTGGAGAGGCGGACCCGAGAAACAGAGGCCTCTGGATCCAGACGGGCCTCTGGAAGCTGTCCCAGCATCCGAACTACTTTGGTGAGCCTCTGGCTCAGAGAGGGCCTCTTTCTGCTTAGAAGTCTTCTGACACAGTTGCATAATGAATTCCTGCTGATTATGTCACAGAGATGTACAGGATTTGCATGTGGTGGGGTTTGCATCTCAGCATGACCGCCCATCGAAGCTCATGAGCAGTTGCATGTGGAGGAAGCCGCACATGTCCATAGCCAATGTCTTTGCTTTCAGGCATCTTCCTCAGCTGCTCAACAACGCTACGAGGATGGGAACTGCTTTCCATTGTGCCGGCCTTGCAAGACTGACGCGGCAGCGTGCAGCCATGCTTTGCGGAGATAGTGCTGTGACTCCTTAGAGAAGAGCCCGAAAGAGTTCAGTGCGTCCAGCCTCATGAGGCTTCCCCGTGCTTTGCCAGGGACGCAGACAGGGCTATTTTCACTTCAGTGTTTGTTTTGTTTGAGAGATGTCAGTGTGTGAGTGGGCTGAAACCTTGAGTCCCTCATGTTTGCAATCAGCCGCTGGGACGGAGATAGTGCACATGATGCAATGATTGTGTACCTGCTTAACCCTTGGAGGGGTTCACTGCGCATTGCGCATTGTGCATGTCGACTCTTTGAGCCCCCGTGATGGGATGCAGTGATCTTGACAGAGACAGTCACAGCGCCCGTTGAGACTATAAGGCCGTGTCAACTGTCTGGCATGGCTTGCCGTTGCACACCGATACGAAGGGTCTTGTGAGCCCGAACTCGTTCAGCCAGGGAAGGCTTCAGAATAGAAGCAGACTAGACGTTGATGGATATGCAGAGAGGAGTGAACCACAAGTGACCATCCAGTGATTCGGTGTGGCGTTTTCTGAACTAGAGCGGGCATAAATCAGAAGACGCAGTGCTCTTTCTTGTCTTTTCTTGGTCAGACCCTGAGCAAGGAGCATTTTCTGAAAGTCATGGTAGATAATGAACAAAACAAACACATACAGTGCTTTAAGCAAACAAAGCCAGCAGGTCCTGACTTCGGAAACACACGCCCAACAACACAAACGCACTCAACTGCAGTAGTGCAGGCAACAAGCAACCGGATGGTTTTCATGTCTTCTGTGTTTCCTATCTACTTTAGCTGTTGGCTCGCGCGTTTTGTGTCCGGGGCAAAGGTCGCTTTCCTGCTGCTCCGAGTGAGTGCAGCGCTCAGACTCCGAGGGCCCTTTTCTGGGACTTTTTAAGTTTAAGCTTCGTAGCGATGGCATCCTGGAAGACGGCATGGCATCTTCCATCCCCTTCCTTTCGCAAAATGGCCTGAATGTATTCGCACCTTCAAGGTGCCTAGCAGGATTGGTCCTCTAGCACGAATGTTTCGGCGCTCGCTCCTCGAGCCTCTTCTTATTTGTGGTCCGCGATCGCCAGGAGTTCAAGGCAATGGCCCCAAACGCTGACCGAAGAGCCCGAGAGAGGACTTCGCACATTTCGCACCTCAAGGCTTAAAGTTAGTGACTAAGTGTGTAGCCGAGCCTGTAATGCGCATCTGGCGAGACGCCGCGAGATGTCCTCAGACCTGAGGTACAGGTGGATTCCCGGCAGGTATTCTCCGCTGAATCTCTCAGTGATCCTAGCGCCTTTTGGTGCTATGCTAGTTTTCGGCTTCCAAACTCAGAGTGCCGGAGAACCAAGAACGCCAGACGCCACGAACTGAAGGCTAAACTCGTGCCAATCCACAGCTGCTGAACGGCTTGTAACCAGCTGCATCTGATGGAAGAGCAAGCAGCCACATCACATCGAATAGTTTTGTTCCTGGCCATCCTCATATGTTCATGTCTGCGCCAGCGGGAAAAAGTCATGTGATCCTCGACAGTGGCATCTTCCGACGTCTGGGCTTGCACCATCGTTTCATTGGCTCTTGGGCGACCCCTTCTCCGCGGGCCATGGTGCGGGGGTTTGGGCTACTAGCAATCCGGCGTTGTCGCCAGTGAGCCCTAGTGCCTGAACTTCTGCACTTCAGGAAGCCTGAGCGCGAGCGCGAGAGTCAAAGCAAGCTGAGTTGTCTGCGCTCTCCGTTAAGGATGTGCTTTGCTTTCAATTGCTGCTCTGGCGTATCTGCCAGGGCGAAACCTCTAGCTGTGCTAAGGTGGTGTGCCTTTGCTCCGCAAGGCATCGGGTCCGCAGATTTGTTCCAACTTGCACTGCCTGCGCCCGTCAGTGACGAAGACTTGCTCGGAAAGGCTGGCCTCAAGCGATGGGGTCATCTACCGGAATACCAAAACTACCTCAAAAGGCCATGTCGGAAGCTAAAGGCAGTGCGGATTGTCTGACCCATGCACTGCACACCAGGACGCCGTTGCTGGTGCCTCTGCCTCGGAAATCGTGATGGATCGTGATGGGCAGCTGTTCTGGCAGCTGGCATGCATGTAAAAAAAGATCATGCTCGCTAGCCTGAGCCTTGTGCTTGCAGGGTGGCTTTGTGCTTGCAGTACTCGTGCAGTGGTTTCGCAGCAGGGGGGGGGGGCAGGTGAGACGGTTAACGGTGCATGCTAGTGCTATTGGCCTCGCAGAACGTTTTTCTGAGGAGCAGTATATCTGAGAGAACTTAAGCTGCACTCTGCGCACGAAGTGTCCAAACTATTCACGGCTTGCCTGCTTGTTGGCTTGCAGAAGGGGGAGCCAGAAGGGCTGGGGATGTCCCGTTTGACTTGCCGTATCAAGGATGCCAAGGAGTGGGGGTAGGGTGAACGTCGGGTAGGAGGAGTCGCTGGAGCTGGGGGGCTGGAGGAGCTGAGGACTGGGGAGGGGCTGGGGCTGGGACTGGAAGGCCGGGCCGGGCAAGGCGTGGGCGTGCGTCGTTTTTCAAGTTGCTAAATGAAACTGGGTGGAACGGGAGATTGGAGCCCCTTAAACTCTTGCATGCGCCTCGGGATTTCACTCACGCCGACAGCGGGATCGACGAATAAAAGTGGAACCAAAGGGAAGGGGAAGGGTCAACCGGTTTTCACTGACGCCTCCCCCCACCGGGGGGGTTGGCAGATAATTACAGAAATAGCGAACGAAAGACACAAAAACAACAACAAAAAACAAAAGGCACAGAAAGGAATGCATAAGAAAGAAAGAAAGGCAGAGCTACAAAAATTAGCAAACAAAGAGAATGTTTGAAGCCCAGCAGGCTTGCTTTATGAAGGAGAGCATGCGATAAAGGACTTGCGTTGAGAAAACATGCGATTCCTTTTCCATACCCGTCAGCATCGTGTTTTGAAATTGGGGGACGGCGGCTTCGCTCCCCCCAAACCCCCACCCTCCCCCTTCCGCTTGTTCAGTTGGGGCCTGGAAACCTTGCTTCACAAAAGAACAGGCCATAAAGTCAGGCAAGGATGGTGCTGGCAAATGGGGGGGGGGGGGTTGTCGCCCCGAAGGGGCCCCCCCCCCCCCGTCGTTGTTTTGAAGCCTTGCATGCTTGCTGTACAAAGAAGATCATGTAATACATCGGAATCCCTCTATGTACGCTATGTTTTTAGAGAAGAACCACCACTTCCCCTGATCGGAAAAGCCTTTATTGCCTTCGTATTAAAATGCGCATGCCTCGATTTCCTTACTATTTTTATCGGAAGACCTCCTATTTCCTCTACATGAGAAGCGCAGATTGGGGCGACTGTGGCAAACAGCCCTGGAGACATGCCATGGTGTCCGCTCAACATGTGGACATGCAACTTTCTTGGGCATGAGGCTCAAGCGCCGATCAAGCTTGCCTGGGGCCTCTGTAGCTTTGCTGAGCCGCTACATCCAAGGAGGATGTAGGCTCCGGACTTGGCAGAGATGGCGGAGCAAGGCGAGATCGAGCTGCGTCCGCAAGGCCCACAACACGAGAAGTCATGTCCTTCAAGGCTGCACTCCTTGCAACTTTGCTCAGGTGCGCTCTCTCTGGCAAATGAGCAGGGCTCAAGGAACGTGAGGTTGGCTGCCTGATCCCCAGCAGAGTCTCATGATTCAGAGTTTGCAGTTTTTCGGACAGCCTTAATATGACTGGGAGGACGACTGGCGCCACGACCGTTGTGTCTACGAGGTTAGCTGCCAAATGGCATTAAACGCGACTTGTGCTTGCCAACTGGGATACTCAAACACTACTACACTGTTACTACACTGCTACTCTGATCTACGCTTGCTACACTTTAAGCCAGAGAACACCACATGACATGGGATCACATGAACATGCGAACCTCAAGCGCTTGCCAGGCTTGGCACGACTTGAACCTGGGCGGCCACAATCGTTTCTTTTGTGGCGGAAGGTGCCTTGCTCATGAATTCAGTGGTTCTACCAACGCGATTCGAAGCGCGTTCTCAAAGCCAAGGCATTCGACAGTCAGTATCATGGGTGAAAGACAATTGCGCACAGCAGCTAGACGGTTAAAGCAAGACGCCCGCCTGGCTTCATGTACGTGAGGCCCCACTGCTCTAACTGCTCTTGATCCGTGAGTCGCAATCCAGAGCCAAAACGTCCCGACATGTGCAAGCACTGCAGCAACAACGACCAACAGAAGCACAACGTCTGGATCACATCCGCATTGTGTGTGGTGCGGAGCAACGAAGAAGCTAATCGGTGCGCGAAGTGCTCGAAGCTGCCTGTGGTTGTGGAGTAGGTATATAGGAATAGAAGTAGGGCCGGAGCGTGTTGTTTCAGGACTCGGGCAGTAGTCCCACAGTCGCGCAGCAACCACTGCTTGCAGGTGCATGGCAGGCCCAAACATTGACCATCACTTCCAGTGGACAGCCCGGCAGAAGCTTTTCACCACTAAGGACAGATGTTCAGAACAGTTCAGCGCACTTCGATGTCTTCAGTATTTGAGGCTCTGCACTTTCTGTGCTCTGCTTGTGTCCGAGGCTTAGGCGGCAGCTGTTGATTTTGGTTACGAGGCCCTTGCAAACAAGCGGCAAGTTATGCAGTGCTATATGCAAGGCCTTCGCTTTTCTATGGTCTCTTCTGCGCGCGCGGGGCCTACTGGTTTTACCGGCCCTACCGGCCCTACCGGCCCTACCGGCCCTACCGGCTGGCTTATAGAAGGCGGCGTGCGAGTGCGATGCTCCTGAGGCGCTACCTTTGGGAGAAGGCCACCGCTCCCCCCCCCCCGCCCCTCCCCAAAAGAAAAAGACCCCGCAATCCCCAAGCTTGCTTGATTGCAGAGAGGTCAGCCCATGGATGCCTGTGCTCACCGGCATCCTGCTGATCTCCACCATTTTTCTGTGGCTGCTGACGGCCTGCACAGACCCAGGTGCCACATGCCAGAAGGATCTCATCTCATCACGGCATGGTCTTGTGGTGTCTAAGTCTAATACTGCAATTTTGCATGAAGTTCTGAACAACCTGTCTGACCGCTCACGTGCACGTCCGCATGACCTACCATATCGATTGACAGGGCTGTGGGTGGAGGGTGCAGCCATTTGGAGGGGCTACGGTCCTTCAGTTCTAGCCCTGATCAACAGTCGAAAGTACCAGGACCGCTCGCGGGGTTCCTGCGTCTGCATGGGCACAGATGGAAGTGTCTCGGGTCAGGGGCTTCGGGGACCCTTGAGCTTGCATGATCTGCATGCCGGTTTTGTGCCATTGTGCCTCATGATCCCAAACATGGAGTCATGTTGGTGACATAGCAGGTGCATCGCAAGATCAGCACCCTCACCCTCGCGCAGCCTCTCCATGCGGATCAAACTACAATTTTTGTGTGAGCAGCATTCAGGACTTTGGCATGGATGCGCCGTGGACGACGTTCATGAACATGACGTTGGCGTCATCGTTAGGACAGGACCTAAGCAAGTTTGTGGGCAGCGTGCGAGGTAGCTTTAGCAGCACGATCCACGCTCTGGTGTGTGCGCAGATGAGGCCTCTCGAGTTCGAGTCAGAGTCAGACAGCTCAGACTGAGAACGAAAAAGACGTGAGGCGCCGCGGCGCTGGCGTGACCTCAGATGTGTTTATAGACGGCTGGGCGAATGCCAGGCGAACACCGCTGTCGTCCAAAGCCAAGCCGTTTCGCTCCAAAACTGCCGGGTGCGGATGCGCATGGCTTATGAACGGGTGCCCATAACGGTCTCCCGGTGTGCAGGTACTGTGCCGCCATTAAGTCTGGATTCGCGGACTCCACGAAATATCCATACAGCCCTGAGCCTCCTGACTGCAGTGGATGTTCCCACAGAAAAAAAAAGTTCTGATATCCGTGCTTTCTCACAATGTTCTCGAAAGGCTGCAAGACTACGCGCCGCTCTGAGACGAGAACTCACGAGACCCCTCTTCTCTTCTCTGCTCTCCTCTCTTCTCTTATCTTCTCTTCTCTTCTCTTCTTTCTCTGTAAGCCTCTGGGGGGATCTCTCTCTTCCTCAACTTGTTGTTGGGCGGAGGTCTACCTGAACATGGGAAACATGACGCCAAGCGTCGTGAGCGGAGAGGAGAGCGCAGGACTCTGACACTTCCGGGGGCGGGGGGGGGGCGGCCACCTTTTTGCATCTCCGGATTTGAGCTCTGCATCCCTTTGAGTGTACCAAACAATGCCTTTGCTATCACTTGGAGGATATGGCACTGGTACTGGAGCTGGGCACCAGTCAGTTGACAGCAGTTGTGAGGACGGGGTGTGACATCGTGTCATGACTTGGGCTCTAGGACTCTGGGGAGTGAAGGTGGCCCAACTATGCGCTTCGACTCGACAGCTTGTCTCAAGAGCATGCATCAGGAAGCTGTGGCACCACGAAGGGCCACTGTGGACAAGAGGCGGCACCCAAGCTAGGTAACAACAGCCAGCGGTGGAATGGTCAATGGGGTGTTGATCGTTGGCTGAGTGTCAGGACATTGCGTCTACCATCGCGTACCCCGTCGCCGGAGCGGAACTTCCAATGGCCTGCGCTGCCAAGGTACAAGCATGATCTCACCCCTTGTCATGGTGCTCCAGACTCTACACAGTCTACACCATTTAACACTGTTTCACAGCGTTGCTCATCTATGCGCTACATCCTGGTCTGCTTGTTGTTTGGCGGTTCTGCGACCGTACCTTTGCTAGACCTTGGGTCTCCCTCAGAGAGAATTCGCCTGTCTATGTGATGTACAGGAAATGGGTTTTGGAATGTAGCCTCAGAGAATTCGTGTCCTATTTTCTGACGCAGGAAATAGAGGTTTTCCCAGTGACACGCAGAGAAAATGCAGGTTGGGGAGCTGAATTGCCCCAATTGCCCCGAGCAAAAAAGCATACATCATGGGCATCATGGGTACAAAAGGCCCAAACTGTCCACCCGTTCACAGACAGTCCGCCTGCTGTTTTCGTGAGTGGTGCAACGAGCCTGGGCATATGTCGGCAGAGTCGAGCCGCCAAAGCCGAGATGGCGTCTCCCGCTCTAAACACTGCAAAACACCTTAACACTCTGGATGGAAACTTTAGCTGGTCCCGGACCTGGCCTTCTCCGGACCCAAGCCCAGCCTCTACCTCGACTCTATGGACTACTGCCGCTAGAGCCAATCTACAGAATCCATCCTCTCATGTGGCCCGGCTGTCTCCACTCGGTTGCAAAGACCAGCTCCGAGAACTGCGGGGTTTTCGCTGTTTGGTTTTTGTCATTGGCACAATGTTGGCGAGCCCATGCCATGCTCACAGTGCACAGGTGGCAAAGCTGCCGGCCCCTTTAGGAATACCGATCATGTCTAGGATGGCCAATGTAATATGGCGCCCAAGTACAATCACATGCCTCTCCCAACATGCACTGCAATGCGCCTGCCATGCAATTGTTGTGAGAGAAGATGTGGCGTGTTGCAGTCTGTTTGCTGCTAAGTTGTTTTCTGCGCTTGTGGGTCAGATTCTGCACTGACAGTTCGGGCGCCCTCCAGGCAGCCAGCGTCCACGCTGCCGGAGGAGCGGGGAACTTCGAGCACTTCCCCTTTGTTCAATCGGTCCCTGGCCGGCAGTGCTTGCCTTGTAACTGTAACTTATAAGGATAGTTCAGGCGTCATTTTAACGACGGCAAAGTGATGCGCGCGACCGGGGGTGAAAGGTGGGTAGCAGGTGTAGCTACGCTTCGCCCTCAGAAGTAGAAACGATTCGGGGATAAGGCTTCGCAGAGGGCTGCAGTGAGAGGAGCAGAGGGCCGGCCAGAAACTCGGATAGAGGTGTTTCTAAATGGCTGCGACGCAAAAGTCCAGGGTGTTTGAATAGGCTTCGGGCCTTTCTCGACATAGGGCCATAGGGTTTGTAACAAAGCCGTTCTCTTTACGACAAGCCCGCTCCGCGACAATCCCTTCTTGTGCAAGCAGGACCCGAGACAACCCCGCGAAAGACGTGCTTAACAGAGGGGTCCGGGGGACACCGTGACAGGGGTTTTGATTTACAGCCACATGTGGCCCTTACTGCCAGCAACGCAGCATATCAACACCATCGTCGAGCATAAGATATTTGGTGAAATCCCGCCTGGCCATCATAAGGACATGGGGGCAGTCTCCTTTGAACACGATCGACGACAGTGACAGTGTGCGAAGAGACTCATTCGAGGTGCTCATGCTCAGGTCCAGTGAAGTTTTAGTGTAGAGTGTGATGAATCTGATGAACTGCAGGAGCGCCGATCGCTTCCTGGGCAACTTCCATTGCTGGTCAAGCGGACGTTTATACACTATGACGCTTGCCTATGTCACCCTTGTCATGCAACTCCTAGCATTCCTTATGGAACAAGCATATGTCCATCAGAGACAGAGGACGACGACGAGCTGGAGCCCGCCCGAACGGATTTGAACGGATCCGCAGGCCAAGCCAGGCACCTGCCTTGTTCCTGCCGTAAGTTAGTCACGCACACACACACACACATACAGAGCGGGCGTCCGAAGCTATGGGCAAAGGACACAAAGGTCCCTACTACGGAGTTCAGGGACAAATCCCTCTCTTGGGAGTTCTTCGGGCCCTTAAGCCCTGGGTCAGGCCGACGGAACGCAATTCTCGGCAAGTGGGGTTGTTTGAGGCTTAGGCATTGTCGAAGGCATTGCCCACATGAAGCAGCAGACTGCCTGAAAGCCTCACACGCAGTTGGCATACTCGGAAATGCGCGACGGAGGCTGTAATACCTGTAAACGACACGTCGCAACTCACAGGTAAGTGCCGGTTGCGCATTGTTGTATCCACAAGTTAGCCTGCGTTAGGAAACCCAAGTCGCGCCTTTTTCCACGCCTGTAGCGCACCCTCCGTTTTTCATTTGCCCAATCCCGAATCGTGCTGGTTGCGGATTGTGCTTGTCCATGTGTGTGGCCTCTGTCTTGCTGGAAAAACGCAGGGACAGAGGCCGAAAGACGGGAAAGGAACGCAACCGATATGAACCTTACGTAGCAGATCTAGCTCGAAGCAACCCTGCAGTAAGCAGTGATGGTATTTTGCGGAAGTCTTTGCGGTGACGGGAACTGTCCAATTTGTCCTTAATAAAGCCGAAGCGTTGGAGGCGGCGATCAGAATCAGCTCCGGCAAGACTGCTCTCTCGGCAAGCTGGTCGAGTTCTTGAGGCGCATTGCTTTTTGTTTTGTAACGAGCGGGCGAGATGGCAATGTTATCATGTGTTAAAACAAGTTGCGCGAGTGGAGGCAGGGTACCCAAAGTTTCTTCGCTTCCATCTCCCCATGTAAGGTGTGGGGCTCACAAAGCAAAGTTTAAAGGAACTGGCCACCCCGGGGGCTCAATTATACATTACATTAAAAATGTAATGTAATGGTTTCTTATACGGTGGTCTTACTGATGCTGTGGGTTCCAGATGACATGGTGCAGCCTCGTGCCAGCCAGGAGCACGCCAACGGCACGTGCAAGCCCTGCGGGTATTTCTTTGCAAAAGCAGATGGCTGCCGTTGGCACAACACCTGCACATTTTGCAGGGGGCCGAAGCAATCCCATCATGTGAGCTGGATCTGAGTATGTCTGAGTATGTCTGGGTGGATGTTCGGGTGTTGCCACCGGCTTTGGCTCAGGTCACATTTGCCCACCTGGAGAGCTGAAGCGGCGGAAAAAGCAGAAGTGACTTGCTTCAAAACTTCGGCTCACGTGAATCGCGTGAAACGCCGCAGCTCGCAGTGTCCAATAGCCGCCACACCACAGATTTGTTGCCGGATTGCGATTCCAAGGCGTGCCATGCTCAAAGCCAGGAATGCTGCCCAGGCTTTACAAAGTGCCTTGTTTGCAAGAGGAAGCCTACACGGCACTACACGGCTTCGTGGGGCTCCGAAGAGTCTTAAAACCTTGAATATACGGGTTTGCATTGAAAGTCCCGGCAGAAACGTTCTGTTGTCAATTGCGGTCTGAACATGTCCTTCTCATGAACCGCAGGGGGGGCGCCCGTGTGTAAGTATAGTATATGCTAGAGCTGCGTTTGCTGGGCCCTAGCCGGCGTGAGGGTGCATATCAAACTCCATCAAGTCCCAGGTTACGAACTCTCGCCATTCCTGCCCTCAAACGAAATTCCGGTTCGAGACATCCATGTGGTTTTGTAAGCAAGTGGCCTCATGGAGTCCTGACAATGACAGATGAGCATCAAACTATTGCAGATCATGGGTCCCACTGCCCAGCTCACGACGTTCTCCACGATGCTGTTCTGTGTTCTCTGATCATGCACTTCGCAAGTCCGAGAGGACTAGGAGTTGCTCCTCCAGCCTTCTCAGGTCCATGGGCAGACGAGGATGACCGCCAGTGACGAACCGCGAGCTCTTTGTACGACTTGAGGTTCGAGACTGCGAGAGGAACTTTTGAGATGATGTGGGCAGTGGGCTTCGCAAGTACTGAGTGATGTCCACAACAATGCCCATGAATCTCCTGTCTTTAGTTGAGCCATGCGGATGCGCTGCTGGACAGAGTGTGGGTCCAGCGTGCCAGTACTGAGTACGTTGGGCCAATCTGTTCTGGCCTGTGCAAGGCTTTCCGAGCTCCAAGGCCAGTGAATACCTTGACTCATTGATAGCCTCAAGGCGCTCTGTGTTCTAAAGGAATTTTTTTGGAGGATCTTGGAGGCTCGGAGATTTCCGCTGTGTGGGTGGGATCCACCGGCGCGCTGATAGCGTTTGCTGACCTCAAAGCGGTGGGCCGAACGGACCCTTTGGACAGAACAGGTGAGAATCGGACAACACAAAAGTTCGCAATCATTTTGCAAATTCTGCAACCATTCAAAACTCGCCGCTTTGTAATACACAGCCCGGCTTTTCGCGTCCGTTGATATCCGTTGGCGAGTGGGATGGCAGGGTGTGGCCGCTGAGGCCCTTAGGTCAGCTCTTGCTGGCATGCATTAACTGCGGGGGCCAGTCACGCTTCCGAGATCTGATCCCCAAACCTGTTTCCGCATAGAGATACGCAAGGTCCAGGAGCGATCATGATCTCAGACGGGCGTTTGATGTATTTGGCCTTCAAAGACTTGCAGTTTGCATGCGAATTGCCGTCCATGGACTGCTCTTTCACGTAACTTCTCGGACGTAGTCATACCCTTAAAGCCTTAGGGGCAAACGACGGTGGATGGGTCTGGAACTGCATGTGCTCCTTGAGGAGCGTGTTGTTGTAAAATTTTGGAGTGCGGCTCCGTCTTCTGTGCTTGTGCCTGTAGCTTCTGATTGCCAGCTGAGAAGTACGCAAGTTTGAATCGGGTGCAAGTGCAGAAGACATGCTGAGTGTGGTATAGCTGGTGATGCTGTGGCAACAGTCTTCAGCCGCCATTCCACCGCTATGCTGAGGCATATGCTTAGACATGAGTTCACTCGATGATTGCTTGCAGATCACAAATGTTTGTGGGTGATAGCTAGACTGAGATAGACTGAGCTAGACATGACATGAGGCGGGGCGTTGGGGTTGCGACCTCCGAATGCAGGCATTATTCCTCGTGCCTCTCTCCAACTCGCAGTTCCTGGAATCCGACATTCTGTGGCCATTCGGCTGCACATGCAAGCGCAATGCAAGCGCAATGCAAAGCTGTGGCTCTCTTTTTCGCCTTTGCTTCCGAGGCACAGGCCACAGGCTGTCGGCCCCTCCTTCCAAGTGGTGTGGGAAGCTCATGGAAGCTCGCGACATCGCGCGACACAGCCAGGCATGCGAGAGCTAGACCTTGGTAATCATGACTACTGAGGATCTGGAATGCGACATCACGCCCCTGGAGGAGGAGCAGGGCTTCAGGCCCGGATACCAACAGAATGGCGCTTTGCTTCAGCATTTGCAGCAGTTCTTTTGTCGCGTTGTCGAATTCGGGAAGGGGAGCGGTTCTGACGGTTCTTCGGCTGCTATGTCCTTGCGCGCAGCCGCTCTTTCTCTCAAAGGCCATTTGTATTAGCCAAAGTGTTGCTTCATGATGTCTCGCGCAGGGGTACGGGCGGCGCAATCTTACAAAGCTGAAAGTCACTGAAGTCCGCCGCTAATTCCCACCCACATCATGTCACATGAATTAAGACAAGTTTCGCTGAACAAGTGTTCCAGCTGGAATTTCGGATCCGGAGTCCCCGGAGCTCGCTGCTTTGCTGGAGTTTGGTCCCAGACTTTGGTGAGTCTCTGCGAAAGAATGCGAAGCAGAAGTTGTAGAGTTTTCGAGGAAAAGCGATGCGACCGCCGCTAACGAGACAGATGCTTGAGCTGAAGATATGATCCTGGGAGGACTGTAAAGTCTGTTGGGCGCATGACAGATATGGTCTTGGCCATCTCAGGGGCAGCACGCTCGGAAGATCAAGCAGTTGCCCCAGAACATGTTCGATTGCATGCTTTTTTGCGTAGCTTCAACTTCGTCCAGACAATGTTTGTACCCAGTGTATATTGATCCGCCTTTTTGCTTCAGGGGCGCGCACGATCAGCAACCAAACGGTGACCGCTGAGTTTGCCGCCACGATAAAGAAGCTCCAAGATATCTATGAAACCCAGGCGGGGGGGGAGGGCATGTCGAAAGCATGTCGAAATCATGTCGAAGCAGAATCTTGGCTTGTCTTCTGCTGCCATTCTTTTGTAGCTCCTCCAGGTCCACCAGCTGCTCTTCGAGGCGCGCCTGCTGAAGTGGAGCGTGGGCGGATTAGACGCGGGACTTACACGGGTCATTCGGGGCGGTGAATGTCATCGAGCCATGACTGAAAGTTCCCATGGAAGCAAGACGCCACGAATCTCAAAATGCAGAGGCGCAGACGCTGCGGCGGGCGCTGAGCAAGCAGGAGGGTGCTCCTACAAGTCCTGGGGAAGAGGAGGATGATGGAGAGGCTGGCGCCGCGCCAACAAGAGTTGCGATGCTTTCTTTGTCCTGTGCAAGAGCAGGTCGAGGGTCGCTAATGCCTGTGCTAGTTGGGCTATCTGTGAGGCAGGCGATGATGATGATGAGGTTTCGGTCATGGCTGCAGTGCCCCATCTGCATGCTTAAAGATGATAGCTAGTACCGTGAACAAATGCCAGCGTGCTCTCGGTAACCGAGGATGTCGAGCAATTTTCTTTGTGGCCCGAGTGGACGGTTGGCCCTGAGACGATCAATGGTATCAGCAGCGACATATTTGCAGACAGGCTCCAGCATGCCAGTTCCGGCTTGTTTCTCAAGTGCAGTGACTGAGTTGACCGCTGTGTCCAGGGAATATGCGCTCGCAGAGCGGAAGCTGAAGCTGAAGCCAGCCGCATGGCCCCAGATTCGCGGGCAGTTTGAAGCGCTTAGTTCATGTGAGCTGGCTCAGTTTCCAATTTGAGGACCTCAATGCTTCGTATTCGTCATCGGCTCTACACCAGCAGCAGAGCTGCTGGAGCCTTATTTGGCTATGTTTTTTACGGTGGGCCTGATGGCTTTCAATGACGTGCCAAAAGGAGCCAAGCTGTAGGCACTTGCACTTGCAAGCTTACCGACCTGGTCATCAGTCCCATCTCACCACAGCGGATGTTCTGGGCATCTTGGATGCAGCAAAACTTCAAGCAGCAACTGGGGTACAGCAGGTCATTCCCTTGAACTTGAACAGGACATTTTGGGCGTGGTCTTCCTCATCTACGATATGAGCCTCGACTATACATCATGGACGGCAGCGCGGTGAGACTCTGTTGACCAGCAGGCAGCAGCTGAAAACACTGAGGATATGGATTCCGGTGCAGCTATTCTGCATGATACAGGAGTCTGTCATGACCCAGACAATGTTTAGAGAACTGCCCATGGTATCCTGCAGCTACTCTCTTCGGCATCTTCGGGCTTGTCGCCGTAAGTTCACGGTCTGCGCCGTGCATAAAGCCTAATGCACGGAGCTGTTGCTTTAAGGCAAGTCTTCTCACCAAGCCGCCATGTCGTGACGGACGTGCTCGACTTCACAGTTGCCGTGTACTGGACATTGGACATCTTTGGCACCTTCTTCACTGGCTTCTATTCGCGGAAGGGTGAGTTGATTCGCACCCACAAGGAAATTGCACTGCACTACTTGACCCGAGGCTGAAGAATGGTGTCATATACTGGGAGTTGTGGAAAACGGGTCATCCGTACCAAATCGCGGGCAACCACCCGGGAATAATGTCGCAGGAAAGCACAGAGGTCAAGTATGCTTTTGACAGTTGGACCTGCTTTCTTGGACGATGTTGATAGAGTTTGAACTGCTTTCGATGGGCTTCCTTGTTCGCTATGGAGGTTTTGATGCGCTGTGCTGCCACTGACGTGTGTCTCGTGTGTCCCACGCTGGCGCTTACGAAATCGAGCGTTCGCTCGGGGAATGGTCGTTTGACATGTTGTGGATATGTGGCTCTTGCGAAATCGAGCATCTACTTGGACAATTCCGACCACCTGGGCAGTTAGATGCCTTCCATGTCGTCTCGGGGTTATCGTTCCAGGTATGAGGTATGGGTCACAAGCAAAACGGGTACTTGTATCGTTCAACAACACGAACTTTTTTTCAAGCTTGAGCAAGAAAGAAAGGGAGGAGTGGCTGAGCACATGAAGTTCGAAACTAAACATGAGCAGCTGCAATGTGGCCTTGGAGGCTTTCCTTAAGCATGAAGGCAAGGATGAGTGGTCCTAGTGTGGCGCGTGGGTACGCACAAAGGAGATTGAAGCGTAGCAGGTGGGGTGTGATGTTACAGGCTGCGTTCATTTCAGGAACTGCTTGCTCGGGTCTAAGCTCACCGCCACGATTTTTGAACACATTCTTGTTGGATTGGGGATTCATTTGAAAAGGCATCGCGTTTCTTGCAAAACAAACCAAAGATGAACGGCTGCAGCGTGGGACGCTTGTGGCTGCGTTCACTTGGGGAACTGCCTGCCCGAGTCTAAACTCACCACCTCGATTTTTAAAAATCGTTCTTCTTTGGATGACTTTCGTTCATTTGGGGGGTCACATTAACTTGCATTGCTTCTTGTTGATTGTTCTGGGTCATCTGTGTTTAGATGAGGGAGGAGCTTCTGGCACTGCTGTAGGTGGTGCTAGATGGGGGAAGCAGGGTCCCACATTCAACGGATCCCAGTTGCCAATGCCTCGGTTATGTTCCAACGCCCCACACCACATTCCAAAAATCAGGGAGCAATTGTCGACACTACGCTACTACGCCCCGGGATAAAACATGTTTGGAAACCATCAGATGATCATCAGGCCGAGTCTCAAAGAAGCACTGGTTCTGATTTGTCGGTGGCCACCCATAGCGGCGGTCGAGTAATTTGGTGGTAAATTAAAAGTGACGAGACCCGACAGAGGAATTTGTGAACATCTTGTGGCGACTCTTCTCCATCAGCGATCTGTCTCAAGGAAGCGCTGGTTCTTCCTCGACGTGATGATCGTCTCGGTGGACTGGGTGTTCATGTCCGCATCACTAGGACATCTGCTCGTCCAACAAGTGGTTCAGTTCGTGGGGTTCAAACAGTTTGAACCCTTGCAAGTACTTGCAAGTAGTCGCATCCTGGGAGGAGAAGAAGATGACAGCGTGATGGACAATGCCGAGGGGTCTGGCCTCGCTCGCCTGGGTAAGGCGATGTTGGTCCTGCAAATGTTGCTCTACGACTCTACGACTCTACGACTCTACGACTCTACGTCTTGCGTGAAAGACTAAACCAAAGCTCAGGGAAATACATGAATGACGGAGCAACTTGCATACTCGAAACTGGATGCACAGCTGTGAATTGGGTTCCAAGCTTCAAGCAATAGCGCTGTAAGAAGCCGAGCTTCTACTGTATGGTGAGTGGACCACCAAGAACGGGAGCCTCTTATTTTTCTGAACAAGTCAGTCCACAACATCGGAATGGCTCCGCAGAAGAGAGAGAGAGAGACAGAGAGAGAGCGAGAGAGAGAGAGACAGAGGGAGAGAGCGAGAGAGAGAGAGAGAGAGAGAGAGAGGGAGAGAGGGAGAGAGAGACAGAGAGCCGGGCCCCTTTGGGGGGGGGGGGTCCTCAAGCGAGCAGAAGAAGAGTTGGAAAAGACAGAAAGAACAAGCTGCGGGGCTCGAGCCTTCGTGGCCAAGACTCTATAGACTCTAGACTCGAGATCTGCTCTGTCGTGGTGTAACAGTGCAACACAGTGTAAAACACTCTTAACATTTGCTGAACGTCTCAATCTTGACAAGTGATTCAAATTCGCCAGGAACTGCAAAAATGGCAACATCAGAAAAACCGCAGAGCAGAGCCACCACTCCACGCTTGTCCAGCCACAGAGCGTCTCTTTGTGTTTTCACCGGTGCACCAGAAATACCTCGGGGGGCTTTGCGCATAGTCGCGCCTGGTGGAAAGCTTTGCGTGATGTGCTCCTGTGAGGTCATCCGAGTCGCAAGAATTCTGCGAACTTTACGGCTGCTCCGCCTCATGAAGCTGAGGCGCCTGCTTTTTGCATTCGGCAGGCTTGCCATGGGCTGAAGTTCGTGCAGAAATGAGTGCATGGCAGGCACATCTTCTTTGCCATTCAAGAGCGCACCTGCCTCAATGGATGTTTCCAGCAGTGGTACTATTGGGCATGTGGCATGGGGCTTGCGTCGCAGGCATCGATTCAGAGGCGGTGTTCATTCTGGTGGGGACAGTCAAGAATCTGTTGCTTGGAGTGAAAAACTTCCAAGTACATCAGTTCGGTACAGCGCGGACCCTCAGGTTGGTCCTGCTCTTTGTGAACCACCTTTTTGCCTGCCTTTGGTACCTCATCGGCGTACTGGGAGAAGGTGCGAGGGACACTGGTTGTGGGTTGTTTGGGGGGTTTGTGGCGTTCACTGTGACCCGTTTTTCCCCACTGTCCTTCGGTGCCTTGCAGGAGGTCCTCCTGATGAGCACTGGGTGTTTTACTATGACGTTGGAGAAACTGTCATCGAGAAGTATATGCTGAGTCTCCACTGGAGCCTCACCCAGTTCACCCCAGCAGGCACAGATAAAGTTGTCTTTGTGCTTTTCGACTTTCGAGTAGGAGTAGAACTGTCCTGAGTGCACCTGTGCAGCGATCAATCAGTTTTGTGCTGCCGCCTGCAGGAATAGAAATCCATCCGTGCAACGTTTATGAGCGGGTTTTCAATGCGTGATTCTCAGACATTCGAAAACGATGTGTGGCATACAGCCCAGTTGCCATGCTGTCGCTGTGATGAAGTCGTGCTCACTGGCTTGGTGCAGTGCATTGCCAAAGACTCCAAGACATAAGGTTGGCCTCATTCTCATTGCCATGGTGGGGTTCTCCTCCTTTGTAAGTGCCTACCCCAGGAGCTATTGGCTAGTGAGAAGTGACGAAGTTCCTTCAAGGCAAGTGCCCACCTGGCCACAGGTGCGATCACCGCTTCTATGACAAGACTACGAAGTTTGCAGGGAAACGAACTCTCAGAAGCATTCTTGTTGAGAAGGTATGGCTGGACATGTTTGGTACTGCTTGGTTGTGGGCCATGTACGGCAGCAGCGCGGTCGCTTCCTGCAAGCACTTGCTATGCAATGTCACTTCCAGCACGAAGGGCCGAGCTGCCGAAACTCAAGCTCCGTGGACAAACTGGTTGAAGTGCTAGCCGCTTGTGTGGTGGTGATGCTGAACCTTTGTCATCATGGCGTCATGGTGTCATTGTTTTTTCGAGCCTCAAACCATCGCAAAGCAAACCACACCCTGCTCGCAACATGCAATGACAAACTGCTGGAGCTATGAGCCTGTTGGCATCTATCTTTGCATCTGTCGACTGATGCCAGGTTTCTCAAGGAGAACCAAATCTCGGCAGACCTGCAGCCGCGCCCCCCAAACTGGATGTCGCAATTGTTGCAAGTAGGATTGTGAGCTTAGATCTTCCAGTGCTGTTTATGTCAGAGAATCTGCAACTAGCGGCTTTGGGGCTTTGCAACTTTGGAGCAAGAAAAGGTTGTTTGCCCGTACCAGGTACCACTACGGGCATGCTATTGCTCGCAGACTGTGTTAAAGTATGAGAAGAGCCTGAATCTTCTGCAAGTGCGGAAGAGCCTGAATCTTCTGCAAGTGCCAAGGTCAAGAGTGGTTCGGTACATCGACATGGCGATCGAGGCATGCCAACTCTCAACACATGTGAGAACTAGCAACTAGTAGCTAGAAGGAGGTGCATCTTGTCTTCTCAGTTTCTCAGAACACGATGCCGACTGGGGACTTAATGAATGCCTGTACCTGCCGGCTGGATAGTGTTCTCCTGGAGCGTTGTCACCTGTCCAGATGATAGAGGTCGCACCGCTGCCTCACATGGGAAGACCTTGAGATGTAGCGGCAGAGAGAGAGAGAGAGAGAGAGAGAGACAGACTCAGCCATGAGTGCAGGAAGGAAGGAAATGAGAGAGAGAGAGAGAGAGAGAGGGAGAGCTCCGACGCCCAACGAGGCCTTCTCAGTGCCCCCAAGCCACACAGTGGGGGGAACACACATCTAACCTTGCGCAAGGGCAACGCCCTAGGCTTCGAGTGCAGGGAGTGTCTTTCTCTGTTCCTAGCACTTATTGTGTGTCATTGGCGACTGTTCTTTCTGATTGCCTTGCACGGTCGGAGGTGAACCGGAAAAAGATCGACAAAAGCCGCGTTGCCTCATTGAATATGCTGAGTGGTCCTTTGAGGGTCGAGCTGCAGAAGGACGATCATGCTGAGCAGAGTGTGGACCAGTCTGATGCTGTCTGGAGTCCAGTTTTGAGTTTTGAGCATGTCCGATTCCCGGGTTGTTATCCGATGGTGTGTCCGCATCTGCGCCAGTCCTCATGGCATGTCTAGCGGATGTTAGTTGGGTCGCACCGCAGGAGCTGTATCTCCCTGCGCTGGTAATCCACAAGTTCTTCGTGAAGTACGCCCACAATGATGCTGTGGGGCACTCAGCACTACCCCAAAACGTGGCCGAAACATGTGCCATTGAACACACCTTTCGACCGAGTAGTTACCAAGTGTGTTTCTCGAGGCAATAAACCAGATCTGCTTCAAGGCTCGGCAGCATGGCTTGGATTTTTCAACCTTTCCGGGTGCTGCAGATCAGAGTACTAGGCGATCGAGAAGATGAACCTGTCGCGCTCCGACGTCCTCTTTCAGCTCCATGGCGAGTCCCATGCGACACTCGGTTGCGCACCACGCCACCACACATGCTCATGTTCTGTGCACTTCAATGAGTCTCTAAGAAGATTCATGAAAACTCTGAGGATGTGCTTCCTGACGAGCGGCCCCCTGTCAAGAGAATAATTGTGCATGCTCTGTGTGTGTGTGTGTGTGTATGTCTCGCCTTTCAGCTCAGCTTGCAGAGCATCATCTACCAGTGTAGCGGAAGCATTCGTGGTGCCTCTGGTCATGTAATGGGAGCTCCCCTGTTGAGGCAGCACGTATTACCAGCGTCCGAAGAATTCACCAGCATGGGAGGCATGGCGTACTGGCGTAGTGTGCAGCGCCATCTACAAAACTTTCTCATGTACCAACCAGTCCAACCACCTCTTGAGTCTTGAAGCTTTTACGGGGTTTTCAGATGCAAGGCGCACCAGAGGAGATCGCGCAAAGTGGCGGCAAGCCCACTTTTCAATCGGGTGTTGACTCTTTCGAAGGCAGGATGTTGAAAACAAGGCATGACACTGGCATGGTCATGCCAAATCCGCAAGTGTGATGTAAAGGACAGCTACTTCTGCGAGCACTCCCTTTGGATACCATGGACGCACAGAGGCTCGTGCAACATCGGTAGCATCGTAATGCATCGCACCCGTGTGCACACCTGCAGCTTGCTGAAATCCGAAAGAGCGGGGACTATCGGCTAGGAACGATGGGTGCGCTGACGGACAGCGAGCTACTTGCTCCTTGCCTGCTTAGATGCTTTGGACAACGCACAGCAATTTGAGCAACGCACGCCGGAATCGCGAGAACTTCACTGGCCGAGGCTTTGGAAAGTACCAAGTTTAGACAGATCACCACCGAGTACAAGGTCCCAGACGTTTTGCCCATTGATGTTTTGATGTTTTTGCCTTCAAGACACACAGTATTGGGCCAGCACACATGCCGCGAGGACATCTTCCAAAGCTCGAAAGCCTACGCACTTCAATTTGTCCAAGATCTTGAGGCCCATGCCCTCCTTTTGCACCTCTGAGGGCGCGCTTGGATTTTGGACTCTCAGCCTCTTTCGGGTTCAAAGCATTTCAAAGCGTTCACAACATCTGGAGGATTCTTAGCGCCATGGCTTTTGTGGTTCGCTTGTCCTGCGTACCCTTTGGGGAGCACATGAGCCGCTCATGAGCCCATCAAGAACAACAAGCAGTTGTCCAAGATGTGGATGCCAATTCCTTTCTGCAGCATGATCGCCGACAGCTCCAAGATGAGACCAAAGCAATCCAGGATGAAACGCCGTTTCCGGGAATTCCGAATCCATTCCAGGTATTAGGTGGCCAGTCTGATTCAAGTGCCTTCCAATCCCACGTCAGCTATCGCGGGCGTTATCCTTGGAAGCAATGATGAAGCAGCAAGTATGGAGCAATGCCCAACCTTCTTGAAACAAATCATGGGACTGGTCTTCTCCCACAAAGGCAATGGCGATGGCAGTCATCACCATCTTGCTGTTGTCTTCACGAGCTTCGACACAGTCTGGGACGTTTGAGGATGGCACTGAACTTAGCGGATCTGGCCCCGGCTGAGTGCAGGCCAACCCTTGTGCTGTTCCATCCACCGAACATCTTCGACTCTTCGAGATGAGCACAGTGAGCACAATGCCCGTGACCTATGTTGGGTCCAAAACCGCTTTCACCTGTTGCCACGGGCATGTGCAAATGCAAGGGGGAAAGCAGTGTGTGTGAAAGGGTTAAACCAGCCCTCCCGCTGATGTAGTAGTTGAAAGTAAATGGCGGCGCCAGAAAAAAGGGTGCTGAGCAGCTTTTGCAATTTGTTTGGAGTGGCAGTGCGTGGGCTGCGTGGGCCTGTGCTCACTCTGTTTGAGGAATTTACTGACACCCATGGGTGCGCATGGGACTTGCCGAAAGAGGCCAAAGCTCTCCTCCAAATTCTGTTTGCATCCGTTTGTATCCCTTCGCCACTTTGCGTGTTTGTTTGCACGTGGGCGACTTGAAAAGGTGACGCACCCAAAAAGCTACCACATCGATGTCCCGATGATGAAGTCGAGCTTGGAACACAAGCAGCTCGAGGACGAGAACTGAGGACATGCTGCATGCGTCGGCTTTTCCGAGCGTAGTATCGCCAGGAGTTAAAAATGAGCGAACTCCTCGCCGCGACTCACAAGCATCTAATGCATGGATTGCCATGTCAAATTCCATGATGAAGGGTGGCCGATCAGCGACGCGTTGCCATTGAGGCTTGCATCGAGGACGACCTCGACCAGGATCGTTTGGAGCCTTCATGGAGTTTTGCAGAAGAAGTCAAGCTGAAGTTCTGGTGGATCGAAGTGGTCACATGATTTCTTTGTGCCTTGTAGAAAAGATGCAAGTGGGCTCCCTGAGCAGCTGGTGTCAACATCGGAGCCGTAGGCATTATCTAGCAAAGAGCGGAGCCTAAGGCATTGGGGCATTGGGGCTCGTAGGTCCACTAGGCACGTCAAAGCGAGGGAACGTGGGGCGTCCTGAGACGAGATGCGCGGAAGCTAAAGGCTCAGGAAAACCATGCCGTTTGACGAAATCTGTTGCGCCATCACGCGTCCTGTTCAAGCGCGAAGATCCGAAGACAAAGGCCTCAGGTGACATCAGAGCAAAGCCAACAAAACAGTTCCGAAAAATCCTGATCCAGAGCTCCCAGAAGAACTTCCAAGTCTTCAGGTGATCCGATCAAGGCCCGGCCAAAGTCTTGCAGGTCAACTACCGGCCAGGCCGTCAATACTTGTCGCAGGGGCAGCTCGAACGTGGAACTGGAACGCACCCCCTCCAGCGACCACATTGTGACCACTCAGCAGTTTTTGCTAGCCAAGCCTCGTCCGAAAAGCCCGCAACTACATGAAACACATGTACGTGTGAGCCTTGGACGTGCATGCTTGATGCTTGAGAGTTTAATCATACTTTCTGGCACAATGCATGATGCGCAGGAGATGCCTTCGTCACAGGATGGGGCTGAAATCATTAAGCGTTCGTTGCGCTCCATGTGCGCGGCTTTACTGTTCATGTTTAGATGCTGCCAAAGAGGCCGTCAAGCCAACCAAGCGGACTCCTTCCAGCACAACTCAGTCCGATCAGGCCATGTGCCAACTACGCGGAGTCAAGTTGTAGCCTCGTTCATGCTTTACCTGACCCCAAATTTTGTAGAGCCTTGATGCACCTGCTGCAGAATACAGCACCCTAGATCATGCAAGCAGCGATGCCCAAGCGCATGGCTGTCGTCGTAGGGAGAGAATACTTGTAGCCAGAGGGGTTGTATCTGGTGGCACTTGGACATCTTTCTTCACACCGGATCTTGTCAGGTCAGCTCTTTTGCGGAAGGCAGCATGGCCATCGGACACCTACCAGCAGGACCCTGCTGAGCCCTAAAGTGCAGTGGCGGGGGAGGGGTTTAAAATCAAAATCGGACCAACAAAACCTTCTAAGGATCAAGAAGCATGTAGAAATGAATCGCATCAACAACAAGTTGGGCCTCTGGATGGCAGACAAAGAAGGGGAAGGTCGTAAGTAAAGAAAGAAAGATCGACATGAAAGAATGAAAGAAGGCCGTAAAGAAAGGAAGGAAGAAAGAAATACAGGAAGGAAGAAAGAGATACATCAAGAAACAAGGACACAAGGAAATGAGGAAGCAAAGCAAGAAAGAAAGAAATAAGTAAATAATGAAATAAGGAAATACAAAAAACAAAGAAAGCAAGGAAGAAAGAGAGAAAGAGAGAACGAGAGAAAGGAACAAAGAAAGAAGCACCATGATGAAGAACACACGTCAAAGAGAAATGTAGAAAACAACAAGGAACCAGAAGTAGATATTCGTTGAAAACCATAATATGAGTCCTGTCCAAACCCATCATGCGAGCATCGCATTTGCATGCCATTCCCCCGCTAATCCCCCCCTCTCTTTTTCTCTTGAGCAGTGCAAGCTTGCTTCAAAGCATTTCGCTCCCAGTGCCGCCCGAATCTTGAGAATTCTTGCGACTTGTGTTTTTCTGAAAGCCGTGTGGACTTGGGGATGGCTGAGACGAGCAAACCAATGCACTAGAAGGCTTTGGAAAGAGATTGGAGGGACGTGCGTACTTAAGCTCTGGTCAACATCCAACAGGAATGCCAAGTCGAAAGCCGCGGCGACCGAATCCTGACTCCAAGAATTCAGATAGTGCTTGAGCGCCCACCCCAACGGCGTAGTGTCTGAGTGCTGGACACTTTCCAACAGAGTGGAACCCAGGTCTACGAGTTCTACGCACGACTTTGCCGACGCACGACTCTGATTGATTTTGAGATATTCTCGTCGAGCCACTACAGTGGGATTTGACAGGCTGGGCAATGCCCAAGGCATTGTCCGGAAGCTATCGGAAGCTATCGGAAGCTGTCCAGTTTCCCTCAAAGTTAAGGGCTCTGGGGCTTCCAGAAGGCCGTCAGCACATTTCAGCAATCTTGACCGTCTTGGCCTGTGGCGTGCTTCTTGGCCGAAGAACTTGCGATACCTTGAGACAGTAAGTCAAGCATGGTAAACTTGTGACAGGATTGCATGTGAAGCAGCCTCTCGGTACACTTGCATGCCGCAGTTACATGGCGCCCCTGGAATCTGCAACAAGACTGCGACGGTTGCTTCGCAATGGGCAACAATGAATTTCCTTTTGTTTCCGCAGCTGTGGCAAGCCTGTCATGAGCAGTGGTGGATCGAAGTGCACGCAGGCCCTGAAGCAACTTCTTTGCATGGGCTGCCACGTTGACCCCGCCGAAGAAAGAGTGTTACAGATGTACACAGTATGGGCATAGCCTGTCTCAGTGATCTGGTTGCCACAACTGTCAGGCATGTGTTTGCAACATGTCTCACACATGCAGTGTCACCGATCTGAGCCTTCGTAGCAGATGAGGTTCTGAATGTTTCATGCGTGGTCACCTTTGTGATTATCCAATGCTTGCCCTGTCATTTTACGGATGAAGCTGTTCTGCGCCTGGTGCCCATTTGCAACCACAGAAGTCGCCTCAGTAGCAGCGGCTGTAGGCCCGTGCGCAGCACCTTTGAAAGAGACCTCTTAAGTGGTCAGGTGATGCGCCTGTACCTTACCACTGCCACAAGTGCATTCAGCGTCCTATCAAGACGCTCGTCGAAACTCGAAGAATCCACCATGCGGAGCTTGCGCGGATTGAAGAGCCGTCCTGAGGCACTTTGTGCGATGTGCTAGCTGCTAGCAGCTCGAACATAGTTTCTATCACTATGTATACGTATGCTTACATGCAGGGTCAGATTATGCATGGGAGGGTGGGTTGTGGAATTTTGCGTCAGAGTCGACGTCCTTTCCGGCTTGCAGCCTGCATTGTGACCAGGTTCTGCCAGACTTGCCGCATCATCAGACCCCCACGTGCCTCTCATTGCCGAGACTGTGACAACTGCGTCCTGAGGCACAACAAGGGCACCCGTCAGCAAATAAGGGCCTGGTGACTTGCCACGGCTTTTTGCGATTCGGCAGTGCCTTAACCAGCCATTGCGGATGAACCACTCGCGAATTAGTAGCGCCGAACGTCATCTTGAGGCTTGCCTGTGTTCAAAGATGGGGAATTCCAGCAGTTTGACGGTTGCCAGGTTTGATCACCACTGCCCCTTCGTGAACAATTGCATTGGCCAAAGGATATTGACTGGCTCAAGCTGTCTTGACTATGCGCAACTTGACAACAACAGAGACGCGCAGGAACTACATGTTCTTCGCTAGCTTCCTTGTGTGCAGAGCCAAGTTGCCTCGGCTTTGCATCGGTGACTGCCGTGTATTGTGCAGGCGTGGGGATGACAGAAGGTGTGCCCACCGACTCCCCCAACACAATACTCAAACAGCAACATTAGACAACCAATTTGAAATATCAGCAGTTATCAACATGTATGTATACATATACGTGCGTATATGTACAATGGAGAGAGGGTTTAGGGAAAGTTTTGGGTTTGTTGTTTAGGGGTTTGGGATTCGCCCCCAGCAGACCAGCTGAGTTTTGGGGCCAGATGGGAAGGCACAGCTTGGGGTTTGCACTGGGTGTTTCTTCGGTGGGTCTTAGGGGGTTTTCGGTTCGTTGATAGTTGAGGGCCCAGCCGCGATTCTGCGAACGTGGCCACTTTCGGCGAAGAACGTCAGTTTCCGCGCGATGAATATTGGACCGCCACGTACCATCAGATCACCACTGCTCCTCTACTGGGACTTGCTGAGATCTGCTGAGATCCGCTGAGGTCCATAGCTTGCCTGAGCCTTGCCGAGTTCTCCGGCATCGGCTTGTGGTACTCGCACTCTGCCCTTGCTTCAGTTCATTCAGTTCACTCAGTTCACTGGTGCAGCGGATCCCATGGCAGCTGACAGCTGTCAGGCCGGAGGCATCTCGGACGAAATGCTGACCCTCCTAATGCTTGCGTCGGCCTGAAGCGACTCAGAACACACACCCTGATTAACGGGAGATGCGTTGAGCTTGAAGCGCCAGAACGTACCAACTGCCATATGAAGCTCCTGAGGCATTGACTCCGGCGTGTCCCTCAGCGCGTGATTTAACGCGACTTCTCCCATCAGACCCATCGGAAGACATCAAAAGTAAAGCAGTTGCACTATCACTAGCTGCCTCCTGACTTGACATTACAAAGGCGGCAGCGTCCGCGATAGCATGGAAGTCGAAGCGTCTAGCATCAACGTTTTGATGCATGATTGTGATTGCAATTGTTCTAAGTTTCAGAAAGCCGTGATCATGCCCCATGCCCTCTCATGACCAGATGCTCACATGCACAGGCTTAGCAACCTCGGAAAAGTAAAATGCGGGCGAATTCTCGCCCTAGTTGACTCTGCCCTGGTCTTGACCTGATGGCACTTCGATCGCTTCGACTTGCTGCATCCGTGCGCCATGTGCGCCTCCATCGACTTGGCCTGCGCCACTGGTCAGCTTTCACCTGGCTCAGCCGCTGGACTTGACAAAAAGAAGAAGAGGAGGAGAGGCCAGGAGAGGGACGCAAGAGTTGCGCATAGTTGCGCACTCTTGTCCAGTTTGTCTCCAGTTGTCAGCTCCAAGGCCAGGGCTTGACGGAGACGGTGACCGCGAAGGGCCGCTTGAGGCCAAACCTCCACCGGCTCCCGGAGGACCAGTGGCTCCTCTTTGAAGGCCTCGAGTTTGAGACCAAGAGCACAGTAGAATCTTAGGAACTTAGGGAACCACATCTGTTGCAAAGGCCGTAGGATATCCAAGCACATATGCTCACAAAGAGAGCCTCCACTCAAAACTGAGAAGCTGTTTTTGCTCCGAGGAGCTGCTGGGAGCCAGCACCTCCAAAGGAAGGAGGAGACTTTCGCGTCGCCAGAAAGGGAGAAGTATCTGCTCCACACCCCTTCTTCGGCTGGAGCCCAGGCAGAGGTATTAGATATGCTGCTCGAGTACTTGCCCAAAAGGTATCCCCAACACTTCTGCGTCTCTGCAGTCTCTGCAGCGTGCGATGGCTCTGCTAAATTTGGGCCAGACACCACGGTGACTGTGTCCGCCTGTGACTGGCACATGCAGTACAGGGTCGGAGACTTTTCTGAGTGCCCGATTGAGCTGGCATCTCGCCTTGTCTGTGAGGATCTCGTGATTCTCCAGGACGGAGTGGTTTGTGCTGGATCGGTAATGTTCAGCTTCAGCCGTTTCCATGACCGGTTTGGAATGGACATGAACGAAATACATGCCAAAGTTCCGCAGTATGGGTCGGACTTGGAGAAGCCAGTAAATAGAATATTTTCATCGCTGTCGCCGGATCGCCCGCTCTGTCGCAGCAACTGGAACATCTCATGGAGCGACGACATAATGGCAGTCTACAGCCGCTATCCGCACAGAAACCCTGGAATGTCAGCAGAGGAGCGGGATGCTTGCTTGACGAGCCTGCGGCACGCTGCGCATTCACATGGGCTTGCAGACAGCGCGTGGCTGAAGGTAGAATACCAAACGTTGAGGCGTCTAGTGGCAAACCCATCCTGCATCCTGTTTACGATTCGCACCTTTCTCAACTCCTTCGCCGAACTTCCCAATGAGCCGGCTGCGGCAAGGTCTCTGCTGTTGAATCTGCAGCAGTTGGAAGGCAGAGACTTTAGCAAATACCTCGGCATCGATGACCCGGGCATTTACATGTTGGTCAAATCGTTTGTGGAAGACGCAAGCTCTTCCACTTCTTGATGGTGGCAGCCTGGTGTTGGGGAGAAGAGCTTGGGCATGATGCGTTCACAGGGACCTTCAGGCTGGGACGGCTGGGACATTGTTCAAAGCTCAACTTGACAAGCTTTTCTCTTTGGGTCGGGAAAGCCGAAGCACCGGAAGAGCGGGAAGCAAGTGGTGTCCCAAAGTAGTGGGACCTCGAAGTACTTTCGCCATCATGCAGCTGATGTGAAGCATAAACACCCGAAACTTCTAGTATATGGCTTCGGGGGTTCGGATTACAGTTCATGTGACGGTCCCTTTGCGGCTGCTCGATGCTCGAACTTTGTTTGAATCATCTACTCAGCTGCATGTGTGGCCCGGCCCCTCCATTGCGGAGCAAGCAGCGACCTTTAAAGTTGATCGGCCGTCTTGACTTTCCTCCCCTCCTTGCTTCGGTAAGATGAAGTCGTTTTCCGTCTGTTTGCCAAACCTGGCTCAATCTAAAGAAGGCAGCAACATGCAGCAACTGCAGTCGCGCTGCATTCCCGCTTTAGTCGTCGAAGCCAATTTCCTTTTCGAGCTTTGCTTTCTCACGGAAAGGGTCAATGAGTGCCTCAAGGCTTTTTTGCGTTTTCATCATATAGGAAGACCCCACAAATGCCACCTTTCCAGCAGGGCAAGGGTGGTGGTGGGGAGGGGGGTCAACACAACAGATGGGGCGCCAGAATTTGTATCTTCACGAGCAGTAGAAACAACAACCTCTTTCCAGAAGGGGTGCTCAAAGCATCTGACAGCACCAGATTTTGTTTCGACTCCAAGTCCAAAAATCCTGGCTTGGGGGGGGGGGGGGGGGGGGGGGGAGGGTGCAGAACACCAGCCGTGGCACCAGATTCTGTTTCTTCTGCCGTAGTAGGTCCGTTGGTTGGTGGGGCGGAGCACAGAACAACCGAGGGGCACCAGATTTTGTTCCTTCTATGCGCTCTTTGAACAACGAGGCAGGTTTTGGGCAGAAGAAGCACATGTCATACTTTTGTACTTCCTCGGGGTTGGCGTTGTTGTTCGTTCCTTGTCCCCTTGTCCCCTTGTCCCCTTGTCCGCTTTCCCCCCTTGTCGTCCTTGCCGTTCTTGTTCTTCTCTTGTCCTGTTGTCGCCTTGTCCCCTTGTCCTTGTCGTTCTTGTTCTTGTTGACCTTCTTGTTGTTGGTTTTGCAGGGAGACAGGGACACCTGCAGTGCGGAAGGGAATCGAAACCATGGTGGAATTCTGTACGCAAGGAGAACTATCCTTCTCGTCTTCTTGCAAGACTATGCCGGGCAATGTGTTGGCAACCTCCTTCTCCTTAGTCTTCTTGCCCTTCTAGACTCGTGCAAAGTGGGGCAAGATGGGGGCAAGACAGGGCTTGTGCAAAAGAACATCGTGTGTCTGCGCCCTGCGAGATGCACGGCGAACTGGGAACCCTGCAAAAAAGCAGCAGCCCCATACAGGCCTCTTCCCGGCAGAAAAAAAATTGCCACCAGCCCTTGGAGATGCAGCCCCATCCCGTGTGAGGCCACTCCCGTGTTTCGTGCCTACCTTGCTCCATCTTGCTCCATCTTTTCCTTTCTTGCCAGGTCTTGCCCACGCCTTCCCGCCTTGGCCTTGGCGCGTCTTGCCAATCTGACCCCTGGCTCCATGTTGCTGGGCAAGGCAGGACAAGCAAGGTACTTTGGCCCATGCGTCTAGAAGGGCAATAAGAAAGAAGGAGTTGGAGGCTTGAAGCTTCGTTCAAGGCTGCTGCACTCCTAGGCACTCAGTCAAGTTTCCCTGCCTCCACTCTGCTGAAGCTTATTGGCACGGGGCGTGGACTAGGGATTCAAACCGACAAACCTCTACCCCCCCCGGTTTCCGCGCCATGAGGCTATTGCCACTCTCCACCCTGGTAACTCGCCTCCGTTGGCCCCCTGATGAATTGAGCCGGCCTAGATGCCCTAACGTCGTCCACTCGCAGTCTGCAGCCTTTTTGTTGCGTCACTTGGCTGCAGGCGTCAAGGCAGAGACCAACTCAATCGTTTGCTGCGGGGAGACTGAAAAAGGGAGCTCTTGCTGCCAGGGCTTTCTACTGCCGACTGCATTCAAGCCAACTCCTTTAGGAGCTCAATCCACCGCTCCGATGCAGCATTCTGAGGCAGCCCTGCTGCTGCCTTGCGTCCTGCTGCTCGCCGGCTTCCATGCCTGGCTTAGTGTTGATGGCAGGCCCCCAGAGGGTGCTGGGAGTGCAGAATTATGTTGCTGGATGTGTAAACTTATAGAAAAGAGAAGCCAAGTTGAACCCTGCATGTCAGTCTTGGGAGCAGGACCACGAAAGAGGTCCTCACCCGGCGTTCCGATCGTCCAGAGCATCTCCCGCCAACAGGCAGATAGGTTCCTGTGGCCTAATCTCAATACACGCACTGTGAGGCTGTTAGGAACTGCAGTCGCAGCTTTGCTGGCGACATGGCCTCAGCCTGCCAGGCTCCGTGGCAATGCCGGTCTCCCAGACTCCGAGAGCGAGAGCGAGGCACCGGATGTGTTTTGCAACATCTTTTGAGTGAGTTTACCTTATATTTCAGCTGTGAGATCTGCGACGGCCCAGGTTCGCAGCTCGAGGTCCATCCCTTGTTCCAGTGTGTCCACCCGAGTTGGCGTAGTGCAGCGTCGGCAACGGCCTTTCGTGACAATGTGATGCGGGTCAAGGTTAGCGTACCAAGTCAGAGGCAGAGTTCTTGCTCGACTAAGGTGGGCCAGGCTTCACTCGGAGCCTTGAGCAGTGCGGCTCCAGGAAAAAGAATGCGATTGTGATTGCTTATGTTGTTGATCGGGCTGGCAAAGCGGTATACCGTGCAAAGCACTTTCTGAGTGGCACAATAAAGGGCCATTCCCGTCGGGTTGCATGCTGACTTGCTGACGACCTGCTAAGGATCTTCTATAGAATCGGCCAGTCGGCCAGTCCCCTCATTCCGGGGTCTGGTGGAGGGGTCCGAGAATTCTTATAAGTTCCACAGTTCAGAGGGGAGTGAGATCGCTCGGTTGATGTGAAGATGGTGAAGCCGACAGCCTAAGTGCTAGGGCGTGGCTGTCTGCTTTTTCGCGTTTATGCAGGCTTCCCCTCAGCAGAGTAATGCACGCAGAATGGCAGCAACGAGTCCCAGTTGCAAACTCATGTGGGCCCCCATTTCATGCTTAATTCAAGCCGGGCATCCTTGAATGGGGTGGCAGTTCTGACCGGGACAGACGGAAACTCGACGGATTCTTTGGCAGCGCAGGGCTTCGGTTTTGACATGGTGCATTGCTCAAATTTGGCTCAAACCTAGTCGAATTCTTGTTGGGGGGGGGTGGCATTAGGTCCTCCAGTATTGGAGATGTTTGGTCCACCCTCGCCGTTGTCAAAAAGCAGGCTCCGAGGAACGCTGCATAGCCGAAAGCTCTCACCACGGTCCCCTCGATCTCCCGGAAGTCCAACGAGTCCGACTTCGGAGAGCAAAGTGTCCTTCGGCTTCGGCTTGCCCAACGAAATCAAATCGCCCGGATGCCGCTCAGGCACGTCAGGCCTCAAGTCAGAAAAGCCAGCGCCCCTCAAGCTGGAGGAGGAGGCTTCTCCAAAAAGCATCGCAAGTCCCAAGCGGGCCACAAGCCAGACTCCGCCAACCGTGCCACCTTCGCTGTCAACACCAGCGAAGGACTGCCCAGAACCAGACTCGAGAGTGCAAGTGCTGTGCGCCTCACCCACCAGCGGAGTCACCAGCGGCGCAGCGACACCATGCTTCTCCCTGGTTCCGCCGCACCTGCCCGGGGCCCACCAAATATCACTTGAGAGCATTCTGAGAGCATGCGATGCCACTTCAGAAATTTGCAGCGCGGGGTGCTGCTTGTGCTCGAAGCCAAGGTCAGACAATGTGTTCAGAAGCATTTCCGTTGCTTCGACTGCCCTGGGCTCAGTGGGGACTGGTGTATGGCTGCGGTAGATGTTGGCCGGCACATCTTTCTCAAACGAAGAATGATTAATGCCCCGTCGAATCTGGGTTCATCATTTTACAAGAAATACTGACATGATTCGGTGGGTGTTTTCATGTCCGTCTTGGTGCAGACGATGAGGGCTGCCCTGTGGCTGCACCTTCCAGCTGAGTATTTCAGGGTCAAGAAAGCTCCTTCGTTCTGGTGCAGGGCCCACCCCCACGGGCTCAAAGCTTCTTCGATACGGAGCAAGATAGAGAAGTCCACAGCCTCGAGCAGCGAGAGCGAATGGCATTTGCCTGCCGAAGTCACGGTGTAACGAAGCGTCGCTCCGATGTAATTTGACGGCAAAACACGCCCCGGAGATCGGCACAGCTCGTCGCAGTGGCACCAAAAAAGGTCAGCAGGGCAAGACTGGAAGACAGCACCTCGCGTCAGTTTGGAGCCGACTTGGCGCTGCGAAAGCTGTACTCTGCCATTTTTGCATATTGCATACTCCACCCATGGCCAGACAGAGAGAGAGAGAGAGAGAGAGAGGCAGAGAGAGAAAGAGAGCGTGAAGGGGGTGACAAACAGCGGGAACCCTTCTTCGCCTCGAAGTGTCACACTGACGCTGAGACCTTCAGGACGCGCGCAGCGCGGGGGGCGGGGCTTAGCCACCCCTCAAGCCCGGCAGAAGAAGAAGAGGAAGAGAGAGAGCGAGCGAGAGCGAGCGAGAGAGAGCGGGAGAGAGAGAGAGAGAGAGAAGAAGCTGGGCTAACTCACCTCCGGGCGCGCCTGGTGCGCGGGGGTCCTCCCCCAAGCCCTGCAGAAGAAGAAGAAGAAGAAGAAGAAGAAGAAGAAGAAGAAGAAGAAGAAGAAGAAGAAGAAGAAGAAGAAGAAGAAGAAGAAGAAGAAGAAGAAGCTGGGCACGTCCTTCGGGACGACCCCTGCGGGGGTTACGTGCTGTGGAAGGAAGGAAGGAAGCTAGGTAGAAGAAGAAGAAGGAGAAGAAGAAGAAGAGAGAAGCTGCAACAAGCAGCTAATCTCACCAGTGGACCCTGGAGACTCGTGCGCCCCTGGGGGCGGCCTCCCTTCCGGGGGCTATGCGTGCAGAGAGAGAGAGAGAGAGAGAGACAGAGAGAGAGGCAAGCGCCCTCGGACGGCCCGCATTTTCACCAGTAGGTCCGTGGGGGCTCAGCCGTCTTCACCTGGCTCGGGGAGCCGTCCTGTCATGAGGGGTGGGAGCTAGGCTTTTCAGGGGTAGGTCAGCGGGGCATGCGCATGTGTGTGGGTACGTGTTGCTTTAACAGGGGGCCGTGGACAGCCGAGTCAGTGTCGTAGAGCTCAGCACGGGGAGGGTGAAGGAAACCGGCCGCTGTGTCATGGGGACGCACCGGTGGTCTTCTCCCGAACTGTCCAAACTGGAGGTGCCCTGAATACCGGGGCGGGCGCGTAAGCCCGGGGGCTTGCCCCCATGCCCCCAAGAAAGAAAGAGAGAGAGAGAGAGAGGCAGGGGGCCAGCGAGAAGAGCACCAGCAGCGAGAACGAGAAGATGGGCGCCTGCAGTGGGAAGCCAACGCCGCAGAAGGGGAGGAGGGGGAAGGGCGAGCTGGGGGCGAAGTGGAGAGACCCGACACGCGGCGGTTCACCCCACCGCAAGAGCTGCAGCTGGTCCGCGTGGAGGACAGCGGGGACGAGGAGAGCGAGCCAGACACATTTGGGCCGACTGCGGGGCTACATCGACCAGAAGATCTAATGAGGGGGTGGGATGAAGTACACGAGTCCGATGACGACCATCGTAGGCGACGCATGCTAGGGGCCCATACGTAACGCGGAATCAGTAGTGTTGGGGGCTGTTAGCGGGCTGCTTAGGGGCATAGGGACGGACCCTGCGCCAAGGCGCGCCCCGCTCCCGCGTTACGTGAAACTTATGTGTTGTCTTCGGCCGCCCTGTTGGCGGCCGCGCGGCGTGGCGCCTTAGTGGGTGTCCTTAGTGCTCCCTGAGTGCCAGCCCCCAAACAACCGAAGTCCCCAAGGCCCCCACAAACCGCCTCAACCTTCCGAAAGTTCAACCCCCCGTCCCCCAACCCGCAACACCAAAGTCCCCGAAGGCCCCCACAGAACCGCCTCAACCTTCCGAAAGTCCGACCTCCCCGTCCCCCAACCCTCAACACCCCTTTACAGTTTACGACCCCACTGGAGGCTCTGTACCGACACCGCGCTGGCCTTCCCCATCCCTTTGCCCCAAAAGCCGCCCCACTAGTGCACCATACACCTAAACCCCAAACACAACCATCACCCCGGGAAAGCTTGACAACGTTCTTGCCCGTTCCTCTACGGGCCCTGTTTGCGTGAGACTGCTAGCGGCCCAGCCGCATACTATCTCATCAGTCCTAGCAAAGCAAAAGAGAGAGAGAGAGAGAGAGAGAGAGAGAGAGAGAGAGAGAAGAGAGCGAGCAGGCAAGCACAGCCACCGTTGCGGGACGAGGTGAACTTGGGGACGTTCAGCTGTTAACAGCGGCTGAGCGGGTACAGGAGGCCTTGTCGTAGCCCAAGCTTGGGCTCTGGGCGAAGAATCACAGAGACTGGATCGCGTGGCTGGCCGCGGGGAGGGGGGAACCCTTCCTCAGGCCCCATAGAAGAAGAATAAGAAGAAGAGCGAGAGAGAAAGAGAAAGAGAAAGAGAAAGAGAAAGAGAAAGAGAAAGAGAAAGAGAAAGAGAAAGAGAAAGAGAAAGAGAAAGAGAAAGAGAAAGAGAAAGAGAAAGAGAAAGAGAAAGAGAAAGAGAAAGAGAAAGAGAGAGAGAGAGAGAGCGAGAGAGAGAGAGAGAGAGAGAGAGAGAGAAAGAGAGAGAGAGAGAGAGAGAGCGAAAGAGCGGAGAGCAGTGCGGCTATCGCCATGCAGAGGCCCACACTAACGTCACGAACTATTCAATGAGTCTTCGGCTCAGATTCTGCAGCTTGCACACAAAGCTTACATCTACTGCACTTACGTACACCCGATCTTTGTGAATGCACTGCAGGCGACGACAGCTCTGTGATGTCCGCAGCTCATGCAGCGGATGCCTCAGGGGCATGTCGCAGCATGCAGCAAAGTGGGGAGAAGCGGGGCTTGATTGACCAGGCGCTGGCGGCTGCTTCGGAGGCCATGCGTCAGGAAGCAGCAGGGGGCTTGGCAGGGGCTGAACAAATCAGAAGGCAGCCTTGTATCATGTAACATCTGCTTTTGCACTTGCCTGCTATGTTCAGGTCAAAGCGACAACAGCTCGCCAGCAGCTAGAAGATCAGTCCAGGTCGGATGTCGTCAGCTTTGAATCCCTCGTGCCGACTGAGCGCAACAGGCGCTTAGAGGCTCAACTGGCCGCCACGAATCAGCTTATCCTGCACGTTTGGAACATGACAGACACTTGACACATGTTCGGTGCTGTCCGGCAGTGACTCTGCCAGGATCCTGCAGCCACTGATGTCGCCTCGAGTGCAGCAGTTCCTCCACCAGCACCTCGTCTAAACATGACCAAGCCACAAACATGTGGCGGTTCAAGCGTGCGCTTAGAGTTCATGTGCCGCGCTTTTGACTTTTGACTGCTGACTGCCATCTTTGTGTTGCCGCATATGTTAGCGCTGCCCAGGATGCACTCCCCAAAGCACTTTGCGGCACCGCATTCGCCGCAGATTCAGACGCAGGTCGCGAGGATCTTCATGTGGTATCATGACGACTATTGAAGTGGCCAATTGCGCCCAACGTCGCGCTCAGTTGCCAAACACATGCCAAGCGCACGCCAATCCTCCAAGCAATGGCAGGTGCCGGTCACAAACGGGCCCCACGGATACTCTGGCTCCACTGGCTGTGTGGCGCATGTGGCCCCCAGTGTCACTGTCAAAAGGCGTGGCGCTGGGATTTCAGAAGTCGCCAATCACCAGCAGCCTTCTGTCAGGACAGTGCGTGTGGCGCCACCGAGGGTGGAGACCCGAGCAAACGCCGAAGCATTCAGTGTCACGCTCCAGCCAAAGTTTGGGTGACATGAGAGCGTGACGTCGCTTCTCGCAGGTGGTCAGCCCGGTCAGCCCGGTCAGCCAGGTCAGCCAGGTCAGCCACGTCAGCCAGGTGCCGGAGCCGGCCTTGATTCACCCATGCATGCAGAGAGTCTTCTTGAGAATCCTGCGTGTTCAGAGGACGATGGCTACAACCTAGACTGATACCTGTCCCCTCACCCCCACCAGTGCCTCGGAGCCGCAACGCCTTATCAAACAGAGACAGGAGGTCGCCGCAAAGCAATAAGTCAACGATCAAACGCGGTCACAACTAAACTCGCTTCCTTCGTGCCTTCGTCTAAAGGATCCCTGCTTCAAGCAATTAGTGGTGTTCTTTAGGTCGGCTTCCACCTTGCTTGAACTGAACAGCAGGTCAGTCCTGCCGTGGCCTCCAAGCAAGTGATCTCTTGCCCGGAAGCCGCCCCAGAAAAGGTGCTTATCGAGTTGACCAGGAAAAAAACAGCTTCAGCATCCAGTTGCGATGCAATGGCAGGTCTGTACTTCGCAGGTGCTTGAAGACGTCAAGACCAGTGATCAGCCAGCGGCACGGCATTGTGACGGTTGCGAGGTCTTGGTGATGAAGTCATGTCCCGTGTGGTCTTTGGTTTTCCAGGCAAACGACATCGCTTTCAGTCGGTCGAGAGCTTATTCATGTATGGCTGTCGCATGGTTCCAGGCTGCAAAATGAATGAAACTGCAAGGCGTGCAGACATCCTGCGAACTTCTACCTGAAGTTCCTGGGCAGGAGCCCACTTCTGACGGATGTGGCATCTGACAGTTTGCGGATTTGCGGCACTTGGCTCCCATGAACGTGCTCGAACTTGGCGCGAGCAACCCCTGCGTTTTGCAATATATGGGGCCTGTCATACGTCTACAGACTTTGCCTGCAGACCCTAAAACATCCCCGAATCGAGACTAGCAGCCGCCTCAGGAGCTTCAAGACCTCGCGCGACAGGAGATCTTGCAGGCCTGGAGAGAGAGTTCAGAGTGTTGACCAGGAGGTGTTTCAGAGGTCTCACGACTTGGCCACAATTGACTCAATTGACTTAATTATACTTAATTGACCCTCCGGGTGATCTTGCATGTCAGGCTCTCGACATGACATCTCGAGATGTCACGGGCGCTCCTTCATTGGCACAAGTGAAGGAGGCGGGGACAGGGACGCAGCTTTAACTGCATGTGAATGCACAGGGCTGGCAACCTGAATTTCATGGAGCGAGTTGCCAACGATGTGCCCAGGACCGCGATCACCTACGCCAGGCAGCGTGGTCTGTTCATGTTCTCAGGGTTTTGGTCAGAGGCGGCCTCTGTTGCCTCCTTTGTGGGAGGCCATTGCCAAGGGCCGAGCTGCTGGCTTGTCCGAGGCGAAACAGTCAGCATCATTGTTTCGACACTTTCATAGACTAGAGCTAGGAAGCATGGCGCATGGCTGTGGTTCGCAGGAGGAGCTGGCAACTTCTGAACTGCAGCGTCGTCGACTGCACAACTTGTACCAGGAACGTCCCGAGATGCATGGCCTGTGGCATGGGACTATATTGGACCGTTCATACCAGGACATGAAGGGCCAGCTACGGGTTTATTGCCGAGCTGCGGGCCTAAGTGGATTCAGCTCTCGCACGGTTTTGCTGAGTCTTGGTCCGGCCTCGTGGTCTTGTCTGGAGTTGTTTCCTGTGGCTTCCTGTTTCAAGGTGAGGCCCCTGAATGCCCGGGAAAAGCGGATCGGCGACAAGGAAGCCATGCAAGTGGTCGACAGCAACACTCTCGAGGCCGCACTTAGGGCAAGACACAAGCTTTAAAAATATCCTAGTAGTCTGAAACCTGGAAAGGCCAGCCTTCCATCGTGTGACTGTTACTGACATAGGTTCGCAGCACCGGCGACATTTTTGAGTTTGTTCCGACCTGAGTTGGGGTTTTGAGCAGTCTCTTGGTGCCGAGAAGGGTTTGGGCGGGCTTGGGAGCATGGCTGGATGTGGTAGAAGCAAGCACCAGGATGGCATCTTCGGGAGTTCTGATTCGCAGGCGGCGTAACGGCATGCTGCACACATGAGGGCATCCTGTGACGTACTCTGCATGTGTCAACAGTGCGCTTGAGAATCGACAGAGGCTGATGTGTTCGAGGACTGCAGCGACCTGGCCCAATCTGCCGTGGATGGGCAAAATGCATGAACCTCGGTTGTTTCCATGGCATGGCCACAGATGCTTCTCAGGCAAGTGCATTGAAAGTATCTTTCGCGCACACGATGTATGGCACACAGGCATAGCTCGTGCAGTCCTTGCTCTGACCGCATTCATGATCGAATCTTTTGTCTTCCAGAGGTGCAGATGTAGGAGCACACGCAGCATGAAACACCACGTGGCCCAAAACACGTAGCAGCTTGACTAGAATGTCAGGTACTGTACGTAGGAAGAGCGTCATCTTTCTTTATGCTGGTGAACTGCCTCGAGCTTCGTTCGGCGCAACTAGGCAGTCACCCCCATGGCCCGTTACTTCTCCAACATGCTGCGCTTCTTTTTCAACATACATCCGAAAAGGTATCCTTGGCAACAGGCCCACAGCCGACACGCTCAGCGCCAACGTGCCCGCACTCGCGCGCATGTGTGCGCCCGCGCACGCGGCCAGCACGCGCATGCGCACAAAGCAAGGTGACCGTTTTCTGCTACGGCATTACGGGTGCCGGCAAGACCTATACAATGCGGCGGCCTCAGCATCCTCTGAGAGGAGATCCCGTGCCCCGAACCATGTGTTCTGCACTGTTCAGCGCTTCGAGAGTTTCCGGTCCGGGCAGAGAACTCGCCTCCTTCAGTCGGTACTCGTATGATCTGAAGGGGGGGTCGTTCCATCATTCCACCATGTTCACCACTCATGTTCACCTAAGCTGGAAAGACCATCGCACGGGCCCGGGACAGCCCTGCCACGAGCGGGCTCGTCCAGCTCTGCCCTAAGCTCTAAAAGCTCTAAAAGCCCAAACCTGGCAGGGGTCGAACACATTCCAAACCGTATTGGACCTCGTCGCTGGCGTACTGTTCTGATAGAGGCGCGTGCTCTTTATTAGAAGCTTGGCATATGATCTGAGGAGAGAAATTCCAAGAAACCTGCAGAATCACGACGTGGTGCTCGGAGATTTCGGGTATTGCTGTTGTCCTGGGACAAGCCGAGAATGGCTCTCATCCCGTTCATCAGGCATTGGGAGACATTTTTGTCGACATTTCGACCCGCAGGCGGCATATGAATCAGTAGAGAAGCGTCATTAGGGTTCTAGAGCATACTGAGTACTGATGGCTCAATAACTGGTGCACTACCGCTATATCTTTCTCAGTTCACGCATGTTCATTGGTGCCTTCCTTAGGGGATTGCTCTTCTGCGCAAATTCTAGAGTTAGGCCACTTGGTTGTTGCTGTCCGAACTCCTCAGTACCGTGGTGAGCCGTGCTAGCCGGGCAAAACGTTGGAGGAGTGCAGTGCAGGCTTGGATCCGTAAACCGACAAAATTGGTGGGCACGGTGACGCACAGAGGCCAATCCAACACCGCCTCTAGCGACACTGGTGGCCAAAGTTTGTTTCGGGGTGGCTTTAGATGGCAAGACAAGAAGGTTCGGTTCGTTTTGTATGTTGGCCGGGAGGTCCTCGCCTTGCGCGCGTATTGCGCCTCGAAGCATGAAGGCCCTGGAGTCCAACTCGTGTCTCGAGGAAAAGCCTCCTCCTAGTAGGGAGCCTCTTCGGGAGCCTTACGGAGCTTTTCGCCACAACAGCGTTGATCTAAGTCTGTGTTGCTCTCTGCCGAGGCAGCCTGGCAGTCTTTCCTTAGGCTTTGGGGGCGGAGCTGGTTGCTGTAACGAAAAGCAGTCGCAGTGGCATCCGACGCATGACCCTCCAAGAAGCCAGAAGATAGCTGCGGACGCCTAGGAGGTATGTGGAGGAAAGCTATTTTTTGTGTTGTCTTTGCTTGTTACCGGAGATTGCCCATATCTCAGTTCCCCAGAGGTGTAGAGAGCTATTCTGCCTCATTGAGTACCGGGGTGGACAGATGCCCAGGTATGGAACTTCGGAGGAAGATGGATTGGCACAGCGGATGTTTGGCGAGGTATTTGCGCAGGCACAAGTCGGGAAGGCAAGTTTTGGTATACGTTTGTTCATTTGGAGACGCTGCAGCAGGTGAGCGCGAGACCGCAAGCAAGGAGCTTAGTCGCTGTGGAGCCCCCGCGCGTGAGACGTGTAAAGGCCTGCATATCTGTTAGACGTCCGATGGTCTGCGATAAGGCGAATGTCACGATCATGGGGTCCATGTGCGAACCCTACTCAAGTGCCTTAACTACTCCGTCTTTCAGTCGATGACCTTGGATTCATGCTGTGCAATCACAGTCCTCTTGGGCTTCGTGTGTTCAAGTTCGCCGCTTGGGTAGGGTGTTGCAAGTCGGTGAGGGGATCCGTCGTGGTGGATCGCGAGTGCATTCTTCATCCTCGGTTTTCACCAGGATGGAGCTCTACAACAACTACCTCGTCGATCTTCTGCGCCCGATTGACTGGCAGGGCACGCCACCCAGAATGCCCTTCTGTGTGGAGGGGAATGGAGGGGAGCAGCGCGGCGAGCCGCGTGACATGATGACATATGTGATGACATGATGTCTTACGAAGCATACGACGTCAGGCAGGCAAAGCCCGGCCTTGAGCCTGAAGCTCGACAAGCTAGGCATGGTGCAGGCGAGAGGGCTCGGCCTGACCGGCACCTGAGCTGTATGGAACCTTTATGGAGCTGTGAGCTGTCAGCTGTCATGACCATCGCTGCTGTAGACCATTAAAGAGTCAGTCGACACGGGACCTCACTCACGCTTGGCTTCCCGAGCATCTGGCTCAAGGGTGCAAGGGGAGGCGATCCGGAGATCCCCGAGGCACTGCAAGTAGGACAAGCATGGAAAAGATTGCCCAGCTGCATCTTCCTCAGGCATCCGCGCACCAGGGATGAGGCCTTCATGGCTTCTTCAAATTTGTTCCAGAGTCTTGCAGATATTGCCAGTCGTAGCCCACGTTGGGTAGGACAGATGCCGTGGACATCCTCAAGATTGGGGTGGCCTTGGCCGTCGTTGCTGGGAGCCCCACGAGCATGATCTGCCAGTGGAAGTATCCGAGACTTCGCCATTTACAGCCATCTAAGCATCTGCCAGGCATCGTTGCAGTAGCAGTCAGCGCGTTGCTTCGAGGCGGCTGTATGTCGTCTTCTCTGGGTGAAGACATCGAAAAAGAACAAGGAGGAGGTCGGGCACGGTCAGGGATTCTCAGATCGAGATTCAAATCATAATCAGGAGGAAGTCGTGTCACGGAGACCTGTCAGGCGAGTCGTGCAGATGCATCGCCTAAAAACCGTTCCGGCACCACGACGCCCAGAAGTTCGAACAGCAGTTGCCTCGTTGCCCCAGGGCCTCATTGCCGGCCCCGACATTCTGAAGCGTTTGAGTTTGATGTGCCAGCCTTTTGAGGTGCTGCCGACGGTCTTTGGATTTATTTTGGCTCTCAGAATCTGGGCTGGCAAATGCGGTAAATCTGTGGAGCATCCTGTGGCCTTAGACCTTCATGACCTTCGGGAAACGTTGCCCGTTTGGGCAGATGGTTTGGCCCCTATACTCTGTAGTTTGGAGAAGCTCGCAGCCGAGAGAAAGATAGACAGGTGTAGTAGAGTAGAGTATAGAGTCAGACAGACGAGTCTAGAGTCTAGAGCTGCACAAGTGGCTCGCGACATCACAACAGTGGGGTGCTCAGGACTGGGACAGCCGAGGGGTTTGCCCAGGAGCTTGAACAGGAGCTTCTACTTGCTGATACGCAAGTCTAAAAGCAGTTTCTTGCATGTGAGAAAGCAAGACATGTCTCAGCGCCAATAGGACCCCTCCCCGTCCTCCCGGCTCACGCCCCAACCCCGACCCCCGGATTCCATCATCGATTTGTCAGCGAAGAATGGAGAGGCATTCTAGGTCACGGCAACACCCATACGCAGTAGACCTGAAACGAGAAAGCAGCAATGGTAATGTCCAAATCATGGTCATGGGCTTTAGGGTTGGGCTCAGGGTTGTTGCCAGCACCCTTCCCACGTCCATACGGCGGGTTTTGGTGGGGCTTAGGTGGTTTGGACGGGGGGAGGGGGCGTGCGCTGCTTTCGTGCGTCTGGTCCTGTCCACCCATGCAGGAGGCTGCGACTCACGAGATCAGCGCTGCGGTGGTGGATCTCGAGGACTGTTCATGACCATGAGTTCATGAATTGTCAGCACGGCTACATCGCCTTCCAACACTGTCACAAATCATGGGGATCATGTGTATCTTAAAGCTATTTTGCACATGAGGACTTCGACCCTGAGACTTTCAGGCGGCACAAGGCAGGCCCACAGGGTGTAGCGAGCACAGCGTGAGAATACAGGACGCTGCTTGGCGTGTGAGGCTGTTGTGATGGTCCTCGCAACATATGGCGAAGGCGATCCGACCGACAACGCCGCGGAGTTCTTCAAGTGGCCGCTTTTGCAGCTTTTGGCACTGTTGGTTCTGCTTAGTTCTGATTTCTGAAAGTTCCCAGCTGTTCACGCGGTATCACATGGCGGTTGTGCCATGCTGGGGCGTCAAGTCCAGGTGCACCCGATCAGTTTGAATCATTTTGAACCTCAAGCTGCGCAAGACCCCAGCACACCCCCACTTAGTACTCCACGGATCAGCAGCGAGCATGCTATGCCTCCCAAATCATCTTGCGACCAGATGGGTTGTTGAAACACGGCTAGTGGCCAACCCATGGTTCCGATTCAGCGACCAGTATCCTGGAGCCAATGAGTAGAACACTTGCAGTGCTGTTCGCCGAGGCTGGAGGACGACAGCTTGGATACGGACTACTTGAAGGCCCGAGCTGCGAATTACAGCAGCTGTTGTTTTCGCACCAGGTAGCCAGCGGACCCTCCAAACCCCAGCCTTCTTTGCGTTTTTTTTGTTAATGTTGTTACGCCCCCTTGTGGGAGGAGTAGGACGGTGCCCCGAACATCTCCGAACACTTCGGTCCCCGATTTTATGGGAGAAACGAAAAGGAAGCCCGTGCAGAAAGGAGAACGCGCTCAACGCCTCCAGAAAGTCCCCGGTCGATACCAGAAATCGCGATGAACAAGTGTTTTGGACAATTCACTTAAATGCTGGCAACTCTTGATGTGACCTCTCCCTTGGCACGATTTCGCAGAATCAGTCTTCACACATGCAGAATCAGTTGTCAGTTCGGGAGCAAGAACGCAGCCTCCCTTCGCACACCCTTTCAGATCCGCACTTGCGAGACCGAAGGAAAGGCTTACAGCACTCTTACAGCGTTGCCCCCTGCATCTCAGAGCCGTTGCTTCGGTTGATGTGTTTGGGGCTCTTCGGGGCCTGACCGCCCCTGACCGAAGCAGAGTTTCCTGAGACAAGCCTCAAGTTCCGCGTGAAGGCGCAAACGCATGAGGAGCACGTCGACAAACATGACACCTTGCTTTGGCACGTGACATGCCATGACATGCCCGAAATAGGCCCTGGCAAATATTCAACCTTCACAACCCTGTTGTTATGCATGAGGCGATTCATGCCGTTCATCTGCCGCCCTCTCCTCTCCCTCTTTGCACTTGCAGCATCTCACTGCCACCACATCCTGTTAATACGGCCGCGAAGCGGTCTTTGTGTGCCAGGGAATGAAGTTCACCGTTATGGGTTGCGGAAACCGCCAGTATGTCCACTTCAACCAGTCGGCGAGAATTGCTCGGAACTTGTCAAAGAGATTCCGAAGTTTCAGCTGTCAAGAAAATCCAGCGTGGACTGCGACCTGGCTGCAGCTGAGGCGGATCAGCGGTTAGAGTGTCTTGGCGCCGAACGCGTCTACGAGCGTGGAGAGGGCGACGACGACCAAAACATTGAGGAGGATTTTGAGCAGCGCGGTCCCTTAGCCTTGGGCACGTATATTGACTTTGCAGCCCCCTTCTCAATCCCATGACTTGATCCTTGAGTAGTCAGGTGGCGAGAGAATGGCCTGTGGCCAGCTCTTCGGAAAGCTTTGGGCCTTTCAGGGGCAGACCACCTGAAGGACGCCCCCGATGTAGCAAGAAGGTTGTGCAAGGATTGAGTGCGCTTGTGTATGAGGATGAGCAGGCCGTGGAGAGCGCAGAATCTGCTGTGACCTCATGCGAAAATCATGTGAAAGAGATGACTCAAAGTAGGCCATGACACAAGAGGCCTCACTTTGACTCGAGAAGCCGCTACTGGAAGCATGGAAGCCGTTGGCAATTCTCGCAGCTCAGGTCTTGAAGCGCCTTCCTCTGAAGCTCGAGCTGTCGACAAACATGAGGACATTGCCGGTCGACCCTCTGGTGCAGGCTTGTACCTCAGGAATCGACAGGGGCTTTGTTTGCATGCACTTGGGGCTTTTGGGGTTTTGGGCAAGGTGGGCGGTGCAGACATTCTTGGCAAGTCCTGGCCCAAGCGCGGGAGGGGGCTTCGCATGGCTTCACCGTCATTCGCCGTCAGCGAACTCAGTACGCAAGCTTACAACATCAGTGAGCGAGACCCTGACTAAGAAGGTGGTACTTCCAGGCGTCGCTCGCGCCTGTGGTCGCTTGCGACGAGCTGCGGCAAAAGCCTGATGTGAATGCCGGTGAGGTGCCTACTTTTCCTTGCAGTGCTCCTTGCGCGTTGTGTTCCATGGCATAGCAGCATGCCCCATGCTCCATGTAGTGTGAAAAGCAGTGGACTAGGGTTCGGGCGGGGTCATTGAGGCAAAACGACAAAGCACATTGAGTTCAACGTGCAGCAACTACCCGCTGTGGACTGGCGAACTGCAGATAATTTGGAGGCCACCATAAAACTGGACTGTGGCAACGAAGAGTAGGGCATGCATGTGATATTGTCGATATTGTGATGGTATGGTGTATCACATTCGTCCCTGCATCCCAGATTGGACTCGCAATCTCCTCTCTCGCAGACACACGCATGTTGTGTTGTGCTGCATGCAGTATGCATGGCCGCAGGTGGTGCTCAAGGGATCACTCACGTAGCAGGTCTGGATGAGTGCGGTGCTGTTGGGGGATCGACTGCCATGGGATGTGGCGCCTCCCAGGCAAAGTCCCATCTGCAGGAAGCGACGCTAGACCCCCCGGGCTCTCATGTTACACTGCCGGCCGGGAGCAAAGTCGAGGTCCAGACATTCGTGGAGGAGCCATGTGCAGCAAGCCCCATGGCAAGTCCAACGGCAAGTCCAACGGCAACTCCGCTGTCAAGCTCTCCGACTGCCCTAACTCCTGCAACATCCAGATCTAGACCACGAGCCCCGAAGGCTCCACAAGCAACCTGGGTCGAGAACGGGCCTCGCAGCTACAGGAAGGCTCCGGGCAAGGCAAACGCCTTGCGAAGGACGCTTCGTAGATTCACGTGGCAGGGTTTGTGGGTTTGCGCGAAATTAAAAGTTTCTTGAACATACAGAAGCCCGAAACTAAGGCTACGTCGGACCTATGGGTAGGTCTACCCTAGGCCTACGGGTAGCCTATGTACAGGCCTACGTAGAGGCTATGCGAGGCTACCTATAGGCCTATCCGTAGGCCTACGAGTGGGCTACTGGTAGGCCTCCCTGTAGGCCTACCAGGCCTACCAGTAGGGCTGTGGATAGCCTACCGGTAGGCCTACCCGTAGGCCTACGGAAGGGCTACAGGCAGGCCTATCCGTAGGGCTATAGGTAGGCTACCGGCAGGCCTACCCGTAGGCCTATGGGTAGGCTACCGGTAGGCCTGCCCATAGGCGTGTAGGTATGCTACCGGTAGGCCTGGTCGCAGGCCTATAAGTAAGCTATCTAGAGGCCGACCCGCAGGCCTAGGGGTAGGCTACCGGTAGGCCGACCCGTCAAACTGCTCCCTAAATTCTCGACCCGAGACATCATGTGCATCCGTAAAAGAAATCACGCGCGCATGGACTCTTAGGCCCTCCTTTTTGTGCCCGAGCCCCAGCCCCGAGATCATCACTACTACGTATAAGCCTGCGGGTAGGGCTGCCGGTCGCCTACCCGTAGGCCTGCGGGTAGGCCTACCGGTAGCCTACCCGTAGGCCTGCGGGTCGGCCTAGAGATAGCTTACTTATAGGCCTGCGACCAGGCCTACCGGTAGCATACCTACACGCCTATGGGCAGGCCTACCGGTAGCCTACCCATAGGCCTACGGGTAGGCCTGCCGGGAGCCCACCCGTAGGCCTACGGATAGGCCTACCGGCAGCCTACCCGCAGGCCTACGGGTAGGCCTACGCGTAGGCTGCCCGTGGCCCTTTGATACGTCTACGGGTAGGCCACACGAGGGCCTACGGATAGGCCTACGCGTAGGCTGCCGCAGACTCTACCGACAGGCCTACGCGTAGCCAGCCGTAGGCCCTACAGCTAGGGCTACGGGTGGCCTATACGTTTGGGCTTCTTTACCTTCTTGAAACAAATGGGATGAGGATGAGGTCCCTGACGTTGACCCATCGAGACATCCTGCCCTATGCCCTGAATTTGTGCTCTAAAGAACAGGATCAGGGTTTTCGGGGGTAGTTTTCGACCTTACTCATGGGGGTCTGTGGGGATTTGGAAGGGCAAAGTTGGAAGCCATACCAAAGACGAAGTGCATGGTCAGGAGTCAGGCGGATGGTATGAGATGCGAACGCATGAATCTGTGCTGGTGTTGGTTGGTTCAGGGCGGCCAGCTACTGCATAACTAGTGCTCAATCGTGCAACTGAAGCTAGTGCCTGTGTGCTTCCCGTCTAGCTTTATTTGGTATGGAACCATTATGCGAGCGCTTCGCTGTAAAGCCTTGAGACAGTCAGCGCCCCTGCAATTTGGGGAGGTCCTTCTTGAGCCTTCTTGTGTCGAGTTCCCTTCAGTTCCAGTTCAGAGGAACTCCGCTCCTGAGAATCGCGACGCGCCAGTCTCGGAGCAAGCTCGTCTGCATCCCGTCCGCATTCCAGCTCTGTCTCTGCTGCTTTTCTGGCGCTAGGAGATGCTTGGAGATGCTAGGAGTTGCTCTGGCAGCTGATCTCTTGTTCTATGCAAGTCACAAGCCTGAGGAGCGTTTGCGCGACCTTGAGTGCCACGACACCACCGCCGCACAACTCGCACAGTCCTCCGCAACTCCCTGGAGCGGTGCCACAAGTGAATGCGGCGACGGAGGGGCTTACGCGTACTACTGGCGCCACATGTGACGCCTCAGAGGCTCCCACGCCAATCTTAACTAACCTGAGCAGCTCAATGACACTGGCGAGTGCGGACACCCAGGAGGAATGTCGAGGCCAGCGACCTCTGCAACCTTTGAATGTATGTGTGTATGTGTGCGTGTGATTGTGTGTGTGTGCGCGTCATCCTGTGGCCGTGAAAAGGAATAGGTCCCACTTACCAAAGCAAGTTTGGGCAAGACTTTGCGGGTTGCGCTAGAGGTGCAGATCTGCTTCCCAGCGAGTAGCCCACACTGGCTTCAAAAGTAAAGTTGTGGCTTGAGCATTTCTCCTCTGTGGAGTGGTCGAGACAGATATGTAGCAGATTCGCTTGCGTGCATGTGCATGTGACAGTCATTCTGCTAAAAATAGCCGAGTCGCCAATGATGAGTCGAATACGGAAACCTTTCAGGGCCGACGATGCCCTCGCCTTTGAATATCGAATCAGTGAAGACGGTGAAGTCCTTGGAGCCGAGCCTTCGCTGGATTGCCGAACGCTTCGCAGACTTCGCAGCAGTTTCGTAAATTCATTGAGTGGTAGATTATTATTTGAGTATGCTTGAAAAGTCCCGAGACCGTTCACCATCACCCTTCTCTTTGCCAGCCGAGAAGGGGGTAGGGTAGGGGAAGGGAGCAGGGACACCGGCCCATGAAATGGAGCGTCTTGTGCTGGCTTTAGATGAATGTTGGATGTCGGCTGCAGGGCATTGACAGTTCTAGGCTTCTGTCCATTCCTGAGGACGAGGAGCCTCACAGGACTTGAGGGTTTCAGCCAGCAACAGTGCAAACACCGCTCGCGCTGCATGTTGACCCACTTTGAATGGTCCCACGAGAATGAAGTCGGTAGATTCACCAATTGTTTGGACGGTGGGTGAGTGGGCTGCAGAAGACGTAGGGTTGAGAAGAGTCTTTCATTGACCTTGCCCGTTTAGCAGGAGGCGAGGCTCTGGGGCCTGCGATCTTGACCGATGTCCAGGTGACCCAGCTAGGCCAGACGCTAGGCTGAACATGGGGGCTTCGGCTGGCAACACTGAGCCCAACAGCTAAGCTTGCTAAACATTTGCTAAACCCAGGATCTTCAGTTTCGTGGACAAGAACGGCGACGGGAAACTGACAAGGAAGGAGCTTCTCATCGGCTTGAAGAAGTCCCCTGCAGCGGCGCGGCTATTCTCAGGTGTTGAGGTGCCAGCAAGGGCGAGGGGCAAGGGCGAAACATGGCGAAATTGTCAAGTAAAAGGGCATGCTCACCACGTGTGGATACTTGTGGCACACAGCCACAGTGCCACAGTTCAAGAGACTTAGGTCCGCGCGCTCTTTGGGATCTCCGGAGGCGATCTGGAGGAAATCCAAGCGGATTTCGAGGGTCAAGGCGGGACTCCACTCATTCCGACAGAACGCTTGGGCGATTGAATGCATACTACCACGTCAAGCTGGCTGCCCCTAGCACCCTATAGGCTTGAACCCGGAACCCATCCCTTGAAAAAAACTTGGTGGGCCTGCGGCCTCCCAGGCCAAAGCCCAGAGAGGGTGAAACCTGATCACCAAGCCCAGGAACGTGAGAAGCGGGCCGGGGTTCAGAAGAAAGAAGCCGCAACATCTTTCTTCCCTGCGCCCACCGAGGCCGTCTGGGCTCTGCAGAAGGGCAGTGGTGCCTCTTGCGCCGCGGCCGCAACTTCTGCCTTTTGCTTTGAGTCGGTTGTGGATCCCTCCAGCCATTCCAGCCTGCAGGCCGACATGTGAAAGTGTTTTTGGGGTTGTCGGAGTTTCCCTGACGCAAGCGCTGCTGAGTTTTTCGTATATGGTGACAGTTGTGACCCTCTGCTTGCCCGATGCGATGTTTGCAGAATCTGCAAGGACGTCAGCAGAAGGTGACGTCTTGCACAGGGCAGAGTTCATCAAGCACTTTGCTGAACATCCAGAGCAGGCAATCAGGGGGTTGCTCGGCGACGACGGCATGCGTGAGCATCTGCGCTGACGAATGCAAGTTCCAGACCACCACATATCCGGTTTAAAGTGGTTCTAAGATACAATAGCTGCGAGCAAGGATCCGCTTGCATTGTGGAGACCCTGACCGACCCAGGTTCATAGCAACACAGGCGCACGGGTTGCTAACATGCTGTAACTACTCTTGCTGATACATGCAACTGACAGAAGCTCTCGCCATTCATGCTCGATCCCTTGCATTCATGCTGACGTGCTTTCCATTCACCAGCGTTGCCGCTGGACACCCCACTAACAGGTTACGGCAGGGTGGAAGTCAAATCCGCAGCGACGTAAACCCCCCGAAGCCCCTCCGTGTACCCCTCGTCAGGACTGGCAGCCTGTCCCAAAGGGAGCTGCCTGCCCTCCAGGCTTAGAGTACAAGAGCCTTCGTTGCATGATGAGCGCAAGCATTATAGGCATTAGTCGCTCAGATGTTGCAGGGTTGCGGGGTTACGAAGTACCGCGGGTGACACGCCAGATCCACCACAACAAAGAGTGACACGAAAGCCTTGCTACTGTCCTGCTGATGGCAACAATCAAGGCTGGAGGGAGGATTCGTTGACTTTCCTTTCGGGCGGAGCAAAAACAGAGCAGAATGATTGCAAAAGCACTTACGGAACGCCCACGAAACACATCGAAACACTGTCATCCAGCGTCTTCCCGAGTCTGGCGCTGTCTATCTTGGTGTTTGCCGGTGTCGTTTCCATCAGCGTGGACCGTGCTCCTTTTGCATACCCTGCAGAAAGAATGGCAGGACCAAGGGATGTGGAGCATTGACGAAACACTGACGAAACGGATCATTGATGCAGGCATGACATGGTGAGAGCCTTTGGAGTGTTGGGTGAATCTGTCTGCTGCTCGCCAACAGGCTCTCTAGCAGCTAGCAACTGGCTCTTGGCTTTCACAGCAGTGGAAGCCTTGCAAAGAAATGCGGGAAAGCCCTCAGTGACCCTCAGAAGCAGGGATGTGACACACAATGTGGGGCCGCAGCTGCACAACTCAAGTCACGAGACTCGGCCCCGTGACCTTTGCTGGCGGTGCGATGTCGTTTTCCAATCACCCGGCTGGGATGCGGTCTTATAACCTAGTTACTAGTTATCAGCATGTATCTGGCCCTGGAATTTCAGGTTGGGCTCACAACCCATCAGGGTTATGTCGTTGTTGCCTAACATCCATTGCAGCACATGCAGGATCGTGAGGACTTGAGGCCCATTCCATGGAAGATAGGATGTTGCATGCCTCCTGTCTTGTATTTTGATTCTTTGGATCCTGAAGAAAAGTTTACAACAAGGGCCATGGTTTGTATCGTGGGCTAGAAAGCTGCTCGGCCTACAGTGCTTGATGCTTCTATTCCAGTACGCGAGCGTCTGCTGTCACGAAAGGTTCGGACGGAGAGGCTAGAAGACCCGGCAGAAGAAAAGACACACCCTGTCGTACACACACAAAAAGTGTGGAAGTGCAAACCTGTATACTGCGCAGCTTGCCACGTGAAATGCTGAGGATGGATTTGGCCACCGGAGAGACTCTGGGGCGCCTTTGCAAAAGCAAAGCGTGATGTTTGGAGTAGTTTGAATAGCTAGCATGGAGAAGGTCGATGACAATGTCGAGATGTGTTGTGCTGTCAGTGGCCATGCCATGTTCGCTTGTGTCTTGGGGATGCTAGGCCCCCAAGCAACAGTTGTTCTGGTGCCAGCTTTACAGGGGAGGGATCATCCCCCCGTGGGCTGGAGCATTGACGCCTGAAAGGCTCTGCTTTTGAAAAAGAGGCCCTCTCCGACTGCTGTTTTAAGCTATTGGACAATACTTGTTTCCCAGGTGAACTTAAGTGAACTGTCGGTTGTATGCTGCTCTGGAGAGAACCACCTTTTGGTCTCGCCACCGATGGTTCCTGCGAGTTGAGAGCGCCGAGATGCGAACCAAAAAGCTGAGAATCGTAGATTGCAGCAAGCTGCAGAAACTCGGGGGTTAGCATGCCTTCTCCACCACGCAACAGCCGGTCATCAACAAAGACGATCTGCCTATCCGATTATCTCCAATGGTCACCAACCGAATTACTATGGATAGCTATTGGTACTGATTGGTACTGCGCTACGGCGAAGCATCGGTGAGTAGGACACAGCGTCCCAGCAAAAGAACCTCGGGCTGTCGACTCGAATTAATCTGTCGAGGAAGGGGCGAAGAGATCTGAGGCCACTTGTGGCTGTAGGATCCGCTAGGGCTTAGGATTTATGACAGCAGTCTGCATCCATGCAATCTACACCACGCAGCCGCACGATGTGGTTATTGCTGCGCTGCATGGAAGAATGGCAGGTTTTGCCCGAGAATCCTCACGATTTGGTGCAGTGGTTTGCAGAACGACTTGGTGTGGCCGACCAGCTGGAAAGCGGGGCCCTGGGTTGCTGAGAGTCTGAGAGGTCCTTTGCCACAATCTGCACCTGCTGCCGCTGGCCCAGGTCATTTAACTTTCATCCGCTCGGCGGACACCGTCAAGGCAGCCAGGGCCTTCACCTCCTCGGAGCCTACGGGTCTGCTTTAAGCGTTTCCCGCCTATGTCGCCTACGTCGCCTACGTGTCAGTTTGGAACACAGACCGACAGACCAAGGTGAAGAAGCCCTTCCCAGCACCATGCACTGTCCAAACAGCTCTGTCACTGTATTGCGACCTGTGCGCCGTGCACAAGCCCGGGCCGTAGTGCCGTGGAGGATATAGAACCTGAGAGTACCCTGGCACTGCCAGTCTCATGGGTTTTGAGTCTGAACCTGAGGGCCTGCTGCAAGCGCTTGGTGCCCTTCGTTCGGGATGAAGCCGACAGCAAGGCCCTCCAGGCACTTTTGCAAGACCGCGAGGCCAGACTCTGATTCGACTTGACAGAGCATGATGCCGTATGATCTTCGATTTCTGAAGTGCATGTGCATGAAGGCGTTCCAGATTCTAGCTGATGGCCGCATGAGCATGCGGGACTTCTTTGAGCGGGGCTCGCAGCTATTTTTGTTCTTGTTTTTTACAGACAGTTCTCAGGGCACACTGTCGCATTGATGCATGCTCAACCAAGGCTATTTATGGAATCAGCGGAGATTGACTTGTCGGCTTTTGTGCAGCTCTGCCAAAGACAAAAGAACAGGCCACGAAGTCGAATCGGCTCGACTCCAACCAAAGGTTGTTTCTATGCGAGGCCGTACACCATCGCTTCGTCCTCCAAGGAGGATCCAAACAGGCTGGGAAGGCCAAAAGAACCGATTGAACCCATTGCTCTCGCGTGCCAGGATAGCCATCTGCGTCAGCCTTGTCCAGGAGGAACGCAGGAGCCCTGAAGCTGCCGTGAAGGCGGGCTTGTGTCGGCTGCGAGAGAAGTTGCAGTTGGGTGTGGATTCCAAATTGTGCCTTGAAGCATGCCTTGCCACGGCCAAATGCCAACAAAGGACAACAAATTCAGGGCCAACGCTGTACTTTAGGCGTGATTGCGGCCAAGTCTTTGAAGGCGATACCGGCTCAAACCACTACGTAACTGCGCAGCAATGCCAGACTGTAGTGTCCTTGATTAGCACGATCTGAACAACGCAATCTGAACTAGAAGCCGCCCCACAGCCAGCCTGGAGAGGATCTGATTGGTCGGGGCATTCAGATCCCACGAGCCACTGCATTCCTGCAGAAGCTTGGTGAGACCGCCGCGAAACCTAGGCATTCGCCTTGCTGCCAGCTGCTTCATGCTCTTCCTGCCGTTGAATGAAATTGGGGTCATAGAGTCAAGACCTGCCTAAATACAGTGCCTGGGACTGCCGCAGGAAATTCCGCGGGCTCTGTTCCGAAATGTTGTGCACCAGGACCCCCGATTCGATGGTTTTGGGATGGTCCTGTGGGGAGGAGAGGAGGACCGTCACTTTCTCTGATTATCTTGAATGAGGACGCAATGCGGAGCAAAGCACTGGATTTATGCGCGGGCCTCCACTTTCCGTTTGCCCGGAACTTGGCAAAACGCTCGGTGTGGAGACAAGCCTTCGAGCACGTGTTCTTGCCGTGGTAGGCCACGGCGCACCACGCTCCCGATCGTCATGATCGGTGTGGACACACAGTCTGCTGTAGGCTCTCAACCCATGCGTTAGCACAGACTCTTATGTGCAGATTGAGGTGCCGGTACAGGCTTGGCACCTTTTCGAGGCTTTGTGCGTGAGTTTAAAGCCGAAAATGGGTGCAAGGCTCAGCGTCTCGCAAAAGCTTCCTCAATCTCAGCTTCCTTGCAATGATCAGAGACCCCCCCGTCCCCTGCGTCCCCGCGGGTATCCGCGGGTCACTCGCTTTTGTCAGGTGCCGGACAAAGACCATTCTGTTCTTTGGGTGCACCAAGCGAGATGAAGATTACATCTACAAGGAGGAGCTCTGATTCCAGTGTTTGTTGCTTTGCGGCCCGAACGGACCAAGCAAGGGTCCTTGGCCATGTGTTGGATGAGAGACTGAGCAGGCCAACTGTGTGATGGTGATATGGTGTAGCATTCGGACAGCCTTGGTGTTGTGATGCTGTTCCCAGTTGATTTGCATACATTTGGGTCAAACTAGTGTTTCCTGTGTTCTCTTCGCCTTCAGGTGCCGTGTATATTTCAAATCGCAAACGATGATCCTCTCGGGCTTCCACGCCAGCGTTGCTCTCATCTGCACACCGTGCTCTTCGGAGAGCCGGTCCCATGCGCCCCCCCCCCAACCCTCTTTGATTGATTCAATCTCTCTGAGAGGGAGTCGGAAGTTCTGTAGAGGCTGCCCTACTTCATTTTTGACAGGCTTTGGCTTTTTTGATTTAGTTGGGTGTTCCGTTTTCGGTGCCTTCGTCGGCAGAATGTGCTGTTCAACCACAACAGAATGTTGATTCGCTGGTGTTGCAGGACTTCGGTGCCCGCCTTCCCCAATTACCGCCTAAAACATATCCCTCCTGGACACTGCACCCCCTGACAGCTCCTTCTCCTTTTTCATGCCAACCCACGTGCCCGTCATGCACGTCTCCCTTTCACCTTCCTGGGTTGATCGGCCAACGGGCTCGGAAGGACCCAAAAAAGCTTCCCGAAGCTGAGCAATCGTATTTTGGGCACATTCACATCCTGAGTCGTTCTGCACGCATGTTGTAATAGAGTCTGTGAAAGCTTTATGCCAGATAAGTATATCGAGATCCGCTCGACTCGCTGTTGCTGAGCAGGTAATAGTCGCATTGGCGGGTCGGCGTGTACTTAGTATACTTTAAGTGCTTGTCACAACTGTGATTGTTTTGCTACAGTCTTGGTGCGTGTTGGCTCTCAGTAGCAAGTACCCTCATGTGATTGTTTCGCTTGTTGGCGCTCATGGGCTTACCCGCTTTCTTTTGCCAACTCGAATATCCTATCGTTCGCGAGATGGTAGCGAGAAAGAGCCCCTCAGGATCACTGTCACAACAGTTTTGTTGCCGCCAGCAGCTAGCCGCTATCATCTACTCGAACGTGCAAGAGTATGGGCGGGTGTTGACAACATCAGAGGGAGAGAGAGTGATAGAGAAAGGACAATTCAATCACCAGCCGCCGCTTTGTGCGCAGCCCCAAGAAAGAATGAAAGGAAAGAAAAGGACAATTCAACATTTGGCACTAGACTGTGTGGCTCTAAAGAAACTTGCTTTTTGCATTGGACCAGCGGAAATCTCCCCTATCCCGTCCTTGGGCCTAATGAGATAACCTTGAATCTGATAAGGCATAGAAGACATGAGGATGTCTCATTGATATATAAAGGGAGACAAGGATTTCTCATGAACGTAAGCATGCATTGAACGCTAAATTTGCACGGCTGGCCCATATTCGGGCTCTGTGCACGGCTGAAGAGGAGGGAAGGGTCAGAAGACACAACATAAGGGATTAGGGCTCAATCAGGGAGGGGGATGGGAGAAACAGCCAAGCATGCCCCAAGCCTGTACAATGAGCATGAGACTCCAGCAGCCTCTGCAAACATGTAGTTTGCCAGTTTGCTTTCTGTGGGATTGGTGTGCGAGACACGGCTTGAGGTCTTGAAATTCGAGTCAGATATGCGGAGTATCAGGCGGCCTCCCCCAAGCAAGTACAGACCACACCTTCAGCCCTGGAGAGGCCATGAGCCCGAGATCTCCGACATGCCCACGCAAATGCCAAGCTGAAGCTTCTGAAATCTACTGAAATCTTTCTGGTTTCAGTCCGAAACACACCCCCCCCTCTGCCCCAAGATCCCCAGACCCTGCTCAACACACCTTTCCTGCGCGGAGGAGCTCTCCGAAGCTGTAGAAATGAAGCCGCCAGCTCTCAAGGAGTTGATAACGGCTTTCTCGCGTGAGCAGAAGGAGAAGGAGCCCTGGTTTCATTCGCAGACTTCATCGCAGCGCAGTTTCCTTTTCTTTTCTGGTTGTTTTGCCTTGTTGGAGGTCTACGTGCAGCACAGACTCAAGGAGAAGTCGGCTGAGGCAGATTTCCATCCTGATGCACATCATGCAAAACTCCAGCAACGGCCAAGGTTAAGCAGTTGATCGCCGACGGTGGCTACATTTACGTGTGTGGAGCCACGAGCATGGGAAAGCAGGCGCGGCGGCAGCTGGCGGATTCGGGCTGTGCAGCTGCGACAGTGGAGAGGTTGAGGGTTAAATTGTATTGGCAGTTTCGGGATTACAAGCAACTGCAGACAATGCCAGTCAGCAAGTAGCCGTGAGCAACTCCGGGCTGAACTCGCCTGCAGCAGTTCTGTCAGGTTCGAGATGAGCTGGAGCTCGCGCTGGGCAGTGCAGACTACCTTGAGCGACTAAAGACGGAACAGCGCTATGTCGAAGAGCTGTGGTGAGATACAGTAGTTTGTACTTACTGCAGCTGGCTTTGTGCCACTCCCCTGTCCCGTCCTGCAGCGCGTAAGCTGGGAGGGAGGGGCTGATAATGTCAACGGCCAGAATGGCTTTGCCATCTGACGTTAGCCAGATCGGAGATACGTATAGACTATAGATAGACACAATGTTAGACTAACTGTTAGACATACATAGACGGTGAGGCTCCAGTTGGGTGGCCAAGGTGCCTGGCTCACGTGAACTCTCTTTTTGCTAGATGCGAGGGCAAGACCCCCCCCCCCCCCCAAAAGAAGGATTCGAACTGAACAGCCTGATCTCCAGTCACTAGTCAAATTCACTCCAATCGACCGCTTTCGAGCAGACTACAGAGCAGACGATCCCAGTTACCATCAGACTAGACATGTCCAGGCGCCTCAAGGTCTGGGCAAGTCCAGTGACTCGCTGACCACAGAGTGGAGCAAGTGCCTACAGAGCCGTCGGATCGATGGCCCCTTTCAGTCGCGCCCACGGACGTTGCAGCGCTGCAGCGGGCGCGTCTTGGGCTTTAGCGTTTTCGCGCGTTCAGGGCCGCGCCGGCCATTCGAATTGAAAGCCCCATGCAGCATGGTACGAGTGTAGCCATAGCACAGTGCCTTGGGGCGCCGGGCCTGAGCTCTATATATGGTCAGTTCTCTACATTATCGTCTCTTTGTGGGAGGTTACTAAAATGCTAGGGGCCGTAGTACAACAGTGATCCAAAAGGGACCATGATGTAGAGGACTCACCACATAACTTTCATCTGTGATCAAGTGGTGGTCCGTTGGGATAGCACAATTCACTACAAAGCAGCACGCAATCACCGCAGCAGCAACACGACGTGCCACCACCTACCGTGGCATTAGCCTGCAGGAAGCTGCAAGCGCTCGCTCGACAAAGAAGTCTGCAGAGCGCATGCATGGGCATGGGTTCTAGTTGGCGTCTGATAAGACTGGCATTTGTTTCTGGGGTTCTGGGAAGCACATGCTGTACCAGAACGGCATAATTAGGGGAGCGATGCGACTTTTCAGACTGATACTGTGAGCTCCATGTTGGGTGCTCTCTCTCTCTCTCTGCACACGTGCTCTCTCTCTCTCTGTCTGTCACTTTTTGACATACTTTTTCGTCGCCGTTGTGTTGACGCAGGTCGAAGGCTTGGCGCGCGAGCCGGCGAAGAGCGTTGAGGAGCTCAAGGCCATTACTTGAGAAAAGGGTTCCTCGGGTGCACTCGACCCTTCGCTCGACCCTTCGAAGCCTGAGCGCAAGGCCGTATTTCAGCGCGGCCTGGATCAGCGAGCAGTGGCTGAGAACGCGATGAATGCGGAGAGTTCAAGGTCCCATGTGATCTTCACAGCAACTCGGCATCTGTAGGGCGTTTCGGGTTCAATTTTTGAGGTACTGGATATTCCAGGGCATTCGAGGGTTTCCGGTGAGCGTGAGAGCGTGTTGCACATGAGGTCTTCCTGACTCAAGACATTCCTTCTCAACAGGGCGGCGTTGAGCGCACCACAAGCAAGCTGCAACTCGGCCAGACGAATCCTGGGGGCGTCTCGCATGGTCTCGCTCTTGCTGGCCCCGGACAGCTTGCCTCAGTTTTACGAGGCACTTCTGCGACCTTGGTGGCTGCGAGAGGTTGAAGAAAACAGAGGCCTCACAGCTGAATAGGGGAAGACGCAGTAAAGCAGAGTCTAGCACAGCACAACAGCTGCAAAGCACGGTTGCCTTCGTTGCTGCTATCTGCTTCAATTGCCGCACATACAAGGCTATATATCATTCCAGTCAGGACTACATTGTTTCAGCGGCCAAGAAGTCCAAATTCATGTAGTTTGCGTGCCGCATAATCTGATATGGGCGGGGGGGCTGCTATGACTGCTATGAGGTTGAGCAAGATCGGGATCGCCGACTGGAAGCAATCGAGATCAACAAGAGCTTGTCAGCTCTGGGAGATGTGATCGAGGCCGGGGACACGAACCCGAAGTCCGAGATATCGGAACATCTTAAGCAAATCGGCGTTAAGCTCCCCCGGCATGCGGGCTGATGTCAGGCTATCGCGAAGAAGAGGAAGTACATTCCATACAGGACAGATGCTTTGATGCTTTTGTCTCTGGTTTGGAAGTGCCAGTGCATGTGGGGCTATTGCGGTGGGAATCCTCATTGTTTGGGGAGGTTAGCTTATGTTTTTCATGTTGTTCTTTTTTTGTAGCATTTTTTTGTGTTGCTTTCCGCTTTTGGCCTTCTGCCGATTGTCGCTTTTTCACCTGATGCTGTCTGCCGGGTTTGCATGTATGCCATGCCACTGCTACCTGCCAGTTTTCAAAGAACGGACGGAAGGAAGGACAACAGAAAGAAACCGAAAGCAGGAAGAAAAGGAACACACAAAGAAAAGGAACAGCACCGAAAAGAAGGAAAGGAAGGAAAGGAAGGAAAGGAAGGCAAGGAAGGCAAGGAAGGAAAGGAAGGACAGGAAGTAGACAGAAAGGAAGGACGACAGTGCTCCCCGTTCGTGACGGGGATCCCTTGGTGAGTTGCAAGCACTACCGCCCCTTCTCCCAAAGAACAAGCCCCCCCTTACCCGGCGCTCCATTTGCTAGAGCCATCCCTCCGGCTTGCTCCGGCTTGGTACTTCCATGAGGGATCATGGGAGGCAAGAGCTGCAAGTGCTGCAAGAGCTGTGGGTCTGAGAAGTTGGGCTGTCTTGGGTCCCCAGGCCGTTGTCCTTTTGGCCTTCGCAGGCTGGGCTGCAGGCTTTGGGGCTCCAAAAGACTCCAAGACGAGAGGCCCCACTCGAGGGCTTAAAAAGAGGCTGACAGAGCCGTTGTTGTCAGCAGAAAGCAACAAAGCCCTGAACCCGGCCAAAGCTCCGGACACGAACCCCTGTGCTCTACAATTTCTATCTCCTCTACTCTATCAGGCAAGAAAGCCTGGAAACCACGAACCCCTCTCTTTTGGGAGACTGGAGGCTGAGTTGAGGACTTGCGGGTTCGTGAACCCGTGGGTCCGGAGGTCCAGATAGCGACTTTGATGGTGGGAAGGGTGGTTATCCTTAAGCCCGAAACATCCCGGAAACTAACCGGGAAGCTGGGAGAGGTTGGAAGACTTTGGGAGGGGGCCAGGGAGCCGGGTTAGGCTTACGTTCCTGCCTCGTGCTTCCCAGCCCCTGGAGCCGGGATTCAGCGAATTCTCGTAACAGGGCTTAGATCGGTCCTGAGAGCCTGAGAGGGGCTTTATGGGGAGTGGGGTGGTTCCCGGTTCGAGGGCCCTGAGAGCTTGAAGGGACTAATTGAAAGGTAAATGTGCATATGGCCAAGCTATGCAAAAACTGTTTAGGGTTTAGGGTTTAGGGTTTAGGGGTTTAGGGTTTAGGGTTTAGGGCTCAGGGTTTAGGGTTTAGGGTTTAGGGTTTAGGGTTTAGGGTTTAGGGTTTAGATACACAACTTTTGTCATGAAATAAGCACAGGATATAGCCAGAAGAAGGTGGGATACAGTTTTTGCAACCACAGTCTTTTGCTTCAGAAACCCTCAAGCAAAACCCGCAAATACAGTGCTCCTGCCAGCAGATCTGTCGTCACGAAGACAACACAAACATGGGCACATCTTGCCAAAATCCTAGGCCAAATCCTTTATGTCGCTTTCAATTTGTGTCCTTCTTCACCGAAGCCACAAAGAATAGCCGAGTAATGTCTCCAGCGCAGTCGAGAAGTAGAGGTCTCCCGTTTGCAACTCCGGGTCAGGAGGTGTGTGCTTGGTGCAAAGGGGTCGACAAAAGCACATCGCCCAGCCCTCCTGAGCCGTGAGCTGCCAGGAACCACAAGCTGACGCAGTTGCTCCAAGATGCCTTGGGCGGAAGTGCCAAAGTTGGCCCCTCAAAATTGCACTGCACAGCTTAATCAAGGCACATATCGTGTTCTCTTGAAAAACAGGCCTTGATGTACGTGAACTGCTCGCCAGCACAATCAAGCATCAAGGAAACGGTGATGCCGCCCTGATTGTCTGGTTTGTGCTGATCGTTGCGTGCCCATGGTGAGCATTGCAGGTGACAGCATTGAAGCTGGCAAATCGTGCCAAATGCATCGCTGGGGCCCAAGAACCTTGAAGCCCGAAACCTATCCGAATCCTATCCGAAACCTCCAAGCAACTGCCGTCAAGCGTGTGACATCAGCCCTGCCGGCCTCAGGCTCAGCAGATTAAATCAGGATGAATGAAGCAGATAGAGAGCGCATGTGCCGTAAATTACGCCGACTCAGTAGCCTGTTTAGGTTCAGCATCATCGCACCATTGAATTGCATTTCACATCTTGCGAAAGAGCCAGCGCCGCGTTTACCGCAAGATGGGGGCTTTTGCGTTGCCTGTGCAGGTGCCATGTGCCTCCATATGCCTCTTTATTTTGGGCTTGCTGCCGACCTGGTAGATGTTGTTGCCGATGTGATTTTTGAGGGGCACTTGGCCTGGTTTTCGATTTTCGGTCAATCTGAACAAACACAGCTCAGCTGCATGCAGGTGTCATGTTCTGGAACGAGCTTCGCTGCCACAGGCACGGCCCAGCATGATCGTCATTTCCAAACCTCGTGGTTCTTGCACCCTTCCGGGTGATCATGACTCGTATCATGGGTATCGAAACGATTTCCGGGCAGGGGGTTCATTAGTGTCAATTCATCACACTAACTTCTCGGAGGCGGGCAGCCATGTTTGGCTCTCAATCTGAACATCACTATACCGCTCGTGGACTTGATGGCATCCCTCGCAGTGCTTCAGCCAGAGTTTTAATAAGCTCTGTGTGCGCAAACATTGTGCGCGACATCGTGCGAACATGAAACCGCTCAGCAACTGAGGACCTCCAAAAGAACAGCCAGGAAGGTGCCCTTGGATGACATGCGTTTTTGGGAGTCTGTCCATCTCAAAGTGGGCCAAGTCGCCAAGCATTGGACAGCTCAGGCCTCCCGCAAGAAGTCCATGACAATGTCAACGACAATCGGTTATTCTTGGAACCTGAAGACAGCGAGGCCACGGAACAGTCACTTGATGCTCTCCTTTTTTCTCCACAAATTGCTGTGACATGTTCTGACTCTTCTGACATCTGCAGTATCTGCAGGTCGCCTCGATGATGGAGTCCCGCAGAGTGGACAAAATCTACGGCAACGACGCCAGAGAGGCACGAGAGTCGCGAGAGGCCGCGGGGCCGGTCAACGGGATGTTCTGAAGTATCTGAAAGTGCCGTATTGAACTGAAGTTACACGGGGTATTCACAAGATGTTGGGAGAGGTTCTCTGAGGCTAGAGGGCTACTGTAGGGCTGCTGTAGAGATGTCTGCTTAGATTCGGAAAGTCGGACGCGTGTATGTGGGACTTGCATGGTCTAGGTCTAGTTTTCATTGTGTAGGTTGAGCATGTTGGTCTTCTCATGTCGCGCAATTCAACAAATGAGAAGTGTCCTTATCTCCCAACGCTGGGAGGTTGCACAGTGGGAGCTCATGCCACCGCCACCGCAAAAGGAATCAGGGTGCACCAAAGAACGACATGAGCAGACATCTTTATTTGGGGAGTGCTCGCAGTTAGATGGCTTCCAATGCCTGCCCGTGAAGACGGGTGTTGTTGCAACGTTTTGGCAGAATTGTGTCTACCTCAGTATAAATGATCTGAGGTGCCAGACGATCCGTATCACAAACCTGATCAAAGGCCTGAAGTCCAGCGAGGTGGAATCGGTGTTTTCATCGAAGGCTGGGTTTGAGTGCCTGATGGCGGCCGGATGCGCCTTTGCTTGGAATCTCTTGCATTGAAGGTGGGGCCAGTCAGGGATTGCAATGTCCGTGACACTACTGCCCGCATCACCTTCGATGCCGCAAACCATGCGAAATTTGCGGTGGACAAGTTCAACGGAAGCATCCTCGACGCCTTGCAAGATTGTCAACCCTGCTGCACACATGTCTGAGATGTGCTCAGTCCATGCATCACCAAGGAGGCGACGGCTGGAGTTGAAAAGCAGGACTCCAGAGTCCTGCAATTGCAGCTTTTGCTCAATTCTGCGGAATATCGAAAGTATATACCTTCCATAAGAATTTCATGCAAATAATCTACATGTATACACACGGTGACCGAGCGGCCAAGGCAGCCAGTCCCCTGGAACAGCGCAGGGACTGTCCTTCGGGAGATGCCCCATGGTGGAGTTTTGGAACTGGATGTAAAGAAGGTGTGGAAAATCCGGGGGTGAGGGTTTTCATGTTTGCCTACATGCCAGGGCTTAGAAGTTTCGTGTTTGGAGCTCTTCTTGCTAATCCACTTAACAAAAAAGCCCATTGATACTCTTTGTGTCGAATGGGGCCACTGTAGACATTACCAGCAGATCCTTCGTAGTTGCCAGTGGGAGTTCGTGTCTAAGCAGAGGAGCGCACCAAGGGTCCACACGGTAAACCTTAAAACATGCCAGAACCCACCAAAACCATCAGAACAGTGCACTTCTTGCCCAGTTTGCATGCACGAGATCTTGCACCAAGTCGTTGTACCATTCTAGCCTCGTCTGAGGGATACACCCTCAGAAGGCGCTGAGCCTGAGTCGTGAGACACCTGACGAGCATAGATTAGTATAGTTAAATCGCGAAGAGGTGAGGACCCCTGAAAGTCTGCAGCTTGCCAGTCCTGTTCAACGCGTGCAGGGTTGCTGATGAAGTCGTTCAACCCAGTTCAGTGCCAACCTTTTGTCGATGGTTTGTTTACTTGCTTATATAGCACGGCATCAGTACTGTTTGTACTCGCGTCGTGTATGCAAGTGATACTTCCTCGTGCTCTACTGGTTTCGGGCACGTTTGGTGAGTGTGTCCTCGCGTCGTGCGAGCAAGTGATACTTCCTCGTGCGCTGTTGGTTTCCGGGCACATTTCACCGGAAGAGTTGGCAAACATTACTGCTCACAGCTGAACTAGAATGAGCACACACTTGTGCAGACAAGTAAGGCTGGAAAAGCATTTCTCTTACATCATTGATTCTGACTGTCATTACCGCCGTGGAGATTGCTGGCTGACGTTTGCATCTGTGAAGAAGGCACCCTGGCCTTGAGAACGAAGGAAGCTGAGTGAAGAGTGGCACTTGTGTCGGCTTAACTTCCACGGAAGTTCTCAGGTCCAAGCAGGTACGGCCCAGACTGGGGACCAGCTCAAGATACTTTACAAGGGCAGCATCATCAAGGCCCGAGGCGTAAGAAAAAATAAACCAGAGAGAGAAGTGCATATACAGATTTCCGGCTCAAGGTGGTTCTGGACTCCTCGGAGGAGGCCCAAGCAACTGGCATTATCAAAACGTGAGAGTGTCCAGCTCTGCGATTGCGCAATTTGAGTGACATGCTCGTCGCTCAGCTCATGTGGTGCATGAGCGAAGCTGTCTCACTGATGAATCTGGCTGAAAAGCCAATGAGTCCGGCAGCTGGCATCCAAAGATCTGGCTCGTTAGGGCGCTGGATGCTCATGTGACAGTGCCTTCTGAGCTGGAATTTCAGAAAACCCAGCCTTAAGCGCTTAGATCGCTTAGGCGCCCTACTTGAGTTAGTGGTGGTGACTAGCTGCCGCGGCCGTAACGGATGCCGCCATGGACTCTCGTTTGCGTATGCATCGCTCGTGAGCGCTTCCTTTTGCATCTATTCCATAGTCGCTCAATTGATGAATCAAACTGGGACCCATATAAGACAAACTGCTGCGATAATGCTGATGCACTCTGGCGATGAGACGTTTAGTCAGCCCGCCATTCTGGTTAGCAGACGTGTCACTTGGTCCGTTGGTGCAACATGGCAGATGAGACAGCTGCAGAGCCTCGGTTGCTACCGGTACCCTGCAAAGCCTACAGGGGCCTACAGTGTCCGATCAGTAGCCCACACACTCTGACAATGGATAGAATACATCATCCCGGGAGCAGTCTTGCCAACTTGTTGCAGCAAGAGCCGGCATTGCGACTGACCAGCTTGCGGCTAATTATCAGCTCATGATCTTTATGGGCAATCCCAGCCACATCTGTGGCAAGCCCAGCCACATCTGTGGAGCCGGCTTCGGAAGCACCCCTTGTTTGGTCCACGTGCAGAAAAGAACGGTGGTTGGCAAGGGGCCTGCAGGAGCGCTTCTGCAACGTTGCGGGCAAATGACTCGGCAGCGTTTGAGGTGAATCAGCCACTCGAATCACCAGCATCTCCGCGCTGGCCTCAGCCGCCTCAGCCTCCTCAGCCTTGCACACGAAACTTGTGGTCTTGAATCTCGGCACGATGCCGAAGAAGGGAGGGGGGGGGGGGGGGTTGTGGCCGCACCAGGTTGCCGCGTAGTCTTGCCCCCCCCAAGACGTGGAAGCCCCCCCCCCCCCGGGCCTCAGCCTTTGTCCGGACAAGCAGCGCCCTTGATAGAATTCCCCGCAGAAGCCCCAAGCTTCTGAAGCGTCTGAAGCTTCGTCTGAAGCTTCTTTGTGCCCATGCACCAGCATCGCAGGCGAACAGCAATCACGCTTTTCGTCATAAACCTACCTGCAACACATTGTGTGTATTGAGGACAACCTTTGACCAAGTTCCTAAGCAAACTAACGCATTTCTAGCAAGACCTATATACTACATCATTCAGGGTCGGTGCCGAATTTGATCGGGCACCGGTGGCATAATTCCTGTTCTTGCTTCCACTTTATTCGTTTTTACGCGGCTATCCCGACAGAATCAAACAGTGTGCTTAAGGGCAATGAGAGGGTAGGTCCACTGGCCCGGACGCCTAGGGCCTAGATTTCCGAGGCGGCGTGCTTGAGGGCCTGAGCTCTTGGCGACTGCATGCTCAGGACGGGGAACCAGGGCTTTGGCTTGCAGTTCTCAGATTCTGGACTTCGTAGTGATGCTGGAAAGACGTGACGGCTTCGGTGAAGTGCAACCCTTCCAAAAAGTCCACGGTTGACTTGGTGATGCTTGTAGTTTACATTGTAGTTTGTCCATGTTTTTGCTGGTAGCCCCCTCCCCCCCCCCCCCCCCCCCCCCCCCCCCTCCTCCTACCCCCAAGGATCTACGCTTTCTAGATGATTATGATTTCCCAGCCATCTAAGCCGTCGGCTGACATGTCGAGAGTCTTGAGCGTCTTGAGCGTCTTGAGTGTCTTGAGCGTCTTGAGTTTCCAGTGGCTCAACTGAAGATCGAAGCTTCAAGAATCCCAGAAACCTTTTTGGCCAGCCTTCGATTTCCATCTCCCCGTCTTGAGACTCAAGATGTGGAAACCGAAGGCCCTGACCCGAGAGTTCCCTGGGATTCTTCGATCTTTGGTCTTGAGTTCAGCGTCAGGACGCTCTAGGCTCAAGACGTAAATCGAAGATCGAGGAAGGAGAGAAAACTCTTGGGGGCCAGCTTGGAAGTCCTCGTCTTGCAGCTCGAGACGCGGAAGACCCCTCAGTCTTCAACCAAGACTTTCAAGACAATACCGATGCTCCAAACCCATTTCAGAGTTTCAATATGAACGACCCGTCTCTGCAAACTCCAGGCTTACCTTAGCCCTGCAAGTTCAACACAATTTCGTTTAATCCAACTTAGCAAATCAAAAAACAACACGGCAAACTCAGCAACTCATCGAACCAAACAAGTACGGAATTTGGACCTCTCCATCAAACATAGAGTGTTGGATCACTCTGCACCACCACCACCACGACTCAGTGTCTGACACGCATGACTCTGAACCCTCCGTGTCGTTACGATCTGGGCATCTCGTGCAAGAGGATATGGTTACGATGAAAATGAGGTTTCTGGTGGAAGGGGGGAATGCTGCATCGCATACTCCGCATCTCCCAGTGGCTGTCCTTCATTTCCAAATTTAAAATTCCCGAAAAGAGGAAGAGGTGTCATTTGCGGGATGCGGGTCTAAGTATCACGCTGTATTTTGGATGCTAGACTCTACCTGACAGGTGGCGGATGCATGGAAAAAATGTTGAAAATAGTTTCCCCAAAGAAGGAACAAGTGATTGATTGGGAATTGAGGCACTCACAAACACATTGTAACAACTCCTTGAACACTTTACAGATTTCGCGACTACATACAGAAGTCACACACCCGAAGCAGCAACAGTTGCAAGGCAGTGGAGTTCAGAGAAGCTGCGCCGATGTTTCAATTGGTGAGGTGATGCTTAGTGATGTGTTGAGGTTGCAAAAGTGCTGTCACTAGCCCAAGCTTCCTAGAACATGCGTGATACAAAGCTGGCTCAGAGAAAATACCCATGATTCATGTGTTAGTATCCATGAATTCATGTAGGTTCCTGCAAACTCCTATATTCTTCTATTTGCAGACCGGCCTGCGCGTATGCCTCTTTACACATTCTGAAAACCATCTGGGTATTCCCACATACAGCCTGTGACTTTGAATACCTTTGAATCAAGTTCCTGAAGAGCTTCTCATGCAGAATTACATTACAAGAGTCCTATCAACGCCAATCCTCTGGACACATCTGAAGCAAATGCTGGTTTTTAGTGTATGTCATTTGGATAATATGGATAAGAACCGAAATCGGCGATCGTGTTTTTCAAGAAAGCCGATCACTTGGGATTCAAATACAGCTTACTATTTCATGTGGACCCCTTACAAGCATCATTAACTACTGTCACGGGAACAATCTTCAATTTTTGGTGCCCCGTTTTGAAGCTCAAGACGGGGAATCGTAGACATAACCCAAGAAGACTACCGACTCTTCAACACATCCATCTGTCCAGAGCTACAATTTGTGACAAACGTGCCAACAAGTGTGCATCCACGGCGGTTTTGAGCTACGAAGCCGCTTGGCTGTCTGACTTCGCCACGAATGCTGCAGGTTGCTTGGTCTGAGCGCATCGCCTGCGAAAAATAGTCAGGTTTGCAAAGCGTACAAATTTTCGACCAGCCGATAGGGCCATCTCCGAAGGAGAGGCGCTCGGCGGCAGCTTCTGCAACAGAATCTCTCTATATCCGGATGGAGTAGCTCATTGGTCCTAGGGCAACATAGATGCAAACCTGCATGAAGCTGGATTATGTTCATGGCATGTGCTTGAAACTTCTGCTGCATTCTTTTTGTTTCTTGTCTTTGCCTGATGTTAAGACATCCGCCACAAAGTGGCATTTTCCCTTAGACTTTAGACGAAATCTTGCGGCCGTGAGATGCGACAGCATGGTTTCCACTGCTCACAATTTGCATTTCGGAGGCGTTCAAACAAGTTCTGCCCGGCATTCTTTATCGTGGGGCCCAATGTGAATTTGGGGTGACCCACTCTATTTACTTCACTTCGCAGACTTAGCATGTGTGGATTCTTTGTTGCTTCTGCCATTGCTTGTATGACCTGGGCTGCCACACAATGCGATGAAGGGCGCAGGGAAAGCTGCGCTGAACTCGCCGAGCAAGTGCTTAAAGCAGAACAACAAGCAGCAACGTTGTGCTGTTCTGCCGTTCCGCAAGGGCCTACAAAAGAGACCCACTGGCTTGCTGTTGCACCATGAAGCCATCGCACTGGCTGCAAAGTTGGCTCGTGACGGTACCATTCTCCGTCTGGGATGTTGGTACACTCCTCCCCTTGGCTCAGTGAAGAAACCAGGCCCCAAATCACAATCCAGCCACGAATCAGAAATTGTGAGCCGGAACCAGCGCCAATCAAGCCAGTGACCGTGCCAAGTGGGCATGCCAGAGCATCCATGCCGGCCAAGATGAGTAGTCCCTGCCACCACAGCGCACGCTTATACTACATCCATGCTGGCAGCAGAGCATCCAGGAGCAATGGAACCTTGAATCGGAGCTGAATCTGGTTGTTCCGTTGGCCACTTGCCCTGTGGGCTCAATCATCTCAAACAACTCCCGGCGAGGAAGGGACACAAGTGACACGGCTCGAGTACTACTCATGCACTCACGTAGTGGGCAGACTGTGACATCCGTCACAGGACAGTGGATGTGGACTCATGTTAAGATGGACGGGGCTGGGAAATCGGGAGCTTGAAGCCATGGAGTGGAGTTGGTCTGGACAAGTCGCCAACTTCGTGTCAAAGCCCGTGCCTCGGAAGTTGCCCAGCTGCTGTGATGGTCCAATGGTGACAAGAAACCGCGTCCAGGCAGCTGCAGCCTTCTGCGCCGTCCACTGCAAAACCAAGGCGTGGAGGCCTGGAAGATCCTGAAAGATCCTCGAAGTCTGCAACTGCCTTCCGAGTTGCAAGTTGGTCGTTCTTGCTGCCAGGCCGACGGCCACTCCACGCATCCAGAATAACAGAGTCGTTGACCCCAAGACAGCAGACGGCCACAGAGGCTCGAAGCTTAGTGGGCGCACCGAGTTTTCTTGTTTGTGGGACGATGTTGGTATAGGGTGCATAGCTCCTCAAGGTACCTCAGATAAGTGCCCGTGTGATCCTTTGTCACTAGCAGTAGGCACTCATCCCACAGCGGATCAGTCTTGAGCAACACCTACCTTTGTCTCTCAAAGTCACGTTGTTGTCGTGTCTACTGACCATTCCCGGCTTGAGGGTGTCCGTGCCAACACCTTTCTTCCTCTTCAGTCTTCTGACCTTGCTGGGGGCCCCATTCGATGTTGTCCACGCAGGCACCTTTGTTTCCTCTTCAATTGATCCTCGACGATCCTTTCCCACCCGATCAGGTCTTGGTGATTCAAACTCCTTTCGATCAGTTCTTGATCCACCAATTTACGTCCTCACAACCTCACAAGTATAGCCGCATAGCCGACCAGCCGTCGAGCTGCACTTGGACATCATCTCGGGTATGTGCGAGAACAGTTCCCCTTCCCGAAACTCGCACGAGCGGTTGCGAACGATGATGACGTCTTGCCAGCGCGCCGATTCACCAAAGCATCCAGTCCATGCCAGCACAGTGATGACGTCCGCGTTCGCAACGCATGCGAGTCCCAGAGCATCCATGGCAGAACGATGACATCATCCGTGTTTGATCCCGGCCTGACAACCCCCACCCATGCTGCAGAAGCACAACAACCTCACCGCAAGGAGGGTCTGTAGCCCTTCTTGCGCCGGTACTATGTTGATCTACGTTGTGTCGACTTTTCTACCAAAAACATCCTGGGAAATATCACTGTAAAGGGATTTCGTGCGGTAATTCTCGGTTCTTCATTGCGCTGTTCGTCTTGGACACTGGACAGCAGCAAGACTTTCTCTTAAGTCCTTACCCAAAGCTCACAGGACACAGCAAGAATATTCATGTTGACTATTCGTACTGTTCCGCTCCTTCCTTCAGGACCTGGTTCTTTTTTTGTATTTCTGACGGACGGAGGCTTGTCAAATTTTTGCCGGCCAACAACGTCCTCATTTGTAGATGTTCCAAAAAAACATGCAATGTGTGTCGTTCCAGTTCGCGTGCGTTGCGTGGCATGCACCATTACATTGGAGCAGCTGTTTCTCCTGATTTCGTAAGGTGGGACTGCAGCGAAAAGCTAGAATTCCCGGGTGACGAGGATGCACATGTGTGTTTCAGATAGTTTTTCGTTTCAGTTGATCAGGGGCCTGAAGTTTTAGCCGCGATGTGCTTGTAAGGCATTTCTCAGATGAACGCCGAACTCCAGCCTTGTACGACAAGGCTTGAGCGGAACATTTGTGGAAGCAGTTCGGCTGATTTGTGTTGGGATGGGCACGGCTGTCCTGGCAAGAGTCTTTCAAGATGTGTTGGCGCCGCCCTGAGTCCATGCTTCAAAAGCAAAGATCCTTTGCACTTCTGATTTCTCAACTCTCAGCACTTGCCCATGCCGAGCCTCGCTACCGGCAAGCTTATGCAAGCCTCATAAGCAAGGGCGGTCGTGGGAGCGAGGCGTGTTTTATCTTGTTCCGCTCATATGTCTTACTTTTTTTGCAGGCTTACGATCTGGCCAGCCGCGGCTTTGCTGAGATGGAGCTGCACCAAGGCCAAGACCATCAGAGCCGCACCGGAGCCCCGCTTCAGCTCCTTAAGATTCCTTGAGCAACCAGTTGGGCTCTGCCGTACACATCGTGTCGCATTGTGTGCCACATGCTGCCACACCATCCCTTTCTCTGTGTAGTCCCGAACGGCTTGTCAGGCTTAACTTCTGGACTCGGAGTGAGCGAAAGCCTGCGCTCTGTACCTGCAGGTTCTGACAAGAGGCCCAAGGGGTCAAGCACTCGTTGGCAGTTTCTTGACAACCCAGTGGCTGACAGCCCAGCGACTTAGGCCCAGCGACACTGCGACAGAGGAGGACGAGGAGGAGGCTTGAGAGGATGCTTGTGGGCACCAATGCGACAGGGGATGACAGTACGGCAATCAGAAGAGCAGAAGCGGTTTGGTCCGCTGGCGACGATCCAGTCACTCGTCTCTGTAACTTACTCAGAACGTGTCACAGTCGCCCTGCGCAGGTCCTCATCCCACCGCTGCTCCTGCGCGTCAGGGTTGCGAGATCTGTTCGCGACTATGAGGCGATGCGAGACGTACCTTGGCCCCTAAGCAGGCTGCATGCACTTAATTAGGCCATTCAATCCATCACTTGCCAATCTTCAACAATGAAATGACCTCCACAAGAATGCGACAAAAGCAAAAATGTCAAACCACAAGCAAATGCAGCTGCCGAGAATGCAAAAGGAAAGCAAGCGAAACAAAACAGTGACTTCACTCAAGTGACATGTTCTCAACAAGCTGACCAATTTTGTGTTGAACTGTGTGTTTGCCACAAAAGTGGCATGACGCTGAAGAGCTCAGTTGACTTTGGAGTGTCAATTGCAAACAAACATTGTGAGACAAAGGTTTGCGTTAAAAGAAGTTCTGCGATTTCACTTTGAGATCACGTTCTCAAGAAAGCCCAGGCCGACTCTCCGCCGCCCGAGGTGCGAAAGCGCGAAATGTGTTGCATGAAAAGAGTTGGATTTCGCTGTTTCGCTCGTGTGGAATTCCAGAGGCGCTTGTCAACGGCGTTCGTAGCCTACGAAGCCTTCAGCAAATCAAGGAGGAGGCCCCCGAATTCATGGGAGGTCACAGCCGCGTTCAGAGACTCTGGGAGTCAAGCAAGGAGACCGCAGCTACGAAAATCCAGGCCAGGTTTCGGCAGAGACCTTGCAGCAGAAGTCCCTGCACACTGCTAGTGTCCTCAAGTACATGATGGGTAGTGATGGTCGCTTCCACCAAGGAAGCAGGCAGCAGAAGAGGTTCAAAAGCGCAAGCAGCAGCAAAAGGAGGAAAGTGATGCAGCTACCAGGACTGTGTTTCGGCATTTGAGACCACTGGATCGGGGCAAAGATTGCTGACCAATTGGATCAGGAATAACTTTCCCATCTTTTGGTGGATTAAAAGGCCCCATGGGACCCATCTATAATTCTAGCTTATAGGGCATTCCTATAATGCTATGAATAACGGCGGTTTTTCGTAATCGTTCTATGCAGCCAATCAATTCATTATAATTATAAGTCTTCGAAATTTAGTGTATTTAACGGGGTCTTTTCCCTGATGATTACAAGACGCCAGTATTGACAGAACGAAGATAAACATTTTTAGCGGAGTTTGTATGGAATTCTGAGGATCTTACATGAGCTCGTTTTTACAAATAGTTTTTTTTTTTCTTTTCTCTCTCTCTCTCTCTTTTCTCTGTCTTTTGTATTCATTACAATCTTATGTTCAAATGAAATTCTCTCAGGTCAGTCTTCTCCCAGTTAATCAGCTGTTGTACCCGCCCCTTGTGCGTTGCCATCCGGGGGCTGTTTTCAATTTCTTCAAACAGCTGCCCACCCCTTGCGGCCTACTTTTTTGTTCCAGCTGCCCACCCACTGCGTTTGAGTCGGCAGTTGTCAGATGCTCACATCCCCGTTTCAGCTTCTTGCCTCTTCGGGCCCACTTTCGGCTTCTTGCAATTGTGCCCCTCAAGTGTCTTGGCTTTACGTAGTCTTGAGGTCCTCTGGAACCTCCGGGCGCAGGGGGCCTATGACGCTAGCGGAGGGGACGAGCGCGGGAGGCCGCATGCCACAGGTCGATTCCTTCCTTCCTTCCAGCATACGTTGTTTGGAGCAAGCTGTTTGTAATGGCATTTGCGGCACTTCCTCCGTCCATCCAAGGGTCGAGGGAGCAAACGCAAATGTGAAGTCGAGCGCCTGCTTAGTCGATTTCGTTGCCAACATGTCCACAAATAGCCCTTGGTGTATTTCGAGCCTTCGCGTGGTTTGACAACGATTTCGCGCGCCCGCAATGAGGTTCGGATCTAGCCTTCCCCATACCGACTTGGAGATCTGATTCTCATCTCCCTTTTGTTGCTTGTGACTGCATCTGTAGTCGCTGCTTCGAATTTTCATGATTGCGTGTAGGATCTACGACAGGTGGGAGCAGGGTTTGCATGGCCGTATCACACACACACATGGTACACGTCGCGAAATCTCTACAGAAACAACAGTCCGCCTCAAATGGCACCGTGCAAGCGCAAGTCGTGCTAATTATCTGGCATGGGCCTGGGTGCAGAAGGGTTGACCCGAGTTCGGCTCAAGATATGCTACTCCCTGGTTCCGGAGTTTGTGCCGTGTGTGGGATCTGCGCTGCGAGGATCCAAGCGAGGTACCGTGGACGCCAAGCCAACAAGGAGGTCCAGGACGTGCGCCGCGAGAGAAACCAGGCCGGGTGAAGAAGAGGTTTTACGTGGCACGTGGGCGGGGGCGCCTTTTACAGCACGACACGCGAATAAGCTGACTGGGGACGATTGGTTGATGAGCAAGAATGTCCGCAATCTTGCAGATCCAAGCCAAGGCAGCCACGGCACCCTGGCTGACATTATTTGAGACATTGCTGCACTGGACACCTTGGGAAATCACGCCAAGAAAAACGTTGAATACCTCAAGGGCAACGTCCCATTGTGAAGTTCTTTCTGTGCAAGTAGCAGTAGGGTCGTTGTAAACAAAACAAGCAAGCCCAGTTACAGTGAGAGCGCCAACCCACGTCGAAGGCCATCCAATCTCAATATCGGAGCCGAGTTGCTGAGCGTCGTCAAAAGGCGACCCTTCAATAGTCCTGACACTTTAGTCTTAAGAGCAGAGAAGAGTCAGGGACAGCTCATGCAGTGCTACTTTCCGCTGCAGAGCGCAAGTCTGCAGGAGCAGGAAGAAGAATGTGCCACAAAGATCCAGTCCAAGTTCAGGCGCCGAGTGTCCGAGTGTCTTGTCACAAGGGGATGCAGGTCTGCTGCTGTAAGGCTTTAAGGTTATACCACGACAACGACACACGGTTTCGACGACTGCCGGGGGTTGTCTGTTTCAGAAGGCAGCACTAAGGTCGGTGAACACCAACAGAGTAAGGCATTAATTAGCCACATGAGACTACTTGAAATTTTCTTCTTGGGTAGAATACTGAGATAATTAGACTGCTCTGTCCAGGGTATGTAGCACGCCCCGGACCTCTTTGTGCGACGCAGGGTCTGTAACAGGGCCGTTCTCCTGGCGACAAGCCTCCGTGCGACAACCTCTTGCAGCCAGCCTGCAACTGGCGACAAGCCTGCGACACACGCATGACAGAACGGGGTGAGGGGGCAGGACACCGCTTAGATCCACAGCCATGTGTTCTCAAACAGCGCTTCATCTGAATGATGAGCAGGCTGTTTTCATGGCATAGTTGAAGCGGCAATAGTCGGATGATCGCTCCAAGGAAGGGTTCAAATAATCATGAATGGCAAGCTAGTTTGCAGAGGTTTTTTTAGCTCTACGCAACCCGCCTCGGCCGGGGCCTGTGTAGCGGCGACGTGCTCGTTTCCAAGACTTTGCCACGAGTGGACGCGGAATACATGCAGGATAGCATCAGCAGGGGCGAGGGGGTAGTTGGAAGGGGAAGTCAGGCACAGAAGACCAGGGGGGTAAGTATGAGAGGAGGGATCAAACACACGTGGACCGAGGGGTGGGTGGGGGTGGGGGTGGGGGCGGAGGGCCATTCCAGCCCATAAAGCCACACAAAGGGGTGCAATCTGGGCGTTGCTTGCTTGGTGCTACCCAGACGCTTACGCCCAGATGCCCAGGCGGATTCAATGACACAACGAAGGTCACAATGAAGTTCTTGCAGCTGAGTGGGCTTTCTAGTTCATGGTCCTCTTCGTTCATCTTCAGCCTATACAGCTTTTCCAGTCAAGTTGAAACATCAGGAGCGGAGGTCAGTGTTCAAGGCGACGTTGTCCAGCTCGCTCAGGGATGATGAAGGAGATCAAAGTTGGTGGATTCTGCATTCCCGCCTGTTGCAGTGAGTTGGGAGGGGAAGGGAAATTGAAATTGTTGCCAGAAGCTTTACTTGATCATGACTTGGCCTGGGTTTTCCACCGGACTTCCGCAGGGAGGGGCAGGGAGGGGCGCTTGTTGCCTTTTGCCCTTCCCTTGGACGTCGTCCGTGTTCCTGAAGGTCCGATGGAGCAGGGTTGTCATGGGAACCGCGTCTGTGGAATCTCTTGCGAATGAGAGAGGCCCACCCACTGGTTTTGCAAAGGTCAACGTGTTTTGTCGCAGCGCTGCCCGATTAGGAGATTTCATGTGCATGCTCGTCAAAGAATCCAAATTCATGCAGGTATCCGTGTTGTTGTTTACTCTTTTTTTTTCTGGGCCTTGCTCTATGTCGGCTGAGCAAGGCCTATGTCGGCTCTCATTTGATCACTTGCCAGCTTGTCTGCTATTGCCCTTCATTTCATTTGGCCCCTTGCTTTGTTCTGTTGCTTTTCCGCGCTTTTGCGTCTTGCTTTTTGCCGGCCTCTTGCTACATTTTCTTTTTTCCCCACCCTCGGTGTGGGGTTGTTAGATTTGAAATTTTAAACTCAACTCTTCTCCTGGCCCGGAACTCGCTCATCCCTGGAGTGCCCAACTTTAAAGTGTCCCTGGAGTGCCCAACTCTGGAGTGTCAACGTCAGAGTTTCCTGGAGTACCCAACCCCAGAGTGTTGCCGGAGTGCCCAGTCCCAGAGCCTCCCTGAAGAAAGTCTCCCTGGAGTGCCCAACCCAGAGTGTCCACGGAGTGCCCAGCCCCAGAGTCTCCCTGGAGTGCCCAACCCCGTAGTCTCCCTGGAGTGCCCAATCCAGACTGTCCGCGGAGCAGCCCCAGAGTCTGCCTGGAGTGCCCAAATTCAGGGTGTCCTGCAGTGCCCAACCCCGGAGTTTCCCTGGAGTGCCCAACCCCAAAGTGTTCCCGGAGTGCCCAACCCCAGAGTATCTCTACCAAGAGAGGGTGGGGATGTTCGAAGTCAAACAATTGCTTTGTTTTCTTTGTTTTGTCCCTTCTTGCGTTTCATTGTCTTCGCTTCTTGCTCTTCGTCTTTCGTTTCCTGGCTTTGCCTTTTTCTTACTTTTGGGTGTCTGCTTGTCTCCTATCTTGCCGCTGGCTTTGCTTTTGCTTGTTGCTGCTCTTCGTGTTTTGCATGTTGCCCTTTTTGTTTGGCCCCCGTATTTCGTTGGAGACTTTCTGCACAGCTTGAACTCTCTATTTCAGGGTGGGGGAGATGATGTACCAAAAGAAAAGCTGGAAACAAAGAAAGAATGAATGGAAGGCGTGCAGGACAGAACGAGAGAGAAAGAGAGAAAGCACGAATTACAGAAATGAAGAAATCAAGAAACGCGCATTCTTAAAGAAGTTCAGATAGAATGGATGACAGAATCAGCGAGAGAAAAGCCAACGAAAGAAATGCATGAAAGAAGGACGTTGCGAAAGAAGAAAAGACAGGATGCAAGACATGCATGCAGGACAGAACGACAGATGTAGAGTGTTTGCACTTTGGGGGGGGGGGGGGGGGGGAGCTGCTTCACAGCTTCCACACGCTTCACCCCAACCCCCTGCCACACTTTCCGCAAAACAAGCTCAGAAACAAAGCTTTCGCGGTCGTACAACGCTCATGTTCGAAACGCAAGACAGATGACGATCTTTTGCGGTTGTTTAAGGAGCAATCGGGCATCGTGTTCGGCAGTCTTTGCTGGGAGTTGGGAGGCAGAAGCAAGCGGCAAGCGAAGTCCAGGCCCTTCGCAAAGAGAAGCAACAAAACGGCGATGGGACGGCGGACTCCCAACCAGCCGACGTGGACAGTCAGCTTGTGAGGCAACGGGCTGTCCTATCAGATGCTATGTAGGCAGTTCTTGCATTGAGTTCGGATTCTTCAACGAGGCCTGCAGAGGAGGCTGGCGAAGAAGAAGGCATGCCTCAACAAGAGGAGAAGGAGCAGCAACAGCGCGTGGAGGACCATTCACCCAGCTGCGGCATGTTTCACGGACCTTCAGCACAATGACCACTTGGAAGATCCATGCAGTTTGGGTCGAGCCGTGCTGCTTTTCACTCAGGAGGTGAGTCCTGCAGGTGATGAGGAGTGAGCAGAGGGTTTAGGGTTTAAGGTTAGTTGTCAAGACTTGTCAACCACGTTTGTAGCCTACGAATCTTTGAGCAGAGAAAGGCCCGTTAAAGGCCCTCCATGGGATATCGGTCACAGCCGTGTTCAGAGACTTTGGGAGTCAAGCAAGGAGACAGCCGCCACGAAAATCCAGGCCAGGTTTCGGCAGACACCTTGCTGCAAAAATCCCTGCGCACTGTTAACCCCACAGCGTGCCCTCAAGCGTGCCCTCAAGTGTTACAAGGCCAATTTGACTTTAGCCCCCCACATAGACACCACAAGGCAAACGTGTTGCACCACACTGGTTTTCTCCACGTGATGGGTAGTCAGTGATCATGGGCACTGGAGTGGTGGAGGTCCTTAGTTTCGACTTGTGGTTCGTTTGTTTGTCTCATCCACCAAGGAAGCAGGCAGCAGAAGAGGTTCAAAAGCGCAAGCAGCAGCAAAAGGAGGAAAGTGATGCAGCTACCAGGACTGGGTTTCGGCATAGCTGCTGCGAGTGGAGACCACTGGATCGGGGCAAAGATTGCTGACGTGCACAAGTTAACGCCATCGCGCCCCGCCTCACCGCGGCCTCCGTGCTGCACCATTTTGCTCGGCGTAGGCTGTTCTCCTCACGGGCTCCATAGGGGTTCACAGCTGGACATGGCCTGAAATCGAACGGCGTCCGTAGAGTGGTCCTCAAGTCCGTGCTGCGACTGCGATGGAGAACGCGCCTGGTTGTGGTGCACCTGGCACATGCACACGCGCACCGGTGCACCAACGCACTGGCGCACCAACGCACCGACACACGGACACACTGTGCGATCATCCAAGGACCGCACGAATCAAGTGCCTGCTTAGTAGATTTCGATGCGCCACATCATCCGGTGGTTGATCGCGAAGCACCCACACTCCGGTCCCCCTTGCCCGTCCCTAGCCCTGACGTTTATTGAGGCTGTAACGTCCATCTGTCTGCTGGTATGCGAAGTACTTCCTGTTCTTTTGGCATGTAACAAAGCCCCAAAAAGAGACGCCAACTCAGTGAAAGCAACACCCCTGCCACGCTTTCCACAAGCAAGCTCCTCCAAAAAAGGCACGTATTCTTCACAGCGAAAACTACATGAGAAACAAACATTTCGCTAGAGACAGACGTTGAGCTTTTGAGGCAGGGGGCTGTGCTGTCAGCTAGGGAACTTCAAGTTGAGTTCGGATTCTTCAACGAGGCCTGCAGAGGAGGCTGGCGAAGAAGAAGGCATGCCTCAACAAGAGGAGAAGGAGCAGCAACAGCCCGTGGAGGACCATTCACCCAGCTGCGGCATGTTTCACGGACCTTCAGCACAATGACCACTTGGAAGATCCATGCAGTTTGGGTCGAGCCGTGCTGCTTTTCACTCAGGAGGTGAGTCCTGCAGGTGATGAGGAGTGAGCAGAGGGTTTAGGGTTTAAGGTTAGTTGTCAAGACTTGTCAACCACGTTTGTAGCCTACGAATCTTTGAGCAGAGAAAGGCCCGTTAAAGGCCCTCCATGGGATATCGGTCACAGCCGTGTTCAGAGACTTTGGGAGTCAAGCAAGGAGACAGCCGCCACGAAAATCCAGGCCAGGTTTCGGCAGACACCTTGCTGCAAAAATCCCTGCACACTGTTAACCCCACAGCGTGCCCTCAAGCGTGCCCTCAAGTGTTACAAGGCCAATTTGACTTTAGCCCCCCACATAGACACCACAAGGCAAACGTGTTGCACCACACTGGTTTTCTCCACGTGATGGGTAGTCAGTGATCATGGGCACTGGAGTGGTGGAGGTCCTTAGTTTCGACTTGTGGTTCGTTTGTTTGTCTCATCCACCAAGGAAGCAGGCAGCAGAAGAGGTTCAAAAGCGCAAGCAGCAGCAAAAGGAGGAAAGTGATGCAGCTACCAGGACTGGGTTTCGGCATAGCTGCTGCGAGTGGAGACCACTGGATCGGGGCAAAGATTGCTGACGTGCACAAGTTAACGCCATCGCGCCCCGCCTCACCGCGGCCTCCGTGCTGCACCATTTTGCTCGGCGTAGGCTGTTCTCCTCACGGGCTCCATAGGGGTTCACAGCTGGACATGGCCTGAAATCGAACGGCGTCCGTAGAGTGGTCCTCAAGTCCGTGCTGCGACTGCGATGGAGAACGCGCCTTGCAGTGGAGGATTGAGGAGGTGGGTTGATCTTTTCCCCTGAGCGCCTTTGGCGTTCGACGCACTACCGCATAGCTGTCAAAAAGCAACGCTCTGTTCGTACGTTCTTCTCCTGTGATGTCTGAGTTCTCCACCGACAAGTCTTGCGTGTGAAAGACTGTGAAGCTTGAGCATGAACACAAGCCTGACTTTGCTCGGAGAAACCTGTTTGAACCGGTTCTTACGGCACTTCGGCCATCTTCGGAAGCTAGGAGAGAGATGTAGAAGAGGGGATCTTGTGGTGTGGGAACTGCGGAGTATCTGCGAGGATCCAAGCGAGGTACCGTGGACGCCAAGCCAACAAGCAGGTCCAGGACATGCGCGAAAGAAACCAGGCCGGGTGAAGAAGAGGTTTTACGTGGCATGCGGGACATCTTCACAGTTGTCCGAGCACGATCTGCTACTTACCTGGCGATTGGTTGATGAGCAAGAATGTCCGCAATCTTGCAGGTCCAAGCCAAGGCAGCCACGGCACCCTGGCTGGCATGATTTGACCTTGGAAAATTCACGAGAAGAACTGCGTAGGATACCTCCGTTTGAGTTTTTCCAATGAACAGGTAGCGTCCCATTGCGAATATCTTTCCGTGTGAGTAGAAGTAGCAACAGCACAGGCAGGGATGATTCGGGAGTCGGACTTTGGGTGGGCGCTTTCTAGGTGCTGGTAGGTACTGTTAGCTTCGTTCGATGCCGACGACTTCAACATGCGTCTTCGAATTTCTGGGTGGCGGTTGTACGGAGTTGTACAGAGTTGCACAATTTGTCCGCGCTCAATCCTGTTCCGTGCGGATGGTGCGCACATGTTTACATCGGTCCTGGTAAAGCAGCAAAATGCAGCAAAGCAGAAATCAAGCAGAGCCAGTGAGAGCAGGTGTAGCCTAGTGGTTTCAAAGCTGCATCAAAAACGTATCATGCACTGAGTCATACGGGGCATGTTCAGAACTGTTGCGTTTCGAAGTTGCGCAGGATTGCATGGGCTCCGGGTTCTTTTGCTGTCGCCGCTGCCTCTCAGTGCTGCGCCAACTCACCCCGAATGCCTCCTTCTATGCAGCTTCAGTATTCCCACCGAGTCGCTGAGCATCGTCAAAGGGCCTAATAGCCCCTAAAAGCAAACAGTCCGCCCGGCATTCATGCAGTTTCACTCTTTCGCTGGCAGCACGCAGTCCTGCAGGAGCAGGAAGAAGCCTGTGCCACAAAGATCCAGTCCATGTTCAGGCGCTCAGTGTCTCGCTACAAGGGGATGCAGGGTTATATGCTTCAAGCGTTTACCACGAGCATGACAAGCGTGCGTGACTTCGAGTTTTGCAGGCTGCCTGGGGTATCATGTCAGGTTGCAGCGCTAAGTCCGGTGAACACCAGCAGAATAATGTTGCAGCCTGTTATTCAGGGTTTGGGACTGTGTGGGGGTTCCGGTGGACGTCAATCAACAATTCAGATTCCAGCGCATTTTGAAGCTTGGGCGGTTCCCCGCTCCCGTTTCACGGTTTTTGAATCAGGCGTCTGGTCTGCGATTTCCCTGTCCTGGTCCGAGTCATTCGTTTTGGTTTCCGATACAGGCCTGGTTTCCGATTGTTCCATTTCTGGTTTCCGCTGTTCTGGTTCCCGATTTTGCCGTCGACCTGCAGTGGGCCCGTCTATGAGAACAACCTAAACTTCAAACCCCAAACCTTAACCAAACCTCACAAGACCCCGAAAATCCAAGAAGCCAGGCCTTAGAAATCCAAGGGCTCCCTTGCCAGAGTGGCTTTGACCAGGACAGCCAAGAGGCCAGGCCTTCGAAATCCAAGCCTCCTTTTGCCTTAAGATTTCAAGGGGGCCTGGCCTTGAACCCGAGAGGCCGCTGCGAAATCAGGTTGGCCAAGCCCTCGAAATCTCAATTTGCAAGGGAGTCTATTTGTTTTCAAAGGCCAGCCATTTGAGAATCAGATAAAGTGTGGGTCCGTTTAAACAAGGTCCAAATCAGCTTTCAAATTAGTCTTTGGATAGAGCTCTGTTCAATGATAGGTGTCCGCAAGTGAAGGTGTGTGGATGCAGTTACTTCATCTGAAAGATGAGCAGGCTTTTGCCAATCGCTTCAGCTGCTTGTTCATGGCTTACTTGCTTTACAAAAGGAATTAACTCGGACGATCGGCGTCGCGAAAATTGCTATCAGATAAGGTTCAAAATGCACTCATGTCTGGCAAGCTGTTCTGCAGAAGCTTGTCATGACACAACGAATGACACAAGGAAGTTCTGGCGAATACCAACCGCAATTGCTGACCGTCCACCGAAGGGCTCAAGCATGAGCAGCAAAACCAGTGGTGCGCTGGTAGCGGAAGCAGGCAAAGGAGAGAGCATTGGCCACGGAGGGCTTGGAAGGCCTCTCCGGGAAAACCCTGCGAGTCGCCAGACGCTGGAAATTGCCGAGCTTGAAGAGGAGACTGGGACGAAACGGAGCTCACGCCCAAAAGGACGCAGCAAGCCCACACTCTGTACGATGCTGGTTCCAATCTGCTCGACATCTTGTCACGGCAGGAGAAAGTCGGAGAAAGCGCGGGTCCGCAGCCTCTTTTAAGCAGATGTAGCGGATTGTAGCGGTATACCTGCCCATCCAGGTAATCCAGCTAGACGTCGACATGAACTCTGTCCGAGAACCATCAGCTCCATACGGCGTTGAAGGTTTGTCCCCGAAACCTAAGCCCTAAGCCTCAGTGGATTGAGTGAGAGCCGGCCGAGTCTTTCCCTGCTGTGTGCGAGTGCGAGAGCCGCAGCCCTAAAGCGGAAGCGGACGAGGGACCTGAAGACCGGAACGCGAAACCCACAACCCGAGCCCGAGAGCTGTTTAAAGTTTGGGGTTTACATGGTTTGGGCCATTGGGGCCCTGAACTCGAAGCCCCAAAAGTCGAAAAGGACTGGATAGGGAATCCGGAGACTAGGGTTTGGGTTTTAGGGTTTTGGGGAGCCCGGATTTAAAACGGGTTTTAGGGAGTCTTCAATCAGGGTTAAGGGTCTTAGTGTGACTGGCTCCAGGTCCAGCATGCGGCAAAATATGGCCATGTGACCTTTCAGCTTCAAAGCTCTGCCTGCGCATGCAAGCTCACTTTCAACTACCCTTAACGACAACAAATATGAACTTTGGGGTCACACGACAAAACCACCGAGAGCGCTGGTATACACAGTTCTTTCCAGTGGTTGGCCGGATTCGAAAGCCCAAACGCGCCAAATCATTGAGTTCGCCTGCCAGGTTTTGCACAAGGCAAGCTCCAAAAAAAGACATTTGTCAACTGAGAGGACTTCTAGACATCAGAAACACTGATAGTAACTACTGCACTAAAAGCCAGTGGTTGAAAACACGACAGTAAAGTACTTGTGCCGTGGTTTTGCTGGGAGTTGGGAGGCAGAAGCAAGCGGCAAGCGAAGTCCAGGCCAGGCGCAAAGAGAAGCAACAAAACGACGATGGGACAGTGGACTCCCAGCCAGCCGACGTGGACAGATATGAGACAGATGTCGAGTTGGAAAGCGAGCTTGTGAGGCAAGGGGCTGTCAGCTGTTGCAGGGAACTTCGCGTTGAGTTCGGATCGTTCAACGAGGCCTGCGGAGGAGGTCAGCGAAGTCGAAGCCATGCTTAAGCAAAAGGAGAAGGAACAGCAACAGCTCGTGGAGGACAAGTCGCCCAGGCATGGCAATTTTTTTTCCGATTCCCCGTGGTTCAAATTCTTATGATTACTATTACTATTATTATGAGCGCCTGAGCTTCGATGACTCCATTCTGTGGCTAATCATTCGGCTAATCAAGGGTGGAAGGCATGTTGGGTGCGAAGCACGAAGCAAGACCCATGGCGCCCTTGCTGCATCTTTTCGCGGGCTTCGGCACAGCGACGGCTTGGAAAATCCATGCAGTTTGTGCCGAGCTATATATGCCTCTTTTGACTCAGGCCGTGAGTCCTGCAATTCCGGAAGGAGATGAAGAGGAGTGAGCAGAGGCGTACAGCATTGGCGGAACTTGCACAGACTGCCGCATTGTTTCTTGAGTTTCAAGACAGTTTGTGCATCGCTTGCTTCCGGTCTACGCTTCAAAAACGAAGCGAGACCTGTAATTACGCATGTTGAACCCAGAGGTCCTCCCCAAGGGAGTCCTTCAAGCGGGCCCCGTGCAGCGAAAAAGTTCTGCAGCAACAATGGTGCGCGCACTCGTGCACACACACACACACACAGCTTAGTAGAGGAGCGAGGGATTGCGATTGCTATCACGCGCAGAGCTCAGACGTGGGCCTCTTGTCCGGGCGCCGGGGGCGCCAGGAGGAAAGGGAACAGGCGCACAACCCCCGCTCTGCTTTGCTAATAGGATCCAATGGGCACATCTGCACGCTGACTGGCATACGGCATATGCTTCAGATACGGCAGTGCTCCACAATGCTGTCCGCCGTGAGATTTCTCCAAGACATCCTGGCCAGCAGGTCATGGGCTGCGCCCACGCACCCCCACCGCCACAGGGCCCTACAACAGGCTGAACATGTGCATGCACTGCCTTTTGTTATGTTGTGGCGAGCTATACAGTAATACAAAGAGTTGTACAAGCATGCTCAGGCGCCCATCCGAATTTGTTGCGAAGACCTTGTTCGAAAGTTGAGGCTAGTGGTGGCTGCGTCCTGTTGCTTTGATTGTCCATCGAAACCCGCTCTTGAAGCGGCCAGGCCAATTGCACTGCAGGTGGGACTGCAAGGAACCCAGATACAAAGAACTGACACGAAGATATGCAAAGCCGAGGTAGGGCCAGTCGCATGATTTTTGTTGTCTATCACCCCTGGCTTTGTGAAGAGTTACAATGATGCAAACAGATGCCGCCATGCTACATCGCCCATCAGCTTGACACGCATGGTCAACTTTCATGGCGCATGATGGGACTCAAGTACTGCGCTGTGTAACCTGGGTCCTGAGTTTCTGACAAAAGGCACACCAGATGCACGTAGACTCTTATGTTGGGGCAGCGAGCCTTTGACTGTCTAGATGTAGCTTGCACAACCATGGCATGGAACCTACCAGAAGCCGGCGTAAAGACCAAGAACGGGATGAGCAGGCTACGCTGGGAGCACTCGCCCGTGCGAATCGGGCAACTCAGCTGGCACACCATCTGCCCCTAAGCTGCACTCGGTGAAGCATGCGCTGCAGCCAAGCCAAGAATGTCCCGAGTTGAACTCCACTGCTAGTGCAGGCACTCGTTCATTGAAGCCAATCGGGGCAAGAAGTTCGCAGCACTGGCAGAAGAATTGGAAAAGGCGGAAAAGGCATCGGCTCTTCAAGCGGCGCATCTTCAACGTCAGCTTGCCGTGCTTGGTCTGCACAGCACTCAGCACCGGATGTCAGAGGAGCCGAACATGTCGCACATGTCGAACCTGATGCGGGGTGTGCAGAGCGTGAACTGGGCGAGAGGCGCGCGCTACATGCGCTATGGCCCAGGATGCCACTGCAGCGATTGCATGGCAAGTTTGGAGCTGGATGCTTTGGACCGGCTTCCGTGCAGCAAGGCCATGGCTCATACTGTGCACAGCGAGAGCTTCAGTCATGATGCCTCTGATGCCCAGCCAAATGGCGATTCGCACTCGAGACCGAGGGCCTTGTTTACGCGCGAAAGCGACGACACTTTTCAAGACCATCTGCAGCTTTTCATGGCAGCTGGTGCTCGCCTTGCCGCTGCAACATCTGCTCTGGAGTGCACCCGCCTCGAGCACATGGACACGGGGATTGCAGAGTCACCCCACAGCGAAGAGGACAGGCCGGAGTCTCCGAACACATCGGCAGAATTGCAGTTGGACAGGCGACCAAACTCGATGACAGCAGGCAGCGGCCGAGTGCCAGGCTTACAAGATTTAGCTGTGATGCGGCGAAAGAGGAATGACGCCCCTCCTGCACTTCGACAGCACCTGCAGGAGATTTTGAACTCAGCAGCAACGAGCTCAGATGCGCCCTTTCCAGTGGCAACGGCAGCCGGCAATGGGATCGACACGCCCCTGGCAAATGACAAGCTCTTTGATGCATTCCTTGAAGATGTCTCAAAGAAGGCTCGTGCGCACCAGCAGCAAACCAGGATCGAACCGGTTGCAGAACATGCCGTGGATCATCCGGGATACCCAAAGGTTGCCGCCGATGGACTTGATGGATGCCACAGCATGGAAGTCGCAGAAGCGCGGGCGGGTGATGCGGGTGATTCGGGTGTTGAAGTTGATGTTGAGTTAAACCCTGATGAGCACACGCTTGGCGGGGCGTCCGATGTTGATCAAGCTGCGCTTCCGACTGGATGGACTTGCCGGAACCCCGAGAAATGGAAGAACGCCAGCACCTTTCTACTGTCATCAGCCGCTACGGAGCGAGGTGATGCTGCCGAGCCTGCCGATGCCCACAGCATGCACCCAGAGATTTTGCAGGAGCGAAGGCTGTTGCAAAGGGCAGACTTGCAGCTGCAAGCCCAGGCAGCCATGCTTCATATAGCTGCAAGGGTAAGACAGCGTTCATTGCTTAAATCCTTCGTTGACCACCGAGATGTCGGTGGAAGCCTTGCGCATCTTCGTGCCACGCAGCGCCGGACAGAAGACGCGAAGCGGACTTTGGCACGGGCTGTGGAACGGTGTGCTGGAAGCCCAGCTGTCCGAAAAGTGCTGACATGCTGCGTGGAGGCGACAGTGGCTGCCTATGATGCCGAAAGGGTTTATGCTGGCTCAGGAACACATGGAACACATTCGCCCTTGCCAGAGTTGGAGCGCGAAATGGCCCGTGCTTTGCAGTCGATCAGTAGATGCCGTCGGCTACTTGTAGAGCTGGCAGCGCCGAAGACATCGGTGGTTCAGGAGGAATCTGGGCCCGCGTCGGATCTTCAGCCCTTTGCACCTGGCTCGAGGCTGCGCGATCGATGGGCAGAAGTGTACGCGGATCTTCTCCAGTCCGAGGACTCCAAGGACTCCACGATCACTGTGCGTACAAGGCAGGGCATCGCCTGGGCCAAGGTGCCTCAAGTGACTCAAGTGCAAATGCCCTAGAAGCACCGCAGCAGCTCGTGAAAGACAGTCCCGGTACCTCTTGTCGAAGCGCGTGGAGATTGCCAGAGATTGCCAAAGATTGCCAGACTCAACCCCAGGATGCGACCTGTGGAATCCCGTAGAACTGAGCGATGAAGATGCCTCGAGCCGGCCGTCGGCGTCGACTTCGTTCAGCAAACAAGCACGAGTAGCAAGACATCGCCGTGAGATTGAATCTCATAAACCACCGGGCGTCTCTTCTTTTCTCACGAGTGTTTGCAGGCAGGCTGCCGAGGCCAAATTGGCAAAGGCACGAAGAGCAAAAAGACAAAAAAGAAACCAGCACACAGTAGACTACCGTAGTGAATGGGGTCCCGTGTCGTCTCGAGTGGGAGTTGAGTGGCATGATCCACCGAGGTACTGGAAACCTATGCCGTCGTGCGGGTTCTTCGAGCAGAACTGGCTAGAAGCTTTGCCGCTGGCTGAGCAAAAGCTGCAGGTTTGTCAGGCCATGGCAGGTTAGGCCTACAAGAATCTGCAGAGCAGTGACAGCTCTGGCCGGCTCAACCGCTGAGCAGCGGGCAGCATTCCTGAAAGATTATGAATCAGAATCAGAGCGGGTTATAATGAGTATAGTCTAGTGGCAGGTGTTGTCTGACCCCAGGGCTTTCGGAGTTTGGATGCGTGATTGAGACTTTTGAGGTTTGAAAGCAGAGGTTCGTGGCCAGTGGCGGCGCAAGCATTCAACGTTCTGATCTGTACAGACCGCATCAACCTGTAAATGTAGCGGCCAAATTGTAGCGGCGTGCTATGCCTGGCCATGGCTGCACGCTTTCGTGGTCGCTGTCATGTGTTTCTGTTCCCACTCACAGCCCTTGCATGCCTGTCATCCTTGTCGCACATATTGTTCGATTTCACTCCACCAGTGAGTGGCAGAATGGAACGAGTGGAACGTGGATCCCGGAAAGCGCATTCCGGGAATGCGGAGACACCAGCATCGTCTTCCAGCAAGAGCTTGCCGGCTTCACGTGCAGTTGCCTCCGATCAAACAAGCACGCAGTTTGCGTCTAGAGAGGATAATAACCTGACCAGCGGTTGTGACGACGTGGCAAGGTTGCCAAACACATCGCTTCTAAGCACCTTGGAAGAGGCGCCATTGTACTCAGCAGCCCGCTCAGAGGCAGCTGCCCTTTTCTCGGAGCTGAGCAGAAACAACGAAACCGTGAGCTACAGAATTATTCTCAGTTTTATGCAACTAGACTGCATCCAGCATAGTCTAGACAAGTCAAGTGCCGAGGCGAATGTCGAATGCAGGGTGCATGAATGGCACAAGGGTTGAATCGGAACGGAGCGGAACGGGCACTAAGGCAGACTCTCTGGGAAGGTCCACTGAAGCTTCCGTCGCATTTGCAGATGGAGTTGCGGAACGACCTGGCAGCTTTCCTGATCTGGTCAGATCGCGACAGGGATGGAATGGTCTCAGCGGATGAATTCATCGAGTATGTTGCAACAGCAATCAAAGTGTCCAAGCAGGATCTGCGTGTGTTGCGACTGGAGGCCTTCTCGGATTCTATTCCCTTGAGCCTGTTCCCATCTTGAGCTGTTCCAAACCATGCTGTTCAACTGCTGTTACATGCTGTTCCCCAATTGTTCCTTGCAAGGTGGCCATTCGTCGAGCCTATGCCTTCGCAGAGAGCTTTTTCCAAAACCTGACGAAGCATTCTTTCGATCCGGTTGGTAAAGCCGGTGGTGCAGTGAACCGCTGGGTGCAAAGGCCAACATGGCAGCTGACACTACCGCTGCTCCTCAACACGCTTAGCTGCTCGAAAGCAGGCTGTGTCGCACCCTGAGCTGTTCCCTTCTTTCTTTTTGCATAGCATCCAAGGCTTGATTGGCCGGCAAATGCTTGAGCTGTCTGACAGCATGGACATCTTGAGCCGAGATATCAGGCAGGCTCGGGAAGCTGATGTTACGAGAAGAAGTTACGTAGCAACAGGTGGGCTGAACAACCAAGATTACTTCCGACAGCTCTCATTTTTGTGATTGAGGCAATTTCCCATAATTTTCCGGAGGTTCCCGGAACCCAGAAGAATGTCACCAAGAAAACTTTGTCCAGCCATCCACCTAAACCTGTTCAACAGAAGATCAACATGTTCGTGAGAGCCGCTACGTACGAACAAAGCGCATTTTGGGAAGGCATTTCGGCCAGGGCTTGAGGCTAAAACACCCTGCAAGGTTCAATGGTGGTCTCCTGGCCAAAGTCTGCCAGGGCCGAGATTTGGATGATTGGGAGGATTGCCTTCTTCGGCGCTTCTTTAGTGATGTCATTGCGCTGGTCCCTGCCACAGCGATCTGCGCCTTACCTTTGCCACTGCCTGTGCATGTTCCGAGGCTCCGTACATGGTTCTAAGAGTAAACATATATTATATTATAAGATATTCTCCAATTTTTTTCGAATGCCTGGAATAGCTAGCCCATGCCCTGAAGCGCCAGATTGGACAGGGGCCCTATAGGGCCCAGAGATTCTGTATTGGTGCTCACATGGCTTGCAATGGCGAAAGTTGCGACACGTGCCGTGAGGTTTGCCTTTTCCTCGTAATCAAATCTTCAGCTCCAGCGCTGCTACCATCTCCGTTCTCCCCATCCCGCCTGCAGCTGCTGCTTGCACGGCGTGATCTTCGACGACATCCTGACTTCAAGGATTCGGGAAGCAAAGCAAGTGAGCAAATCGCGCCAGCTGCCACTCTAAGGATGGTAATACATGCTCATACCCAAGCTGCGAGCTGTTTCGTGAGGTTAGGATCTGTGTCTGTGTTTGTGCACGCTCAGCTTGTTCAGGACCGGACCTTATACGGAGACGAGCCGTCGGAGGACCGACAGCGGGCACGTTGGCCGAGGTTTTTGTGGCTGCCCAGCCGAATCTGATGGCGCCCTGCGTACTATGTAACTATGTACGTAACATTGCAGAGCCATCCTGGGGAGCTAGGGAGAGCTAGGGAGAGCTAGGGAGGGAGCCTTCTGTGCCGATTTCCAGTCTAAGACACTAGCTATAGACTCCAAGAATCCTCAGCGCAGGAGCTCGACGCTGCCGTCCTTGAGGTTTTCGAGGCCACTCCAGATTCTGCAACGGCGCAGTTGGGAATTCGAAAGCTGTTCGAGGCACGGTGGGGGCTGCATTTTTCAGGGCTGCGGTCGCTTGGCTACTGGAGAGAGCAAGCGAGAGGGACATGAAAGCTGAGAGGGTCTATGCGGAGATCACAGGGGCGCCTGAAAACTGCTTCGACGGCCCGAATTACAAGCCCCGGTTAACCAATACGCTCGATCCTAAACTCCGAGGTTGCTAGTTTCATGTGACAGTTTAGTTTTGTTCCTTGCTCAGCCTTAGATTTAGACAATGGCTGTCATTCCTCAGCACCATGAATCATCATGAACCCTAGCTTTTGGCAAGGCGTTGCAACTTGCAACGGAAAGCCCAAGCGCTTGTCATCAAATCGTCACAAATATCGATGGTTCGCAGTTTGGTATTGGATGCAAATGAGTTCCTGCAGGCCGAGGCCGGAGCTAGGAGGTGCGACGAGCCAGGCAAGAAGACCATGACAGGCTCATACAGGCTCCTGGGTCGCCAACCCTGCCCTCAAGAGCGAAAAAGAGAAGATGCTCTTCTTATCTCTTCTTGCTCCCTTCCTCTTCTGGCCCCTTTTCAAGGGAGCAAAGGGCAAACGCAAAGTCGGAATGCATCTTTGAGGCTGTCAGCTCGGCGTTGTGGAGTGTTGTGCCCGTGAGGATTTAGATACATCTGCAAGCGGCAACGTCTCACATAGTCGTGGGCTCGGCAACAAGTGTGACAGCTGGCAGCTTGGAGGTTTTTCAGAGGAATTCAACTGATTCAACTGAGGTGGTGTGCTGAGCATCGTGCAAGCCATTTGGAGTGGGAGGCTGAACCTTGCAAAGAAGAATATGGAGGATTTCCGAATGGATGCGCTGGCTGCTCAGAGTATCCATTGCATACGGCATGCGGAGCGCAGCGGACAAAATGGGTAATGGCTCAAATAAGTCCTAGCGTTTGTGCACTCAACTGCTGCAAGATGGCTAAAGTGCAAATACTCGGATGCAACATATGATCACCCTTTTCTTAGGGACCCTCTGGACTCAGGTCCACACTGATGGTTGCCGTAGATCGCCGCCGGGAAGGTTGCCTGACTTTGGGTGAATTCACTGAGTACATCGAGACTTTGGTTGAAGTTGCCAACAACTACAAATTTCAAGGTGCTCAGAGCGATGGCAAGGTATCAAGATTTGCGCGCGATGTTTCCGACGGAACCTCTACATTGCTGCGCGACGTGCGGTATGGCCTCCATCTACTCAAGAAGCTTGTGTTCAGACACAAGCTGTCGAACATGGAGCGAGCGATACTGAGACGCACTTTCAAAGACTTGTCTGCATGCTTGCCATACTTGGCCATCGCGTTGACCAAGTGCACAAATGGGCAGAAGATTCTGATTTGCATGTTGCTCTACTCGAATGCGCCGTCACTCTCCCCAACGGCTTTCAGGAAGCCAAGGCGGAAATTTGCGCGCGCATGGGCGGCAATTGCAATGAAACAGCGGAGACGGGCTTACAATGGCTGGCAGAAGCTAGAAGAGCGAGAGCAGCGAGAGCAGCGAGAGTCCGAAGGCAAGGCCTCCACTGCCTCCACCTTGCAGGACATTCTTTCTCAGCCTTCTCAGCTTTCAGAGGCTCGGAGCTCTCTGAAACTTGAGAGGCTCTTCGAAGAATTTGACAATGGGAGTGGTACACTGACATATGGAGAAGTGTTTTCCATCTTGTGGCCACTTTGGGAGCGAGTCCGTCACAGGAGCAGCGAACCTTTCTTGGACGCCTTGGGGCTGGTTCTTCAAATAGCCTCGGACAGAGATGGTGCAGTCACCAAGCCGGAGTTTGTGGAATTCCTGCAAGCTTTGATCGTCTTTGCCGGGCGTGAAGCGCTCTGGGAGGAGGACCTGGAGAAACCTCCTTTCGAAGTAGGGCCGATGTGCCGCTATGCCGCAGACATCGCACGAAGGGAAGTGCGAGAAGTAATGGACAGCGTCTCCATGATAAGCCAGGATGTGGCATATTCGGGAGCTCTGCTTCAAAGCCTCCAAGACAAGGAAGGGCGCGGCAGGCGCGGCAAATTTCTCGGCTTCTCCAGGATTGAGTTTGACGTGCTGCAGCGCACGGCAAAGGACATCCTGTTGTTCGTTCCGATTGGCATCATCATTGTAGCACCATTAACCCCTGTCCGGGGCCAAGCATGCCGGAAGGATAGAGGATAGTGAGGATCGCGCCGCTAGATCTCACAGGTACTGCTACTTTGATTTGGGTTTGGCATGGTTTAGCTTCAAGAGTCCCAAGGGTGCTCTCCACTGGCCCTGAGGCGCTCAGGGTATGGGAAGTACATCTGCAGAAGGAAGTTTCCAAGCTCGTACGGATCGAAATGAACACTCTCGAACAATCTTGCGACTCTTGTCATCTTGTAGCCCTGGACCGTCTCAGAAACCCAACAGTCGTTCTGGCAGCCGCCAGGATGTCAGGAAAGCCACCCGGAACCAACCCAAGGCCCAAAGATGCAAGGGATCAGGAGGACCAAGACCAGCACATTTTCAGAAATCTCGGTTCAGATGATGACCCTTCCCCTTGCTCACCTCTCCAGCCGTCCTTGAAAAAGCAAGGATATACCCAGCCTCTCCGTAGTAGCCAAACCCTCCACAACCCAAACCCTTAACCAACACGCTCGCAGAGATGTAAGTTGCACCGTATTTGGTACAAGGTTGGCACGGCCATTGTCATCGCCATATTCAAGCGATTGGCTCCCACATTGGTGCCTTCCTCTTTCCGTCGCTCGCGCTTGGTCCTTCTGCGCCTCGGAGACGAGCAACATGTGGGTTCACATTTTTGGACATGTTACAAGCTGCAGCTACCTGAAGTGTAAGAGCATCATGTCTTGTCTCCTTGCAAGGAAGGCCCTTCGTCTGTCAAGGAAGTCTGCAGCGCCAGATGCAGTTGCGGATACAGACGGAAAAATGAGCGATCACATGTTACATGGTTGGCCCAGGAAGGGCGAGGTTTAAGGGTTGCTGTGTGGCAAGGGTCTGGAATAAGTGAGGCTTGTTTGTTCGCCCAGGACGCCTATGGCAAGATGGACCCATTCACTGTCATTTCGTTCATCGAGCGAGATGGAGCTGACTCCTAAGCTTGTGGCTTTGCCAAGTTGCCAGAACTGCAGCTCTGTTTGTTTTTTTTCTCCAGGGCAGAAGAGAGATCTCCCGGACACGCACAGACTGGAATGCTGACATGCATCCACACTGGGTGCGCCCCCCAATTTTTCATCGTTCAGCTTTTTGCCCGCAGGCTCGATAGGCCCATCTGATAAAGTGAGCACACGTGAACTCTTCGAATGACTTGAATTGGGGGGGGGGGGGGGGGACTTTGAATCAAGGATCACACCTGCCGCGGCCAGCCTTTCAAGATGGGTTCAGCAGCCACTGTGGAGTTCCAGGCGCCCGCCATGCGGCACAACACCCTCACATGCAACGTTCCAAGCAGATCGCTGACACTGCCACACGGGCTGACGGCGCTAGGTCATGGAAGGCAACGTCATCGGTCGCCCCACGTTTTGTGGCGAAACTTGCGGAACTTGGAATTCATTGTAAATTGGGCAGCTTACTTTTATTCCAAGAGCATGATCCTGTAGGGGATGTCGCGAATGACAACGGGTGCCAGGCGCCGCACAGGTTTCGGTAGAAGCGTTGCTAGGTGACCCTACGCCGGCAGCCAAGACTCGCACAGCATTGGATGTCTTTGACGTGGTGCGATGTGCCATCCAGGGCGTCCGAGTCGCTATGTGCATCGACGTGTGGGGGCGTGTTGACGGGTCCGGTGATGGTGCCGAACTCAGGATGTCCTGGCGCAGCTTTATATACGAGACATATCCCTTTTGTGTCTGTTTCTGTAAATAAATAAGAATAATAATAACAATAACAATAATTATATATATATATATATTTCCACATACATATAATTCTGTATGCAATGCGAAATTTGGTGGGACCTCAATGAATCCCATGCCAGAAGCTGCACAGGACCTCGAGCTGTGCCTCTCCAATGAGGTTCTTGCCCTACATGGCCATAGCTTGCCATATCTCATGTCTTACACTGGGTTGCAGTGCGATTTGCATATTCCTGTCAAGCCATTTTCGTTGGAGGCTCTTGCAACGAATTATTGGCCCAAGCTGTCTTCACAGCTCACCGGGCTGACAAGAGGAGACGTAACATAGCCGAGAGAGCCATGAGCTACGAGACTGCCGATTCACAGAAGGAGGAATTCCGAAAGTACTTGGAGCAACTCGGGGCTGAACAGGCATGAACTGGCTGAGTTGTGTGACACTTGTGCAACATTGCGACTGCGCATCTCCAATTCTTAGTGCAACTCATAAGTGCAGCTGGGAGGGGCCCAAGCCATCCCCATGCCCAGGAAGAACGGCATCATCTCACAGCTCACACGAGTTCTTGTAGGCCTCTACGAGGAACCTGAACGCCCAACCAATGCAGCCTGGAGCAAGATCTGGTCTGACATTGGAAGGGAGTTGCGCAACGCAACGTACCCAGATGCGTCGCGATGTCGCTGCGAGCTGAGCTCAGGCCATTGATTACATCAAGAAGTACTTGGGAGCCCCAACAGGCGGGCCGCAGTTCTCCGTGTCGCCATCGTCCAGAATCGGGAGCAACTTCCTTGGCAGGTTTTGGTTCAGAAGCATTTTGCCATGTGCTGTGGATGTTAACATGCAACAGTCAATGCAGGTGTGGATGTGGAAGAACTGCGCGCAGACAACGACGAACTCAGGCGACAGAATGCCGAACTTGAAGCCAAGGCCTGGTTTCTGTTGGAGTCACTTTAGATGCAGGTTCTTTTCCAGACATGCCATGGGCCACGCCTTTGTGCGTCTTCAGGTAGCCAGCCTGACGCAACAGCTCAAAGAGCTCCAGACGGAACAAGAGGAACAGGATGGCTGAAGCGGCTGAAACTCCCCAGCTTCAGAATTTGAGGCTAAGGCTTAGTCGCGCAGGAGAAAAGATGCTTTTAAGGGTCGACGCTGACCACCCAAAGGGGTGGCAGGAGCATGTGCCTGGCAGTAGGCTCAGTAGGCTCCAAGAGTCTTTGAATGGTCTCTGACATTTGCTTGTGAGTTGCCGCGTTTGCCACATGGCTGAAGGTGCATTCTGCTCGTGCTTCAAAGTAAAGTTAGTGCACGTTTAGGGCGCTTGTCGCTCTGCTGATTCAATGTCGTGTGGTCCCGCGCGAAGCGCGCAGCGGGTGCCATGCACAAGCACAAAAGTGCCCATGCTGGATCGAAATGAATCGGATGCATGCCAAGAAAGTTGGTCTCCCGCGGTTGTGCAAACAAAGTGCGGAGCATGTTTGTCACAGAACGATGCAGCGAGGTCCTGCGCCGTGGCATGCATGCGCAGTGGCCTTTTCCGATCTTTCAGTCATTTTGCCAAACCAAGGTGACAGGCCGGGTCTTCGTCCAGGCATGGCATGTCGAAGCACTGCGCAACTTGCAAGGATGACTGAAAGACTGACAGATGGTGTTTCTTAAGAGTCCATGGTCAGCCGCGCGTTCCGCACGCTACGTTTTCGGTTCACTCTGCAGAGACACCCCTCCCTTCCAGCCTGCCAGTAACCCCATGGGCAAGCATGATCGCTGCCGCAGCTCGTGCCCCTGCTGCTCGGAACATGTTCAAGCGAGTATGTCACTTTGACCATCTTCGACCCATACCCGCACAAGAACCAAATCAAGTAAATCACATCAACTCCAAAAGAGATCGGGGCCGCTTCGCGCAGGTTTACGCTTTCGACAATTTGTCCACTGTCTAAAGCAACGAAGCCAAATCACTGCAGTGGATGATTGGCGAATCGCCATATATCGCCATTGTGCACCGAACAAAGTCCATGTGTGTGTGTGATCTGTTTAAACTTGATTGATGTTGTGTAGAGTCCTGGCTTCGTAAGATGTTTTAGTTAAAGGGCTTTCATGATGGCCAGTGTGCCTTATATGGTTCCACTCTGCAAAAATATTATCGCGCATCAGAGGGAGGATTGCAGGTGTGTATATATTTATATATGTATATATGTATATATGTATATATGTATATATGTATATATGTATATATGTATATATGTATATATGTATATATGTATATATGTATATATGTATATATGTATATATGTATATATGTATATATGTTATATATATGTATATATGCGGGGTGTGTGTGTGTGTGTGTGTGGGGTGCGTGTGTGTGTGTGTGTGTGTGTGTGTGCGTGTGTGCGTGCGTGCGTGCGTGCGTGGGTGGGTGGGTGGGTGGGTGGGTGGGTGGGTGGGCGTGGCTGGGTGGCTGGGTGGCTGGGTGGCTGGGTGGCTGGGTGGGTGGGTGGTGTCTTTAGCAACGGACAAGCCCTCCATTGCATGGGCCGACCCCCAGATCCAAAATCGTCGCCCTGCGCGCTACGAACCGCAGCAAACACGAGGAGCAGGGCACGAACAGCCGAGCCCCCCCCCTGGCTGGACACACACGTTGCAGGGGAAGGTCCAAGAGAGCGCCCCCAACGTTCGTGCCCTGCGAGAGATGTCGGTAGGTCAGGTTGAGGAACCAATTCTGCCCAGCGCCACTAAAACTTTCGGGTCTCAACAGTAAAGCATCAAAGCCCGCCATAGAAGGCGGCAAGCCTTTTGTGGGGCCATGGGAAAGTCCTAGCAAAGAACCTCTAACGCCCACACGCTGGGGCCAAGGCTAATACAGAGGGAACCTTCGATAAGCGGGAACACCTCTGTACCGAAGCCCCGTCCGAGGTTCCTCAGCGTTGCGTGCAAGATCTCGTGCGGCGCTTTGAAAGCGCAGCACCTGCGCACTTAAGCGCCAAATTCTTGGACATGGAGGCCCAACCAGAGGTGTATCAGCTTCGTGTTGTTCTGTGATTGCGCCCCTCTGGCATGAGCTCCTGTCAGATCGAGCAACTGAGACGCGCTGCACTTGTCTCTCAGTGGCATTCGCCGTTCAAGACAACTGCACCTCGGTTGAAGCCGTTAATCAGCGACGAACGACTTTTTCACACCGGGTTCCTCAGGATTTTCTTCAGTTTCTGCAGTGGAATCTCTCGGCCCTCTCAGTCGCCCTGTTGAACTCCCAAAGAATAGCTACTTAATTATCCGGCAGCTACATCAAATACATCATGTCGATTTGAAGAAACATGTATCGTTTTTTGCACAGGTCCGTACATGTTACACCCCCAATATTTTGCATTTCTTCTAGGAATCCTTTATACGGTTGGTGTGGCTGTTGGTGAAAGTTTCCGTATGACAACACTCATGTTTGTATTTCAGACATGTGACATGAAGCCACAAGGTAAGCAATGTTAAACCCGTGATCATGAGCTTCGCGCCTGTCTTTTTACAATGGGCCCCCTGACAGTTCCTGGTTGGAGGCGCCGCCAAGTATCCAACATGGGCCATGCTGGTGGCGTCCAAGCACAGAGCTTTCCCAGGAGGACAGCTTCCACTTGAAGGCAGAGTACAGCACGTAGGACATGGGAGCGAGCGAAGAGGAACGCTGGTGTTGAAAAGACAGGGTGTGATAAACTGAGGTTTGATCGTACTGGGTGGGCTGGGACCTGGGATACGACCGGTGCACGCACCCAGCACATTGTGTGAACGCAACGTGCTCGTGCGTCATCTCCCCGTGCAACTTCTGTTCGACTTGTTCAGGCATCAGGCCTGAGTTCAGATGAACTTTTTTCTGCCGGTTTCTAGCTTGGTTTGCTTGGTTCGCCTGCGATGCCATTGGCACGTCCGACCGGCTCCTTCGCTGCCGCCCAGGGTCGTGCCTCTCCCGGCACGATTTTGCTGCAGCGTGTTCAACCTCCCTTATGGGCTTGAAATGTGTCTCCAACCTCCCTATTCCCCCGGTATCGCCGCAACTGCAACATAAGGCCACCGTGTTTCACAATTCGTTGCGGCAGGGCTCGGTAGTTGCCGGCGGGGACTCTGTCATGTGTAGGCTTCGCTGAGGCCTGACCCACAGTGGCACATGGAGTCGAGTGATGCACCTGAGCAAGTTCTTCGAGAAATCGCCTTCCACGCTGCGTACATGGTGTTTGTATGTGTTTGTACCAGCGTCGGGTGGTGCGCGGGAAGCCCTGAAGTTAAGTCTCGTTGAATTCCTGACGCGCTGCCTGGCGAGAGGGAAACATCGGATCCGCTCCATCTGAGCGTTGACACGGGGGAAAATCTTCTGGTGGTGAGGCTGGCCCTCTCCAAAGACAGAGAATGGGAGGGGGAGAGGGAGAGGCTCAGGCCGGGCGGGTCGCTGTTCAGAAGAAGAGACGAAGTTGAAGCGATACAACACCAGGAGCCGTAGCTTTCGAAGGGTTGTCTACTTCAGAATCAAAGATTAATTAGCATCAAAGCACGGACGTTTGGGATGCAGGGCAAAGTTGGACACTGGCACAGTGAATGGACCCGGTGCGAGGGCTGGTTTGAAGCTGTTGGTCTGCCGAGCTTGGGCCACCACACGTTGAGAGGTGATGGCATCAACGCCGTCTGAGAGATCCATATCCGGGGAGTCAACATGTGCTTCTTGTGGCCCCGAGGCAGAATTCTCGTTTTCGTGTGCTTAAGCTGACTCGAGCCGCTGCACCTGTTTGCCGGCAGGAACACAATGAGGCCTTAGGGCCAGAGATGGCCAGAGTTTATCTCAGGGTCGCAGTGTGACATGACACCATCCAGTGACAATGGGTCAGTTTGGCTCCGCTACAGGCACTACTCGAGCTGTCAGCTTCTTATGGCGAAGTCTTTGCACTGCGGGTTCAGACCTGGCTTCAAGGGAGGGAAGAACGAGAAAGGCAGTGGACCCAGCCATACATCGGCAACTCGTTGCATGTCGCCGCGGGAAGCATGACGCATTCGAGCAGCATGTGTCTTGTCCCGGAAGGCATCAAAGGCACGACGAGGACTTAGCGCAGCTTCCTATCTGCACTGGCTGTTGACACGTGCCCATGCCAACAAAGAACACATTGATGCAGGGCCACGTTATGCAAGAGTTATTTTCAAGTCAAACCCTCGAATCTCTAAATGCTCCTCATGCCGTACCGATTTCTTTGCAAAAGAGCGAAAGACCGAGTGCAACTGGTGCCAGGTTCGTTTCACAGGGTGAAGTGCCAATGGCCTTTGAGGAGCGCACCTTCGGGGGGGAAGGGGGGGGGGGGGGTAATAGTTATTGTAAAGCACCCTACACAAGCCATAGCCACAAGCCACTTAAGCCGCGCAGCTCAACCCTGCAGAGTTGACAGGCCCGATGAGACAAGATATTTGAACTTCAAGATATCACCCGGGCACCCGAACTGCCCTTGCAGAGGTATATCATGCAAGCTTCTTGTTGCAGAATGATGTTGGATGTGTTTGTGTTGTGTCATTGTTCCTGACTTCGGTGCCTTTCAATTCTTCGCAGTTGGATGGGTGGCTTCTTGGTGTTTATTTTCCTGCTCGTGTGTTGTTTCTGCCAGCTGCTGTGTGATGTTGTGTTGGTGCTGTCCTTTATGTTCTTGCGTTTGCTAGCGTTGCATAGTAAATATGCAGGTTGCCTTCGATGGTTCGCTCGGCATCGTCCGGAAATTTCTTTATGCCCGCAACCACACACACAAACCAAACAAATGGGTGGGGTTTGCACCTGAACACGTGGGCACGTGAGTGCTGGCAGTCATCAAGGGCTTGCGCGGATTTTCGCTCGGTACGCTCGCGGGTCCGTTCAAACGCTCCTCTGAACTCTTGGAAAGTCCATGATCAATTCGTTTGGATTGGTGTCTGCTCTCTCTCGTGAACCGACCCTCGACTTCGTTTGCGCCCATGGAAAATCAGGGTCCAGCCATGCCTCCGATTTTTGCCTGCCTTGCGAATTATGCCGCTTATGCCACTATCGTTATCCGGGATTATCCGTATTTCGCAGCGGAAAACCAGAAAAAAAGCAACAGCACGCAATGAAACACAACTTGCGCAGCAGGGCCAGAAGATCTCACGACATCGTATTTGCTGCTGTTGTCGCGCGCCTGTGTGTCCCAAGCAGTCCAGGACAGCTGCTGGAACGCCCCTGTGCTTTGCGATGTCATGGTTTTCTTTGAGGTTGTCCAATCAGTACATATTCTGTACCCAAGGTATGCATCTCAATATTAAACTAGATGCCGGCCAAGTCTTAATGATGTATCACATGTACTGGCACAGAGACTGCTCTGGGGAGGGCGGACTGGGTATGTTCTGAATTTCGTTTCTTGATTCTCTGATGTTCTTTCTGCTCTTGGAAGCGTGAGAAACATCAGCCCAAGACCTGCACCATTTGGTGCAGGAACGCGTTCGCACGCGGGCCTACTACCTGTACGTGAACGGGTGCACAGATGACAAGAAGAATTACTTTCAGGTTCGATGGGATTGACAATCAATGAGTTGCCGCTGCCTGTAGGTTACTCCCTGGTCCCTGTCTCCAGAGAGACCCTCCCTAAATCCCAAGTGGTCCAATGCGCCGCACATCCGCTTCTTCATTTCTTTCGCGGTGTGTGAGGCCCTGCGCACAGAGCTGGACTTGGCAGCCAGCAGCTTCTAGTGGCCATGATATGCCACAAGGCGTCCGAGAAGCATCTGAGATTGGCCATTGATGAGAGAGCGGTGCATGCCAGGCATCAGACCTTCCGGGAACGGCGGTTGAACATGGCAAACTACAGCAGGGGCTTGCATCGCAATTCGGACTGTCACAGACTTTCGCCACAAAGGGCAGAGGAGGACTTTTCGCCTTGCGTGACAAAGCATGCGCGCAGAGGTCACAGAACACACAAATGTGAAATGTGAAATGCGACTAATGTCACACTCCGAGAGCACTGCAAAGCTTGCTCCGCCTTGGATGTGGGGTTCGAGAGGTCACCTTGAGCTTTGATTTGGTACTAAATTTACTAGATGGTCTCTGTCGGTTCTCGGGTACCCTTTCCTGCCCTGCCACTATGTACATTGTGGGGTCTGTTGGCCAGCAAGGTGGGTCATCGATTAATCTGCAAGTGCCAACGTCACCACGTCACCATGTCAGGGAAGCGCCGACAACTGAAGGCATGTTTTACCTGGCCGAGGCTGTTCGCCTTCACGGAAGCAACCTATAAACTTTTGTTATCTTTTGTTATCTGGATGTATTGAGACCGTGATGTGTAGTGTTTGAGAATTGGGCGCCTCTGACACGGCACTTGGTCGACTTAGCCCTCTGAGCGGGTGGAACAATTCAGATATGCAGCAAACGGGAGATGTTTGAAGACTTCTGTCTCACTCAGCGTCGGCCTTGTTAGCTTCCCGCTCGGGTCAAGTCGCCCGCTTGCGCAAAGCATTTTCATTTGAGCTTCGGGAGGCTGAGAAAGAATTTCTTGGCATTCCCCTTTTGCCATTTCACCTCGTAGATACAGGACAGGAGGATGTGCTCGAGGTCAGTTGGGGAGGACTCTTGTCGAAGGGACAGCCTCCAGTTTCCGACAACAAGCCGTCACATGCTTCCGGGCCTTCAGCAAGTAACGCAAGTATTGGCAAGCGGCGCAAGTGACAATGCGCAGTGCAAGTCGTAGATCCTCAGAAGCCTCGATGCAGGCCCTGCTAGTGAGCAGACAGCCTGGCGAAGCACAGGCAGGGCGGGACAATTCACACGCAATAAAACGTACGTTAAATACCCTGCGTGAAGTGTATATCCTTAAGCTCCTATGCATCCCCTATGCTGTGCATAGCAGCCAGTACTAATCAGTACTACATCGTGGAAACATGCATTAGCCATCACTAGCCTGTGGTTCACCTCTGTTCGTCCTGTGCCGTGACAGACGGAAGCGTGTGCTTTTCGGCGACCGGTGCTCTTGTGTGCATGATCAGAAAGCGTTTCCAGCTTTTGTGAAACGGTGTCGGAAGGTCGGAAGAGAGCTAAGTTGCCCCCTTCGCATGATCCCCACTAGGGGTTTCTCTCTAGGATACAGAGTGCGAAGACGAGTGTGTGAAGTGCCTTCAGAAGGATAGACTCCGATAGACTCCGAGAACTGGTTAAACAGTCACTTGACGCTAGGCCGGGCTCCGTCCCCTGACGCGAGTGGAGTGGCAGCCAAAGTTTTCTGAGTCGGGGTCAGTCTCATGCCCTCTTGTACGAGCAGCACTCATTGAATGCAGCAGAATGCAGACTTCTTTATTACATCTCACGATGTTTCCGATGTGCCAAGTCCGAGCCGCTTCGATGCCAAAGTCGAGCGACTTGGAGTCTCCGGCGGCAGCGCAGCCTTTTTCAAGCCCGGCCCTAAGCCCTGAAAGAAGTTGTGAAATGTTGTGGGGTGTCGTGGAGTGTTGTGGACTAGGGAGTCAGATGAGCCACTCTGGGGACCTGACAGGGGACCTGACAGGTTGCACAACCATGCCGCCTTTGGATTGTGAATGCCTGCAATCCCTTTGCAACGGGGACAACAACGCACAACGGCAGCAATGGCTCATGCTGGCTCATTATATTAATATATCGAGTCATGGTCGCTGTCTGTTTGCAGCAAACAGGTGCGCGCAAGCCCCTAAAGCTGTAGCAACGCTGCAAAGCACCCAGCAGCACGCAAGCAGCCACATTCACTGCAATTTTGCAGGCCGCAAACGCAAAGACATGCAGAACCAAACTTACATGGGCATATCCGAACACTTCAACACTGTTGCCGCAGCTGTAGCATCTTCGCTTTGTGGCTCCATTTAGATTTCACCGTCTGGTGCGCAAAGCGTAGTGACACTCCTGACACGTTTCATAGTTGTGAGCACATGTTGTCCATGAGTTAGTATAGTGGTCACTACGCAGATGCTGTGGGGCTGCCAGGGCTATCGTACGTGAGTATGCTGCGCCCACTTCTTTATCAGGCTTTGCCTGGCAGAGCCTACAGCGGCACGGTCTGGTGCTCAGCTTTGACATGAAGCACCTGTGTCACTGTGTCCATGAAAAGCTCGCACGAGGCCGGTCGACTATTTCATTGGTGGCACGCTCAGTTCTCACCCCTGAGGTAGCCGAGTGTTCAAGCATTTGTCAGTAAATCGCCACCTTCGATTCAGAACGCCCCTTGAATGAGGCAAAGACCTGAGCCACGCAGAGGACGAAGTCAACTTCTACGAAGAGGTACGCACCACCTAGTTCGTACAGTTTCAGAATACACAGGCACTGCATTATGCAACTTGTTTCCGCAGCTCTTCCTTTACGAAGCCATGATGTGGACGCAGCAAAAGCCTGAGACTTGATTAGGGTCACGCTGCAGGCACTCAGTCTTCGACTTGGCAGCAGCTTGGGACCACTTCTTGGTCCAGGGGCCAAGAGACTTCAAGCAGTTGAATTGAAAGAGATGAACAATCAAAGATGAGCAGATGCCATCAATGCCCTTTTGAATTGGGTACATTTCTTTACACAGCCTAGTCACTCACAGGTTACACCCTGGAATACGCTGGAGTTCTCAGCTGCTCGGAGGACCTGCCGAACAGATCTGCATATGTTGCATGAAGCAGACATGTTCAACATGTTCAACAGCATGGCGCAAGCCCAGAAGGTACCCAACAAAGCCCCTCCAACTGAGCCCAGAATAGACGACGAAGGAGGCGCCCTCCGAAGATGAGAAGCACAGTGAGCTCCTGGCGCCTGGCTCAAGTGCTTTTGCTGCCAGCGGTAGCTAAGCCTTTAACTTTCTAGCCTTCAAAGTCCGGGAAAACAGAACACCATTGGAGACGGAGGTTATGCGAAACTTGCGGTGTGGATGCTCCAAGCTGGGGCCTTGAACGGTTCTACACTGTTGCCAGCTCTGCTCTCAAAGTTGTACACAGTGACTATAACTCGATGGCTCAAGGTTGCGCCTTTTGGATATCAAGATCGGCCAAAAAACCGCACAGGCTTTGTTTGGCATGAGCCGCTTTCATCCGATTTCTCTTTGGAGCAGTTGCCATGATTCGATGAGTCGAAGCTGACAAGGCCGGCTGGCAAGGGAAGTCCCGGGCGGCTGCCTTGCGCCAGAGCCTTGTGGCCAGACCCTTACTTCGGGGGGCCTCCGGGAGGTGCGGAGGCACACTGTGCATGTTGATGGGACCGGGACCCGCAGTGTTTTCACAGCCTCAAGAAGCCGGATGCACACCCGGCACCGGCGAGGCTCCGAGACTTCACAAGTCGTATTTTCCCAGGCATTGCAAGGTGTGAAGGCATGAGAAGGGCGTACTTCGAGTCCTGTGAATCATGATGCATCATGTCATTACCATGTTTCGCCTTATGGCAACTCCTGGTTCGCTCACGTGCGTGCCTTGCTCTTGGCTTCAGGATGTCTCACCATAGTTGTCCTAGACCATGCCTGACTGGCTCGACTGTACATAATGTCCGCTGATCCCCATGGCTAACAAAGATGTCGAACAGAAGCTTTGGAAGCAGAGGATCTCTAAGTGAGAGCGAGCGCAGCGAGATTCTTCATCCCGAGCTCCATGAGCTCCCGGACATCCAGGACATCCAGGACATCCAGGCTCCCGGTGATGTAGAGGACCACGACCTGCACCTCAATGCAAAGCTTAACGCAAAGCACCTGGCATACGACTGCTCGAAGAGTGTCGCACAAGCGGTGGGACACCCGCTCAAGGGGCCGGAGCTGGTACTGCGCATTTGGGAAAGCACGGCCCTTTCCATTTCTAAAGACATGGAAGGTGGAAAGAGCATTTTCTTGCCTGGCTTGGGCACGTTTGGTTTGTCGAGGGTGCAGAGGTCGCAGATTGTTTTTGCGCCTGTTGTGGAGTTCTTTCGCCAGCATGCGCTGGACGTGTCAGGCTTAGCAGCTGAGAAGGAACTCTGCCCTCGGGCGAAGCATTCGTTATCAGCAGTGGCTAGGGTCTTTGAGGTCAGTAAGGATATCGTGCAGCAGGCGCTTGCTGCAATGATATTCCGCATGGGACAGGAGATGTCTACAACTAAAAGCTTGGCAATCAGTTTTGCACCCCTCGGGTGCTTCTTGTGCAGCAACCGACAGCTGAGTTTCCGCCCTCACTCCCCTGAGAGTGATGTCACACAATCTGCTTTCGAAGCCACCATTCCTTTGCGGAAGCATTTGTCGGCTTTTGAGAAATCACCCAAGCAAGGCCGTGGGCGAACACGGACGCAGGCAAGGACAGATAGCAGTTGGCTGTCCCAGCCACTCGTTCTGAGGCCTCTCAGCGGACAGAAGCGCCCAACAGCTGACACCAAGATCCTGTACAAATCCTTGCCAAGCCAGCCGGTGACTTTCCCTGATTTATTGAATGAGTTTAGCCGCACCCAGGCACAGATTTCAAATTGCGCCCAATGACCCAAAGAACATTCCTGTCTCATGAGAGGGGCAGCTAAGCATCCTGCATCCCTGTCTAGGCAGCCCCATTCACTGGCGCAGACGACCCGGGATCGGTGAGCAGTCGCATTGCCACCAGCTTCACAAAGACGGCGCGCCTGACTTGGAAGCCGTTCGGAGTCCCTGCCAGGCCACTTTCCAGCAAGCTCCCAGCAACAATGCTGACAATGCTTTGATTGCATAAGAGTCATAAGAGTCAGTATGTCTTGTGCTGTAGACACTCAAAGGGCTGATAGGTGGTACGCGCAGAGTCTGCAAGGCCCATCCCAAGCATAAGTATTTGCCTCGTCTGTGGAGTGGAGGTCATTGCGGTGGCTACCACCAGAGTGCCAATACACTCTGGTCGAGATTGGAATTGACCACTCCAAGAAGTTTGCCGAAATCGTGGACGGCTCTCCAATGGACCATGAGATCGCTGAAGCACAGATCACTCGCGTCAAGTTCTACGAAGTATTGTACCGGTACCATCACTATCTGGAAACCATACCAACATCGTACTTGGCCCCATTCAGCAACGCTTGGAGAGAGAATATTTTGCAGCTTTTGCAGCTTGCTCAAGTGACTCAAGAGCAAAGCCTCGGTGATCCAGAAGCCATCGAGCTGATGGAGGAGATGTGGCAAGAAGTTCTTGAAGATTATCACATGGCACTCAGAAAAGTCGTGGCTGAACATGCGCTGAGCGACCAGCTTCGGAAAAGGACGGGCGTTCTTTTTGTGCCCGATCCAGTTCCCTTGTGGGGGACTCAGCCTTTTCTAGGCATCGAAGGGACAGCTGGTGGCCTGCCCGAGAACTGGGAGAGCATAGCACACGTGCTAAAGGCAGCATCAAGCCTTGTCCCTTGCAGCGCTGCATCTCTGGGACTCCTTGATTTGTGGCACCGCAAATACCACCACCTCTTATTGGTGGATTTGCCTGAGCTTGGGAGCCCTCTCCTAGACCTGCAGTCCTTCTGCCAGGCCCAGGCCCAAAGGATCAAGGATGTTCGGCAGTGCTTGGAAACGGAGTGGCTCCTTGAAGCAATGGACGTTTTGGAGAACAGCCAGGGCCCTTGCCCGTTGACTCTGCTGAGCATCCAGTTGAGGAGTGTGGTCGACCACAGCATAGCTGCTTTTGTAAATTTTTTCGGGCGCTTTGGCCGTGGAGAGAATGAGGCCTTCCTGCGAGTGGGGCTCCAGGCGGATGGCCCAGACATAAAGTTCACAACCTCTTTGGAGGAGGTTGAGATTTGCCTGATACAAGTCTTCAAGAACTTCGTGGTGAGTCTGAACGACCTGAGGCTCCCAGACACTGCACAGAGAGGCTCCTCAATAAAGCTTTGGAATGTTTCGCTGGAAGAGGGCTATGTGCGGCAGGCAGAGGAGAGAGTCACTGTGACAATGCGTAAGAATCTGGCCGCACTGATTGAGGCCCTTGCACCCTTTGATGCTTTCAAGCATCTTCTGGTTGAGGATGCGCGAATCAAAAAGCTGTCGGAGGATAGTCTGACACAGGACCAGGTCATGCATGAAGTGAAGACTCTTCGAGCAACTCAAGCAACTATTCGGGCCCACTGCCTGGAGGAGATTACGTTGCCAATGGTCTCCATCCATTGCTCTGAGATCAATGAGACCCTTTGTTGCAAAGCAGAGGAGGCGATTCACATTCTCATGGAGGCCGTCCTGCGTAGTCTCTTGTCGAGGAACGAGCAACTGTGCAAAAGTTTCGAGATGGTTGTGAACCAAATGGTGAAAAAGCCGACATCTGAGATGGAGCTGGTGGATCTTGAAATGTATGTCGAGGAGTTTCGAGGTTCTGGACTTCAAGAGCTTTTGAAGGAGTTCGACAGTATCCGTGAGTGGCTCTCGTTCTTGTTCCGATGCGAAAACGAGTTGCTCCTCACCCTGTTGCAAGAGCGCCACTTCCAGGTCATATACGACTCGGCCATCTGGGTAAGCTCCATTAACGAGCGGGTCTGCGAGCGTGAGGTAAACCTGAAACGAGAGCGCGAAGCGCTGGAGAGCAAGTTCAAGGAGCAGAGAAACAAGTTCTTGGAGGACTTGGAGGGATATAACGAGCAAGTGGAGCAGTTCAAAGACTGTGGAAATCTACGGCAGGTTGACGAGTATCTGGAGCGAATTCAAGCACTGAAGAACAACTTCAGCAAGGCCCACGTGGAGGCTGAAAAGCTTAATGCAAAAGAACGACGATTTGGGTGGGAAGTAAGGAGTCCCTTTGAACAGTTGAAGCGTGGCGAACAAGCCTTGGAGCCGTACCATTCTCTCTGGACTCTGGCCTACAACATGGATCGAAGTATGAGGGCCTGGTTGAAAGGTCCACTTTTTGATCTGGATCCTGCCAAGGTTGAAGTGGAGGTTCGGGGTATGAGAAAGGAGGCAGCACGAATGCGAGAAGTTTTCCTTACGGGTGGTGGTCGCATCTATCCAGATGATGCGGCAGTGAAAATCCACGTGGGAACAGCTGACGATGTAGATGACAAAGACAAGCCGCTCCCGATGCCAGCTCTGGTGGCTCAGCAGCTAAGTTCGCAAGCGGCTGTCATGCATGAGAGTCATCTCAAGCTACTGTATTCTCTCTGCAATCGGTGCCTTCAAGCTCGTCATTGGGAGCAGATTTCCAGCATCATCGGCTTTCCACTTGAGCCGGACAATAGCTTTACACTTACAAAAGCTGTTGAGATGGAACTGGGTGATTATGCAGAGGAGCTGCAAGAGCTGAGCGATGGGGCGACCAAGGAGCATGCGATAGAGCTTGGAATGGATGCTATGGAGGAGGAGTGGCGGGGTCTGCAATTTGACCTTGAGCCCAGCAATGGGACTTTCATCGTCTCGAAGAGATGCTTGGAGGAACTGCCAGCTGTGGTCAGGGATCATCAGTCTCGAACCAGAGAGATGTTGAGTTCGTCGCATGTTCAGGCACTCCTGCCGCGACTACAGGATTGGGAAGCGTGGTTAGGCAGGATGTTTGGCATTTTAGAGCGCCTAATCGCCCTCCAGGGTTTGTGGACATACTTGGAGCCCCTCTTCACTGGCCGAGACATCTACAGGCAAATGCCAGCTGAGATCCAAACCTTCCGTAGAGTGGACAAATTCTGGCGGCAGCTGCTGCAGGTCATCTCGCAACAGTCCTTAGCCGGGGACGCGTCCCGGCTTCCGAACCTGACTGAGCAGCTGAGTGATGCTTGCGTAAAGCTCGAAACCATCAAGCAGGGTTTGCAGGAAGATGCTCCATGGGCATGCTCACCAGGCGTACCACAAGAGTGATGGCAACGAAGCTTGTGTTTTTGCCGCGGGCAGTTGCACCCAAGTGCTAACAAGAGCCGTATGTTTCACTGGCTGCCAATGAGCCCAAAACCCTTCCCCCTTAGTGGGAAGGGCAGGGCTCTAGGAAGCCAAAGTGCGGAGTGGTTGCGGAAAGTCTGGTTGCCACAGGTTGCCACATCCATGTTGCCTTGCCACACATCTTGCCAGTCAATTCCTTGGACACGACGGATCCTTCCCTCAGCTTGAAGGAAGAACAAGCGTTCTTTTCTGCTTGACTTTGTCCTCTGCCCAGGATGGCATCACCAACTCCAGCTGTGAGGGCTTTCGATTGGAGGCGCTCTCTCCCTTCCTGTCCAATTAGGGCAACACTGTCACAGGCGAGCTGGGGGCATCGGGCTTGAATCAATGACTTGCCCCGTCAAGTCACGAGCTGTCAAACTTTCAACATGACAAACACGGTTCGGAACTTTGTGATGCAAGTGCAACAAAGAATAACGCCAACATGCCATGCAGAACTGCAAGGTTTGTAATGCCGCCACTTCTGCTGTACAACATGCCAGGGCTTCGATGGACGACCGCCTGCGTTGGAATCCATGGACTGCCTGTTAGGTCTGACACTATTTGGCAGTGCCTAGATTTCGGGAGCGCAGGGTGACACGTGTTCACTAGCTTGCCTCGTAGCTGCAATGGAGGCGTGCATGGTTCATAGTAGCGTTCAGGATTGGAGATTCACACAGGACCCGCTGCTCGACATTGGCATGACTGGCAATGCCAAAATGGCGAAGAAGGCCTGCAGCTTATGGGAAGGAACATGCCCACATTATCCATTTACGGGGTGGGGGCCTGCAGTAAGATGCTATGTTGACTGCTCATGGAGATATGATCTGATGAAGACCCTCAACATCCTAACCAAGTCCAGCTCGAATCCGAACAAAGTTCGGACAAAAAGTATATAGGGGAAGGGAGAAGGGAGCCGACTTGTGGCATACGGCCACTGCCACCCACACTCTTCCCGCCGGGCATCATAGGCCCCCTTGTTGCCGGAGGTTTCAAGTGGGGACTCCAGCCTTAAGTCACGTGTGCCATATGCTGAATGAATGAGATTCTATTCTATTGGGAGCCTCATTCCTGGGGGCGGGGGGGGGGGGGGGGGGGGGGGGACGCACCGCGAACCGGGATCACATCTCATGCGTCTCATGCATACACGAAGCATTTGTTTGCTCAGGCTCTTCGCGTGATGTTGCAGCGAATGACGGCGGCTCCGTTCTTGGCGTATCAACGAATGCCTAAGGGCCGTCAACCAGGGATTCCTGACTCAGGCTACGCCTGTATATGCCTGAATGCCACCTAAAGTGCCTGAAGGATCTTGACCTGCGCGATTGCTACCACAATGTTGCGGCCTAGACTCGACTAAGGCAGAAATGTTGGTGCATTTCTGGGATGTGCACCAGGAGCCGGTTGTCAGGTGCTCAGCGAGATTTCAGATCACTACTTGCTCTGTGGGCAAATGTCGAATTGAAAAAGTAAACTGGGCCACATGCTTTTTTCAGGATGTGGACAATGCCGGATTGGAGGGCACGCTCTGCGCGACAGAGGCCTGAAGAAGGAAAGGGCTGTATGGCTGTATGGCTGTATGCTGTCTGGGGATTCATGCGGGACTCGTCATGAGATGGCCGGTTGAATAGCTGAATACAAATTGAATCATGCAACTGTATGCAAGGTTGCGGAGCTGGTGGCCCATGAGGTGGTTCGCCAGCTCGCTGGACTCTGTGTTGCGCTCGAGCCACAGCATTCTGGGCGTTGAGCGATGATCGCAACAGCTCCAGATGCTCCAGTCTGAGGTGTCGTCGCTCGCCTGTGCCACAAAAGTGGCTGCAGCCCCAGCACATTCCAACAGCCTGGCCCTGCCATGCGATGTTGTCGGCCACTTGTAATTACAACACCCACAGTCTCAGGATTGGCAGCTCAGTCGGCCTCGGCTTCGACTGCGGCCGCTTGCCATCTCGGGCAACAGGGGAAGCAGAGCCCCCAGTGAAGAGATGATGAGAGACAACTCTACGAGACTATGACACATTGTGACATAATCTGCTCTTCAGACTGCGCGCTCGTGCACGGATGTGCAAAGCTGCCGGCGAAAGAGCAAAGAGCCTTCTGAGGAGGAAGTCCGAAGAGCCACAAAGGTCCACACTTTTGTCGCGACCCAAGCTGCTCAAGCTTACAACTTTACAAAGCGGCGATGCAGATCATTGTCATGTTTTCAAAGACTGTTTGTTCGCGACCAGGACCTAGGAGCTGCGGATTGCTTCGGCAAAAACTGCTATCTGCTATCACTGCTATCTATTGCCAGTTGCGTAAAGTTGAACGTTCTCCAAACCATTGCCGAACCGCTGCAATCGAGCCTGACCAGTCCGACGAAATCTGAGACCCATCAACAACCCATACGCAAGCTTGCCTGGCTTCGGAGAACAGGCCGTTTGTGGTGCTTGCATGTGCTTGCAAGGATTGAATCAAACTGTCAGCTGTTCCTTGGCGCTTCATCGTGACAACCTGCTTTCCGGGACAAGCCTGCTAATTAAGGCTTCTAGCTGTGCATCGCTCAGGGGGAAAATGGGTTGCATAGCAGCTTGTGGGGAGGGGCGGCCGCCCATCACGAAAGCGGGAATGCCGGGCCCACGCATCGTAGCGTGTGGGGGAATAGTTGGAGGGCATTGAGGGGCATTCGCACCGTTGCTGCATGCATCTATCTATGTCCACGTGCCCTTGCCTGAGGTGGGCACTGTGTTCTTTAGTTTGGTGAGTGTTTTGTATCGTGACTCTTCCTCTTCCCGTTCCTCTTCCTCCTACACCGACGCTTACTACTGGCATTACTACATCCAGAACGCACGGTAGCCTGTGCCAGACATCGCGATAGCACAAGCGAGCTCGATGAGCTCGTTTTCATGTAAGCGCGCACGGGCCTCCTGATGCGCCGGATTTCTGTTGCGCTGCGCAGGCACAGCACGTGAGAAGCTTTACTCCGAACGACTCTTGTTTTCCCAGTCGTTCTCCACGGCCTGAGGATGGCCGTGGATCCATGAAAATCATGATGGGCAAGAGCAGCCCCAAGCCCCAACAGACAACATTGGGAGCCCTAAGCCCGAAACACAGGAAGGCATTGTGGGCATGAGAAGTGACATGTTCGTCATGTCATGTGACATCTGAAAATGTGAGACGTCTCATTGGCACATGCTAAACTCCGCTAACGCCGCTAACCCAAGACCCCGTAGGCCCGTAGGGCTTTTCTCGGGCACAGCAAGGGGTCCCCTGGAGTCCATGAACTGTGCTCGAACTCCCTTCGGAGCATCGCCTCGAGCAGTTTTCAGTCCGAGGACTGGGGACGGTCTGAGCTCAACACCATGGACAAGCACATGCTGCTGAGCGAAAAGGTGCCTCTGCCATGAACCCAAACCTCGATTTCGGGGTGTAAATAAAGTTGTCACCGCAGTCGGAGCTGAGCTGTACCTTCCAGCAAGCCTTGTTCCCAGAGCATGTCTTGACAGGACCAGCATGACAGAGGCGAGTTCTGGAGATACTACATGGGTGGCGTCGCGCCGTCCTTGGACATCTGCATTCAGAGCTCAGATCTTCAACTACAAGCACCGCAAGAGATGCACGACGGGCGCACTTCAGGGAAGCGCGCTGACTAGTTCAAAATCGCGACAACGCGGCACCAGCCATGCATGGTGTGCAGTCGCTTAGTGTGTGTCAATCAGAAATCAGACTTCGGCAGCCGGCTTAGGCACTCACTGATGGGTCTCAACTTCTGCGCTGAGGATCGACTTGCTTGGGAAGCAGCAAGAGCCTACAAGCACAGATTCGGCTGCACGACAAGGTGGTCATTGCGGGTATCTATTCCTGCAAAAAGCGGCATCGATTTCGCTTGACTCTTCATGCATGCCTGGTCATGCCCTACATTGTAGCACCCATCCCACAAGCCGAATACCATAACGCCTCCTAAGAGCCTCAGGGGCTTGACAGAGATCATGTTCAATGCACCATTCCTGCCAACATAGTTGGCACTCCCAAACACCGACAAACACACAAACAAGCATGCTCTATGATACTGTAGATGTTTTTGAAGACTCGACAAGGCAGACGTGCAGATTCAGTTCCTTTCATCTTGCGAACCGTGAAACTGTGAAACAACAGCACAAGATGTGTGAAATGAAAACCGCCCGCCAACACCCTGTGTGAAAGCAGTAGAGGAGCGGGACCCTATGTACAATCCACCAGTGGGACCCTATGTACAATCCACCAGTGACATTTCAACTGATGCACGTTGAGTCCACGCAAATGTTGCTGTACACTGCACCGTCTCGGCTTAGATTTCATGAGTTCCATCTCTCTCCCTGCAGCTGCATCATGGTGCCACCTCCCCCCCCCCCCCCCCCCCCCCCCCCCCCCCCCCACCCTCCACTGCGAGTGCAGCTTCTGCTGTTGCGAAACTCTGACTCGCACGCCCTTGTTCGTGAACAATCCGTGTTGGATTTGCAGCTGCTGCTTCCTTCAACTGAATGAATCGGAGTCTGGCCACAATGACGCGGAAACGCGATAAGGCCAAGGTTGAGTTTCCGGCTATGCTTAACAACTTAACATGGTCAGGTGGTCGATCATCACTTTCAAGCTCTGCGACTTCGACTCCATGCCATCGCCTTACTTGAGCAAAGCAGAGTCGCAGAGCAGCACCTGTATAACAGTGCGGGTTCAAAAAAAATGACCGACTTCGGGGGCCGGTCAGATGCCTTCCTCGGCCGACTGGACCTAGCTGCCTTTTTTTCCTCTCCAGTCTCGCCAGTCTCACGAATTGAAAGCTTGAAGTGTGCACAATGGGCACACCCGGAGAGCGCGGCAAGGGCATCAACCTCCCTTATTTTTTCCTTTTTTGCCTTATTGCCTCGCAGCAGAGAAAGGATTCAAAGGACAGAACCAGAGACTGGCTCAACCCACGGCTCGAGCCCCAACCCAGTGGCCAGGGGACCACCATCAAAGTGGAGAGTGAGAGAAGAGGCGTCCCTGAGTCACCTGTCCCCGTGCCTCTGCGCCCGCGCCTGCCATCGAGCCCCTCAACGAGCTGGCGCACGGCGCGTCTTCACTGCCCTGGTTCGGGAAAAGGGCGAGGGTGAGTCTGCAGACAGTGCAGCTCACGGAGATGGCGGACGACGAACAACGAGAACATGAACAAGGGGACCAACAACGGGTCAATTGTTGGCGTGCCGAGAGGAGGAGGAAGCAGCGGACGAGGAGTGGACGAGTACCGTCACCAAGACGGTGCTGACCAAGGCCGCTTGGTTCAGTCCGACTCCAAGGGACCAACATCACGCAGACGACGCCAATTTCACGAGTCCTCCAAGGAGCCACCAAATTAAATGGTCCGAGCACCCATGTAGGGAATGCATGTTTTTCCCAGCATTGACAGGGAAAGCAGCACGTCTTGACTTTCGCCTCAACACCTACGAAAAAAACGGCAAAACCTTCTCTGCTTGCCGCTCTCTCGCTTCTTTGTTGTCTCCCGCCGACCGGTCTGGACATGCGGTGCGCAGGGGATTTCCCCTTGAGCCCGGCAAAAGAAGAAGAAGAAGCAGAAGAAGAAGAAGAAGAAGAAGAAGAAGAAGAAGAATAAAATGACACTGTGGGACCGCTAGTTACGAGGGCCTTTGTGCTTGATGGCTCTGATGACTGGAGAGGGAGAGGGAGCTGGAGAGGGAGAGAGCGAGGGCGAGGGCGAGAGCTTGTAAGTTGAGTGACACACGGCAGGACTAGGGTGTGGACGCTGCATCTGAAGTCAAACCGGCGGGCTTGTGAATTTAGCGTGTTGTCAGCGGGGGCAAGTGCTTGCGCTCCTGTCCCCAACCGTTCCAACAGAATTTGAGCATTGACCGCCCAACAGGCTGGGGTGGGCAACCTTGCCCGGAGGCCTCGGATCCCTGAAAGCAAAACAGAAAGGAAAGAAAAAATGGAAAAGAACGAAAGGAAAAACACGTGGTATGACAATTTGTCCGCACAAACATGGTTCGCGAACGACGGCTGGTGCTACTGCTGACATGTGGCGCGATGGGTCATTTGGCTTGCAGCATGCAAGCAGCCAGCGATTTGTTGTGTCTGCCAGTGATCGAGGTCTGAAAACGACTTTATTGGCAGGCTGACAGTGCCCGTGGAGGCAGATCAAAATCACCCAACAACGCGTGAGCTCACGGATGCTCATGCCGCGATGGGCGTGCTGGAATTGATTGCAATTGCGCAGCGCACGTTGTGCATGAACATCATGAACCCCAAGTCGGAAGGAGACGCCAGAGACAACAGCAGACTTGAGCACAAAGGATGGGAACCATGCCCGGACCTCGGTTTGCTTGGCCCTGGCAGCGATGCCATTCTCAGACGAACAAGTGCACGAGAGGATACGAGAGGGATACGAGAGGGCATGAGAGGACGGGAGATCGCGCAACTAAGCACAGTTGCAGGTGGTCGGAGACTATGGCTTTCGTGGCTCCGCGACTTTGACCTACTCAATCACCTGGAGGCGCCTCTTCGCAAGAAAGAACGATCCAAGTCAATGACCCTTTTCAAACACTCGAGACACATGAGAGCGGTGCAAGTCTTTAATTCTTTTTCTCGCATCAAGGCCATACCCTGGGACGTCTCGGCTGGTTGGCTCGTGGAGAGTGCACCTCAAGCGAGCGACTTGTGTTTAATTGGGACCAGTGGTGCAGGGTTGGCACGTTGGGCTTAGAAAGGAAGGCTTGCGGGCGAGAGATCGAAGGCTCTGGTCAGGATAGGAGTCTGCTTGTTGAAGCCTGCTGAACTCAAGAGCTCGGGAAGGAATTTCCATGCAAACTGGCTGAAGCTCCGAACTTGTTCGTGAGTAATTGTTGAGATATACGAGTCAATGGATCAATGTAGCATGGGCTGTGTTGTTGCAAAAACATCCAACTACAGGGTTTGTCAACCGCGGCCTTGCAGGCACTCGCAGTATATCGTGCAGCATGTTGGCATGTTGCCGCAGTGCGCCGCAAGTGCTGAGCCTAGGCACAGCATCTCCCAAGGCAGGACAAAATGCAGCTGAGGACCACTTCGGGTCTTGGTAGCTTTCAGAAGAGCCGTTGCATGAAAGCGGCTCTTCCCTCGATTGTGGAGGGCATCTGTTAAGCCTGAGATGGGCGTTGGATATTTGCTGGAGCCCTCTGGACTCCAGGAACAGAAGATTGCTGAGAGACAGCAGAAGACAGCATGTCATGGACATCACAAGACAGGCACTTACCGCACAAGCTCAAGTCGCAGAATCGTAGACGCTCAGGAAGCATCCTCAGATTGGGCAATGCGCCGCAAGGTCCCAAAATGCCCCAAACATTTTGTAAATTGGACCCCTCTTCATCTGCTTGATGGCCACCTTCAGGGAACGCCATGGCGCCTGGAAAGCCCAGGGTCCAGTTCCGGGTTATGGAGGGCGCCGAGGTAAGGAGCCACGCATTTGCGCAAGACTTGTGGAGCAAGATCAAGAACCCCCAAGGACAACATCATGAATGATAGCTCGCTTGGTAATCCCCCTTGCAAAGAACACAAAACTAAACCCAGAAGCAACAAAAGGCAATACAAGGAAAAACAAGGCCAAACCTTCACACAATTTATGTACTTAATCATGGGCTTTTGGACAGGTATTTCTGGAGACTTCTACGCTCATGCAAGCACATGCATCCCAAAGCAGATGTTTCGACAAGTCGATGCTAAGCAGTGCTGTGCTCTCCCCCCCCCCCCCCTCCCCGGTGTCGGGGTTGCGAGCATCAGGCACAAAAGATGTTCACAGGGTCACGCTTTGCACCAAGTGCGGGTAACCTCAAAAGCAACGTAACACACCGAAACGACCCGCTCCGCGGTACGAGTCTTTTTAACGGCAAATCGTAGCTTTACCACGTAAATCGACGATGATTTGTGCAACAGCCATGTTTATTTTGGGGCTTTTCGTCACTACGTTGCAAGCAGGCGGTTCCGGTTTTCGGATGTTTTTAGGATATCCCGCAAGTGTCACAGTGCTCGTGCCCGAAGCGTGAGCTCCCCAAGAACACTGCGAGTTGTTTGGCATGTATGCCCTGTGGCCTAGATGCGTGGGCCTTGAAGGCATATCATATATCTAAACGGAATAGTTCAATAGCCGGGCACTTTGTCTGAATCCCCTGCGGATCCTCGAGAATTCAAAGACAGTCGGTATCAGTCGGCAAGGGCTCGGGCCCAGGCGACCATGGGGGGAGCTTCGGGAGTTCCCACAGTGCAAGAAAATTCACAAGTGCTTTGGGCATCCCTGCCCTGAAGGCCCTTGGACTTCGGGCTTTACGTCGCGAGTTCGGGCAGTACCCTGGCCTGCACAGCTGCACGGGTACAAGTTCCCAAGACCTTGAGGCATTGTGTTTTTTGCACAGCGCAGCAGGGTTCCTTACCAGGGCGTTTGGGCGATGAAATATGGTTCCGACCCGTGGGTTTCAGGGACTGCAATTTCGCAGATTCAGATCGTACTCGTACTTGACGCAAGCAAGCCTCCAAGACTACCCCAGCATAGATTTGGACCAGAACTGAGCAGCTAACATCCGACTGCTACTCTAGCATTGGGGCGGGGCTCTACCATCATTTGCAGGAATCTACTATGACAGAAATGCCGCGGCTGCGTGCCTGGTCACGGGGCTTTTTTAGCAGAAACTGCAACGGAAAGTAGCGGAGGAGCAGCAGCAGCAGCAGCAGCAGCAGCAGCAGCAGCAGCAGCAGCAGCAGCAGCAGCAGCAGCAGCAGCTGCAAGGTCGAAAGTCTATCAGCTGACCATCATCCAATCATGGACCCGGGCTCCAGAATTGCAGGGGTGTCAGAGATTCAATGAGTTTCACACTGAGGCCGGAAAAGGTAGAATTTGGAAAGCGGCCTGCCAAAAAAGGTGAATTTAATCTAGCGCACGTAGAGCATCGCCCTGCGTCTTGGGGAGTTCTTGTGCACCATGATGTCTGCAGTCACAAGCAGTTCATCTTCGTCATGCTTGGGATTGAATAGGGCCGTTAAGGGAGTCTGAGAGACATCAAGGTGTTCTTCATCGTGTGGCGAATGTTTACCGGCCGGATTACCGGGGATCACGGGAAGTGGCTCTAAGATGGTCAGAGTGAGCTCGGCCACAACAAGGTACGGAGAAGTCGTTTGCGCACTCCTCCGAGTCGATTCTGCTCGGTTGCCAATCCTAGTCGAGATCGAGTTCGCCAGCTCCAAAGATACCTTACGGGTCAAGAGCTGGACAGGCACGTGTGCGCCCTGTTCGGCAGGGACTCTCTGCGTAGGCTGCATCTTCGGAGGTTTTACAATAGTGTCTGTGACACAGATGTGTGTTTTGCCAACAGGGCCGTCGACTCGTCGTAGACTCCCCAGCTCTGCCATTTGCACGTATGAGAGCACAGAGCATTGTCGCCTGGAGGTGAAGGCAGCCACCTGCCTTTGTACAAACCAGAAGGTCTCGTAGACGCTTTCCGCCGTGATGCGGACGCTGCATTTCTGTGCTACGCAGTGCCGCGGCCGCGGCTGTGGAGTATGGTTGGGTTCGTCGTTCAAGCACAAGTGCTTTTTGCACGTTGGAGCCAACGCATCGTTGGGTCACAAAGTGCTTTTCCGGGTGTTGCTCACAGGTTCTACGTGTGCGAATCACACAATCCCAATGATCTGAGGATAATTTCGACAAGAAAGTGAATTCCTTTCGGGACCTGGCCTACTTCTCGCAGTATGTAACTGACCCTTTGACCCAAGCAGTCAGCAGGGAAACATGCGGAGAGTAAAGTGGAAGGCAGACAGAACCAAGGCAAAACACAATAAGCACTTACTCGGGTATCGAAGGACTGGTGCTCCGCGAGCCTCAAGACCTGCTCTTTATGTTGGTCGCCGACTCGAGGTGCCAGACATCGAAACAGCACAATTGACCACTGAGGAGTTAGCTTGGATCCTAATTTGTGTCAGGTGTCTTTGCGCAGATGGAGTGTTGCCAGAAGGCAGATCAAGAAAGAGTGATAAGCCACCTGGGCATCATCTGGGTGCGGCTGCATGTTTGATTGCAAATTTTGTTTGCCGGTTTTCCTGGCTGGCATGAATCGCTCGGTGCTTGTCGTGTCGGTCTTCTTGTGACCGAGGCAAGCTTATGACTGAACTCTACGGCACCAAGAGACTGTCGGTCTCGTCCGTGACCGGTGGAGATTACCACGGTGTGAGCGTTGCCTGGCGGCTGTTCCGACATGTCCGCAAGTCTCCTTACGAATGGTTTTTCCCAATCGTATGAAGAAACTCTCGGAAGGAAAAATCATACCGAGTGGATTGGTCCGTTGTGGCATCAGAAGCTGCCGTCGCTGGGATTGAGAGCCTTGGCGCTCTGATAAACAGTACGTGCTGGACAAATTGCTACAATCATGTGGCAGAAACGGTTCCGCCGTAGCTTAGGCACCGTGAAGCTGAGAAGCTAAAGAAAATCGAAAAGGCTGCTAGGAAGGCTGCCAGGCAGGGTTCGGCAAGCTCACGTTATCAGCGACAGTGGATGTTTGCTCACTTGCTGGGCAGTCGTCAGGGAGAAGAAGAAGTCCAAGAAAAGCAAAAAAGATAAGAAGCACAAGAAAAAGAGCTCAAAAAAGAAGGCATCCTCTGTTGAAGATCTGAAGACGTGGTTGCCCTAGCGATCCCGCCAGTCAAGAGGACAAGAAGAAAGACAAAACAAGCAAGGCCCATGAAAAGCATGTGTCTGAAGATGAGAAGGCCGCCGGCGTAGCTATTCGTGCTGCAGTCGCGCTCCTCGCCATTCGTCACACCCCCTCACATGGTGACGGAGGCGCCTCCAGCACCTCCACCAAAGGAGGAGCACCATAGAGACGATCCTCCAACTTGCATCTTGCAAAAATTTGCAAAACATTGAAAGCGTCAGGCGATGATGCAGGAGCCAGACAGTCCGAATCAGGCCAAGTTTGCCTGGGAAGACCCTAGCTCTGCTTCAACCAGCTCCTCTTCAGTGTCAACGCGGCAAGAAGCACCACTTCTCGTTTGCTTTAGCATACATGAGCGTTGGCACGCTTATCAAGCTTAGGTGAGGCCGGTGAAGAAGCAGAAGACCGTGAAGGCAAGAAGTCGTGTGCTTTATCATATCATGGTTCAACGCGAAAGACTCTAGAAAGTCCGAGACTCTGCTGTGGAATTGCATCGGTCGGCTGCATTTCATTGCTGGATCTGGCGGGTGAACCAGTTGCTGTTTCCGGTCATGCCAGAAAGTGGATGGAATGACTTTCAGGCAGCATGCCATTTGGGGGTTGTCTGTCACTATAAAGACTCGCCCATAGAATTTCATGAACTGCCCTATTGGCCCAATCCGGCAGTGTTGAAAAGGCTCCAAGGAGGGAAGCGACCGAAGGCACCAGAATGCGGCGTAATCAAACACGATGTGTGTAGTATAGGGCTTTTAGGCTTGAAAGGGTTCTATACCTAAGGTTGAGTAGTGCGCATGCAATAGTATGTCCAGGCGTGCACCCAACAAGCCTGATGCAAACGTGTTGAGGGCTTAGGGGTCATCGATGCGTATTCTCCCGAGATGGATCGTGCGTCGCGACTTGCGCTCAAGATGTCTCATTCAGTATATTCTCTCCTATGCAGTGAAGTCAGTGATACATGTGTTCAGAAACTGGAGGCCTTGGAACCTCCTTGCTGTGTGAAAACCGCATGGCCTGAACATGTCCGGGCGTACTGTGCCCTTCCAAGCCTGCACAAGGGTTTTGGGTTTAGCGTGAATTCGGACGGACCTTGATGTGAAAGCCACTGAGACGCAAGGCAGGAACGGGAAAGATGGCTTTGTTGACGACATCTTCAAGCTCAGAGTGAGGGTGTGATGATAGCGCTGGGCTAAAAGGTCCTCACAGTTCTTGCAAAAACCTTGAGAGCTGTTTTCAGTTCAAGTATCCACATGCATCCATCTCTCTTGGCAAGGACGACCTCGGACCCAATGTGTGAAATAACCGTGCCGGGGCAGCACAAGGTAGTTGGAGCTGGGTGCCATCTCCCAATAAGGTGGGGTCTCTTGTTGACGTGTGCTGCAGCACGTGACTGTGGCTGAGGCCTGCGCCGAGGCCGGAGGGCTGTTGTGCCATCGCCAAGTCAGCAGTGTCAAGGTTCGGCCCAAGCCTTGGAGGGTCACCGAACCGAACGACCGGGGCCATGCTGCGGATATTCACAGTGTGAAATTACTTGAAATTTCATGGAAATGCTTGAAATGCAGATCTTTCTTGAGTTCAGCCCGGGCATGAGCATGCTTGAGCCATTTCTCATCTCCCCAATTTATGTCGAGGGTCTAGCATGCAAGTTGAGGAACTTGGATCCAGAGTGGGAAGAGTTTTTTGACTTGCCCATTGCCGCTGAGCCTGACAACCTGGAGGTGGGAGATAACATACATACAGAGGATGCAGGGGCTTGGAATCAAGAGAAATTGGAAGAGTTCTTCTTGGGACTGTGAGGACATATTGAGCGAAAACTGTGGCAGGGAGTAGGCGCGCTCTAACTATAGAAGAAGTGGATCCGAGAGGCAATAAACATATAATATAATGAAATGCCTCCAGGACCCTGGGGGATTGTGAGATTTTAAGCTCAACTCTTCTCCTCGCCAATCACCCGTCTCTCACCCCAGCATGTCCCCAGAGTGGCCAGAAAATTCCCCCAGTGCACGCAGAGTATCCCTGGAGCCCTGGAGTGCCTTTAAACTCAGGGCATCCACAGAATTTCCCTGGAGTGCCCAACCCCAGCGTGAGCCCGCAAATTCCTCACCTGCAGCGTGAGGATGTTCGAAGTCAAGACGTTGTTTACATTGTTTGTTTCGTAATTCTAATGATAATGTTGACCTTACTAATGGGCTGGGACGGTGATCCTCGGGTCGCGTGGTTGGTGGTTTCTTGTTTGCGGAATGGCAGTGGAATGGCTTGATTCTAACGGGGTCGGACAGTTATACTCGCGCCGTCGGTTGGCGGTTACTAGCTTCCTCATTGGCTGCATGTGGCTGTTTCTGAGGTTGATTTTTCTATTGGTCTTTCGTGATATTCCAACCATGCGGCTTGGAGAAGGGGTTTGCCTCTATGTTTGTTGACTGTGGATTCTCTGTTGGCGAGTGTGTATTCCGTACTTACTGAATGTGATGTTGCCCACCTCAAGAGTTTTTCGATGCACGCCAAAGCCCAAAGTACAGACCCTGCACTGCCAGGCTGCATTAGAAGGTGCAGCTGTCGGCTTGGCCTCGGGATCGGCACGAAGCTCGGAAGACTTTGAACACAGAACCTCTCAGGGAAGAACACATGCAAGTGGGAGTCCTGCAGGTTGCGGACATTTTCCCGTACCACTGCCGCAATTGAAACAAAGAGCCCTGAGAGATTCCGTCGAGCACTGAAGAGTTTTCTATTTGCAGGCCGGAAAAGATGCCGCTTTGGCAGAAGGCCAGGGCTTTCATGCACTCCTCCGCAGATAACTGAATATATTTGGAAACAGACCGTAGCTGGACATCGTGCATTCTTGGTGTGTTCGTGTCTCAGGAGGGGCTTGTGCCCCGTCTTTCTGGCTCCAAGACGCCATCGAGGTTTGAAGCTCCTGCTGGCTACTCTGTGCAAGCCCTGATGCACAATGACAGGTGGTCGTCCTGGACGGAAGCCAATTCAGACACCGAAGCGCTGGAGAAAGGACTTGATAGCTGGAGGTGCAAGAACATGTAATGACACCCAAAATCTGACTGGTGTTTGAGAGAAGCTAGGCGGCAAGAGGCCGCATTTGACGTGGTGTGCGCTTTGCGCAGGTCACGCTTGGACGTTGCCAGTGCGACCGTGGATGCATACGGCTTAGAATGACGCAAAGGCTTTCGCAGCATTCGTTCTGGGCATGAGATGCCCAATTTCTTCAGCTGCGCATATTGCCTTAAGTAAACACGAGAAGGCCATGCCTCCTTTCCAAGAGCCGAATGGACAACATTCCCTTGAAAACATGTCGCGATCATTCCGGCAAAAAGGGGTGGTGAAGTAGCTGCAACTGCTTTGCTGGGCCGGGCTCTCGACTCTGAACCCCCGGGCGGGGCGGTCCTTCTGCAGTATTCTCTTCTTCGTCCTGTCTTACTTAATCGTTCTCGTATATACTCGCGCCTTTTGAAAAACCATTTATCATCCCAGGACGGAGGGACCAAATCAGCTTTGACTGCTGCCAGGGTGGGGGGCGGGGGGAGGGGGTGGCACGTTGAAGAAGGCGCAACAGCGGCGCGGCATCATGCGGAAGTTCCATGAAGTTTGTCAAAAGAAACGAGCACTTTAAGCGCCTAACTCCGAGGTCACGCCCAGCCAGAGATCAGGAGGGCCTCCTGAGGAGCCACCTGCAGAGCCCTGCAAGACACTGCAATCATTCCTATGCATACTGCTCACTTTTTGAATATGACATGTCATCTGTCTATCTCCACATACTGTGGTATGTCAATGGCTCCTACGTCAAAAGTGAAGAGGCATTGTTGTTTTTGCTACCGGCTACCGGCCTTGTCAGAAGCACATCATCACTTTTCATGATGTTCATCCTCACAAGTCTTGTGCAGATTCAGGACGATGCAACGCGGGCAGTGCAGCGTCAGGTGACGCTCGAAACGGCACAGACCATGCAAACCACCCGGCGGCTTAGTTGCAGTTTGGGAAGCGGTAGGTGAACTCTTGGCATTCGGGTGGGCTGAGATCAGAGTTTCCCAAAATCAGGGAGGGTCCCCCCAAACGTCGAATCCAATTCAAGGGACCCCCAGCTCCCCAGATTCGGGCTGCGTGTTTCTTGCCTTGGCACTCCAGCCTTTGCTAGGGAAGAAGAGGACCAGAAGTGGGTAGTTCCTCGGCCGCAAAAAGCGAGCAGGTTTTTTATTGCCAGCGCCAAGAACCGCTTAAAGGGGCCCCCACCCCCCGCCCCGACAATTCCGGAGGTCCGAATCATCTCGGAAGAGGAGCGTGAGCAGCGAACTCGGTGAACTCAGGGTGTGACCAAATAGGTGCACATGAAGCATCGGCAACACGGCGTGATTCTGCCATGCATCTGCAAGAGATTTTTCGCAAGGCGGGAGCAGTCTGGCCGGATTATTGTGCCTCAGGCCAGCTACTTAAACCAGGCACACTGCAGGTCCTCCTTCTGAGCCCGGGGCCACAACTTGCCAGGTCCCATATGATGACGTATTTCTGCTGAGAGCTTATGTGCATCTCTTTATATCTCATAGCTGGGGTCTCCTGGCATAGGCCGATTGCAAGTTGCAGCATCTTGAGCTTGCACTTTCGTAACTTTCATAGCAGCTGAATTCAGTGCCTCTAAGGGAAACTCGATCGGAGGCTCCACCCAGGGTCAGGAAGTTGGCGTGACATTGGCAACGCCTGGGTTGCGTAAAGCAGCACATATGCCATTTGTGTCTCAACAGGTGGTACAGCGCAATGATGCCTGCAGCTACATCACCGCGGCAGCCTCAGCCCATCACAACTTTGAAAGAGCGCGCTCGCGAACACTGATGCCGAAGCTAGTCAGGAACTGAAACCTGATGCACTCCACGTGCGGGCAGCTTATTTTCGCGGACGAATTGCCGTTAGGATGAGTTTGCTGACAGCTAGCAAGTCTATGCGATGCCTCCTTCTTGAGTGCGTGAAGAGTCTTGGAAAAGAGCGCATGACGAGCAGCAAGTGAATCTGCCACCTAATCCTTCCGGAGTCCTTCCTAAGGTTTGAGGCCCATGACGCTCAGCCAATGTGTTGGGGCTTCGCGAGCTGCACGACATGCTTGACTTGAGCACCTGGGCGGGCAATCAACATGTCCCAGATGTTGCGATGCCCTAAGAGTTGTCAACCAAGAAGGTGCATCTGTGGAACAACTTCAATTGCAATTACATTTCCAGACCCTCATGGGTTCATCAGTCTAGTAGCGAAGGCATGACTCTCGAGCCACGGAGCTTTCCGAGCGCTGGAAGCAGAGGCACTGCGAGTGCAAACTCTCTACCCTTCACCGAGGACCTGTCCACAATGTCCACGTTGCCACCTGAAGCCCAACATCGCACAGCCGCCTTGCTTTTCAATATCGGAAAATGTCATGGGCTGGGAAAGTGAAACATGGACCATCCGAGATCCTGACGGTGTGTACAGGGTACCCATCATCAACCGTGTTCAACAGAACAACTCAATAAAAATCGCTCTTTCAAGCGTCGCCTTGACGCAGCACGCCTTTTGTGTCTTGAACTTTCCCAGTTCAGATCACTGGTGGCCACAAGAGCCAACGACCAGCGCGAAAGGACGCCATGATATGCCAAGGCTGGGAGAGCCCCCTGCCCGGCAATTTCCCTGCTGCTTTCAGGCTGCCTAATATGCTGCGCCATTCTGCTACGATAATAGACTCATTAAACAGCTAGGGTCAGATCGGCAGAGAAGTGGTTCTCAGTGAAAGGCTTCCAGGGCTGCATGTGCCGTGTAGGCCATGAAACATCCATGAGCACGATCGCAGTGCTATTCGTGCAGCCCAGGGTTCGGAGGGGATGTTAATTATGATACATTGTCTAAATGTTGACCATGTAGAAGCGATCTGCGTTTCAAAGACCAGCATACAACAAGTACCATTCTACGCTGCGGGACCTGCCAAGCATTGTTTACCGTCGTGATTCAGAAACAATATATCATCGCTATACTGAGTTATTCTGCATGCGTCACCGCATTCAATCCGAATCTGGTCTATCCGAGTGTCTGAGACGCTGGCACGGCCCTTTCTTGCTGAGTCTTGAAACAACAGTTTGCCACTCCCCTCCCTCCCCCCGCCGGTCCATTTGCGCAGCCCCCCTTTCCCCCACAGCCCCAAAGTCCGAATCAATCTCCGAGACACCCCTTCTTTGTTACTGGACTGATGCTTGGCATTCTTTTGGGGCTATCGTGCTTTCTAGTGATTCTAGTGGCCTTGCTGCCGTGCTTTAGCAACCGCATTTGGGCCGTATTCCAACTCCACGTGGTGCATCTTCACTCTCTCAGCTCCCGTCAATTCCCGGCTGGATGCCACCTTGGCGGAAAGGGTTGGCCAAAAAGTGCCGATATGACACCCCGCGCGGATTTATCATGAGTGCTCCACGCAACCCGGGATGCGAACTCTGCTTGCGAGCGTTTCGATCAATATGTTGAACGTTCAACGTCCCAGCCTGGAAAGCAGCTCCGGCTGGTTCACACGATCATCCATAGCAATTGCTTGTCTGCACTTTCGTGGTAATCCCTCGCAAAACAAGTGAGAGCATCAACATGTCTCAGCAGTGCCTTCAGCTGGCATGCTAAGTTCTACAAAAAGTATGCTTCGCTTTCGGTCAATGCGAGGGGTTTTTCATCCTCACGATTCCCTGCGGATTCGAGACTGCAAAGCAGAATCGGATTTGTTGACGAGAGTCACGGAGTGTGGAGTGCAGAAATCGCATGACAGCCATCTGCAACTTGCTTGGCACTTACTTACGTGTCGAGTGGCGGCAAAGAGGCTGAGAGAAACATGCTGCTGGCTTTTCGCGGCTCAAGTGTGATACAAGAGTGGGACAATGGCCGGTAGTATGGATAATGCGCTTGGAGTTTTTTCCATGAACCGCTCCATTAGAGGTCACGGTCGGCAAAGTGTGCTACGCTGCTACACAGATGCTCGAGATGATGTGTACCAAATAGGTGTAGGCACGTGGAATTTGTGCCCGGCTGCTGTGGACTCCGCTCCAGCTCTGCTCGGCCTCACCCTCGACAGATGTTTGCCCTCCAACAATGCATCCGCTAATCAACATTGGACTGTTGGACTTTGCAGAGTGGTCCTGTGCAGCCGTCTATGAAGCAGAAGTGAGAATAGGGGTGCCGCAAGTGTCGCTGGATCCTTTCTTCGCAGAACCCTCGGAAGGTAACCAAACATGATTTCGCGCAAATGCCCATGCAAGGCATAAGCTGGTACAGCTCGCTTTGATCTTTCACGGCCTGTCCCGAAGGCGAGAACCGGTCAGCATCATGGGCTCAAAGGTCGACAACATATTTTAAATAGCATGGTTCTATGTGGTTCTGCTCGAGGTTGCTCCAAAAGGTCATCGGTATCTGACACGCTAGGGGCGAGCAACATCCTTCAAACTGCCCCTTCGTATCAGCCCCGGCGATCATGCTTGAGCCGCGGCTGTGGCCGCCAGCCCCGTTAGTCAAGGGACTAAAGGGTACTAAGAGACCTTAGGTTGTTTTGGGGCTATGCAGGGGTTATATAGGGGAACAAGATTAAATGGCCCCCCCCCCGGCCCCCCCCCTCATATCCGTTTAAGTTAGAGACCGCGAGCAATTTTACTTGTTATGCGCGTGACCACGATCATATATAGCTGCCCGCATGTGCCAACGCTTGGTTGTTGCTGCTGGTTTTTGGTCCTCGGTGGGACCCCCCTCCTCTCTCGCATGCTTGCAAAGGATTGAAGCACATGTTTGCGCGCGAACGTTTGAAAGCCAATTGCTTGTTCGGCATTTTCAGCCTTCCGGCACTGTCGGTGCTCGGCGTCCACAATCTGTGGGGTTGATTGTTGATGTTCCAGCCAGTGAGCGGTTTGCGCAAAATTCCCAAGGCCTACGACCTGTTGCTCCATGCCAGTTTTTCCAGACTCCATCTGCTACTCTGAGACTTGGACTAACGAGCATGGGCCAGCAAGAGCAATAACTCCAATTCAACACAGCTGAGACCCCACGAAACTGAGCCCAAGAGCAAAAAGGAAAAATATGCGGACCGGCGCTTTGAGTACCGCCACGTCACTCTGCCAAAGGACCCTGGAGCGAGTCAGAGTGACACGATGCAAAGCGATGCGACGTGTAACATGTAACGTGGCATC